CTGTGAAAGTTGAACGAGGTTCAGTTTGGGTCTCTCGAGGCTGGGTATAAGTTTCATGGGGGACAGTACGTGTCTGAGTTTCCCGAGGCTGGGTTTGGGTTTCCCGGGGTCGTGTTTGAGTTTCCCGGGGTTGGGTTTGAGTTTGATGGGGCTCAGTACGGGTTTGCGTATCTCGAGGTTGGGTTTGCGTTTCCCGGGGTTGGGTTTGAGTCTCACGAGGCTGCGTGACGGTTTGGCGAGGGGCAGTCTGTGTCTCTCGAGGTTGAGTATATGTCTGCCGAGGTGCTGTGCTTTGCGGTCGGTCCGTAGACCGCGGTGCGCTCTGCGTTTGTGGTCGCTGGGTCGCTGGAGCTTGAGTCTGGGGCCGTTGTGTTGCAGGTGCTTGAGTCCCCTTAGGTTCTGTAGCATCAGATGACTTAGCGTCGGTATCCCGATTGAACAAATCAGCAACCGCTTCAACGGCACTGAACTCTAAGTTGCGCTCATTGAGGTGTTGATGCGGAAGACAAGTAGCGAGAGCAGTAAGCAGAACCAAGCTCGAGAAGATCGAAAGAGACTTCATGTTTGCACAAGCTTTAGATCTCAAGGAATTTGAATTCTGGACTACTCCGGACTCCAACAAAGTCTGGAAGGGATGGTATATATCATGACGCTTGGCAAATTACCCTCGCCGGCTTTATGGGAAGCATCTTATATCACGACTATGGTGTATAGCTTGTTCTTAAAACCTGAAGTATGACTTCAAAGAACTTCGGACGGTTTGGCTGTTTCCCCGCACTAACTTTATATGACCATAAACGAAAGAAGGTGAGAAACAATTTAAGCTTCATGATTTCTTTATCCAAACTGCTGGAACGGCCTAAAAATACATCTCGCGTGGAATGACACTTGCCATCGGCACTTTACAGCAGGAATTGTCATGTGGAGCGGATACACGCGTCTTGCCATTGTTATGTACCCAGAATCAGTACACGAGCTTTCCAATATATAATACGAAAGAATGATTGGGGACAGAATCGATGAGAAAGCCATGATGGCGGAAAATTTGGAGATGGGGTAAGGTGGTTAAGCTTTTCATGCATCTCGGGAGAACGCATGCCACGTTTTTGAAGGGCAGATATAAAAATAGCAGCTCATAAAGGCAGGCTAATCAGAAATTTCCCTCTTCAGCCCAGAGATATAGGCTAACTGGCGGAAATTTTTCGAACGCGGGTGCTAAAATGATTCGATATTGAACGTTGTGTAAATTTTCTCGCCTGGATGCCTGCAGGGGCGATAAAGCTGGCACGTGATGACTCCTCCAACAACTTCATGTTCATCTTCGCTTTGGTAGCACAACTGTCTAATGAAAGCTTTTCATTTGTGGTCCTACCGTGTGTCTGGCGCTTGAAAGAATATTGCACTATATCCTCGTCTTTAGATATGTTGGAGAGGGAGAGAGGGTATGTAGAATAGGTGCTTTGAACATCCCACTAACCTCGAGCTTGCAACTCACTCACCCAGTCTTCTTGTCACTAGCACACAGAGTCACTATCCACGCGGTGAATAGATTGATGGAGGCCACTCACAAGAAATCAAGCTCGAACGCAAAGCAACCTCCCATGGTCCCAAACGTCTATAAAAGAAATATCGCACACGGCCGCGGAGACGAAATTCAGACAATTCTACAAGGAAGAGTCCGGAGACACATCTCGGAAGTCCCGGACCCAGGTCAAGACTGGCGCTTGTTGCTGTGATTGGTTGATTCTTTGTCTTCCATTTCAGTAAAAAAACCTGTTGTCGACATTTACTGTTGCCAGCATACAGTTACGCCATTCAAGAGCCAAAGTTTGCTTGCTAAACACTATAACAGTTTCCGGTGTCACGAGATGGTTTCACAATGTATTCCTGCCGACCTGATAGCTCCACAGCCCATATTTGACTGTGGCTGCAACGACTCTCAGGCATACTATCTACGTAACACTTAGCGGCAAGTACCGGCTCTAGCCTTTGAGCAAGCTGATAAGCCTGAGTGTGGACTTTTAAATCTCGAAGGCTGTGTGGGCTGGAATGAAAGTTCAGTATGGGATGATCTTTGCGGTCTTAATGTTCCCAGTGATGTGATACTGAAGAGTCTAAAGCTTGATATTTGTATGGTATTGAAACTACGCAGGAGTTATAGAGCCTGCCACATTATGGTTGAGGTAGGGGATGATGACAACTGGATTGTATCTGAGGCTGTTGTAGAGCTCATGTTTACACCAAAATGATCTGTAATCGAATTGTGAAACAAGAATGGCAACATTTTTTATGAAATGCGTGACTGAGCTTCCAAAATGCTTCAGTAGTCAGTCGTACCAGAACATCAGATATAAGGGGTAGTAGGAACAGCGTGATCACCGCGAAATAACAAACATTCAGGCAATTGGAAAAACCCAAGCCAATACCGACTCTCACTTGTCTAGTTATGTTGGTTGTGTTGCCAGACTTTCGTTGGAATTCCTAGCCCAATTCAATACTTCCCCGTTTTGACCGTCAAGTTCAATCTATCAAGAATGTACCGGCCGGCAGTTATCGGCGGGAACTTCGACGGATTTCCCTCTTTCACACAACTCGGCAATGTCTCCACCGTTTCATCATAGTTGATGGAGAAGAATAAGGGTATACTGTATCTCTCCTTGTCCGTTCTGTTCACCACTCTGTGCACCGTGCTTTTGTATATTCCATTCGTCCACCGCATCAAGAAGTCTGCCACATTGACCACAATTCCTCCCTCAACAGGCGCCGCAGATATCCAGTGATTGTCTGGAGAGAGAATCTCGAGACCTTGATTTGCATCTTGAAGGAGGAGAGTGAAGCATTCGTAATCTGTGTGTGCACCAAGGCCAATCTCTTCGTCTTCGTTCAATTCTGATAATGGCTTCGGGTTCGTAGCTGGTGGGTATCGGATTAATCTTGCGATACCTCCAGGATGTGTCATGAGAGGATCGAAGTAGTCTTCGGGCAATGCTAGCGAAAGCGCAAAGAGCCTGAAGAGATGTCTTGAGAGTTGGAGGACCTGTTGCATGTTAGATAACCCCCTTTGTAGAGAAGCAGACATACCTCGCCATAGTATTTTGCAATTCCTGCATAGAATCCTGGAAGTTCTTTCTCAGAAGGCCATAGATTCACTGACGCTTCTGGCTTGCCATCCAACTCCACATATTTCCCGTCGCCTCCAGTTGGGTCAAGACCTGATTCATAGCCCCAATTGAAAGCCTCCTTGGTTTCCTTGCTCTCGAAATTATTGACAGATGTAAATGCGGCCGGCTCATATCCTCTGAAGTAATCGTTGCATAGCATAGCATCCTTTGAGGGCTGTGGTAGCTCATGAAAAAAGCGATGTGCCAACTTCAACACATCTTCGCACACCCCTGTCGCAATCCCGTGTCCTGTGATATAAAAGAATCCCACATCCGTACAAGCTGAGTTTATCTGTTCCGCTACTGCTCTTCGATCGACGAGCGAGCTTGAAAAGGACTTGGTGAGGTCGATTATGGGTATCGATCGAAAGGCAGGAGCTTCAGATGTTGCAGTAAGGCGCGATTGAAGGTATTCTTGAGCTTCGAGAGCTGCTTTCAGAGAACTTTCGTCGTTGAGGGGTTGTGGAGGTAATGCGACTGCAGCCATCTTTTCGGACGAGAGTGCTTCAGGATAGGATGTTGGCAAGGGTTGCAATGTGAAAAGCATCTGGGGTGCTTCTTAAGACATCCAGTGTTATCGACTTCTTATCTTCTTGCAGCACAAAGGTGGGGGTGGAGAAATATTGCGCTCTTGAGGGCGGCGGGTGCCGACGAATTCAACTCTCTTTAAGCGAGCCCCTGAGTGAAAGCAAGCAAAGATTCAACTCAAAGTCCTTGGGTCTTCTAAGCAATGAAAATCCATAGCATTTTGCAACCATTTTGCTCTTTTTAGCGAGGGTTTCCCCTTGGGACGCATCCCATACTAGTATCAAAATACTACTCTCCGGACTCTTCTACAGGCATCAATGAGATAAAAAAACAATTCCAGTGCATTTCACGATGTTGATCAGCCATCTGCTTGATTGCTTTGAAAGATGTGCCCTCCCGACGATACCAGCAAAGGGAGAGTGGGGGCTCTTTCCCGAATAGGCTCTCAAACTTTCGGAGGTTCCTTCCCTCCTCGGTTTTGCATGCACCATTACTTCTGTTTTCAATTCTCTGATAAGAATCTCATCCATGTTCACAACACCTTAATTTCTTTCTGTATCTTACTTCCTATATCCTAGCAAGCACTTAGTAAAAGCGGTAATGGCAAAGAGAGAACACAAACCTCTGAAAGAACCAAAGCTGCCTGAAGAATCAAAGTCGCCTAAGAAACCGAAGCCACCTAAAGCATCGAAATCGCTCAAAGAACCAAAACCTTCGAAGAAAACCCCCACCAAGCCACCTCGGAAATCTGCTAAGAAAGACCGTATACAACGAACCTCTTCAAGAACCTCTTTGCGATTCAAACCGACAAGGACTGCCCCACAACCCGTCAAGCCCGGAACTCTATCCCGATCAACTTCAAACAGAGTCATCAACAGCGGCGAGAACATCTTTGCAGTCACAAGTCACATCCAGCCCGATGGACTATCAAGACGTAATAAGTCTGGTATCGAACCGGCCACGAATGCCACACACGTTCTGACCGACCGACTTCCACAAAGTTTTGTTCTTTACAGTCCTAGTTTCTTGAACCGCGACATAACCATATCCCTCATACAAGATGGCCCCCGCTATTTCACATCTCAATGGGATACGGAAGTCTCTTTCGAAGCCATTCCGAAGATCTTACACTCGTCCGAGCTAGAGACAACAATTCCATGAGCGCAGCCACCCTTCCTATAGCAACGGCAAAGTACGGCGGCGGAATTCTATTTTCCGTTTTAAGTACAACATCCGAAATCTGTGTTTTGGATCCAAGTAGACCAGGAGGTCCTCCCTTACATAGAGAACAGACGCATGCATCTATTGGCCTGTTTAGCTACGCCTCTCGCAGTATATCCTTCAACTTCCAACCCCCAGGAGCAGATCAAAAAGAAGCATTCGAATGGAGGTCAGATCGGGAACTTCAGATATTGGACCGCGAGATGAGACTTGTGAGAACTAGCACGGGAGAAGTACTGGCAGTCTGGACACATTTCTTGGAAATGATTAGCCACAAGAGAAGAGGGAAGCTGGAGTTCTTTGGAGATAGGACCTTGGGACCTGAATTTGAATTCTTGGCGTTGATGACTCTTGTGGCAGATAGAGAAAGGGCAAGGAGGAGAAGCGCTAGGAATTCGTAGGGTACCGATCTTGTACTGTACCAATAGACCAAGTCGCGAGAAGTTAAGCTTACTGAGATTGCCTGAACAGAATGAATGTCTGGTCTCAGCATAGACAATATCATCGTTGACGGTAATCAAGTGTCATTGGACCTTATAACAATGCTCATTTCTCCGAGACCATACCCCTCATCATATCTTTCAGTTCAACATCACTCAACTGATTTACGCCCAAAAGCTCATTATCATTCTTCCTCCACGGCCTAGAATACTCAGGATTCGACATAGCATACTGCATCAAAGTACCAAACACCATCATATCAACCTTGCCCGCTTTAACATCCGCCAGCGCCTGCTTATACGCGGGTTCTATATCACGGCTCTCGACCTCCCAACCGTCTGAACCCAGCGCCTCTTTCGCCAGATTCAGTAACTCGACTTGACTCTTACAGACAGCCGAGATATACACCCTGCGATTCTCCGTCTCGTCCAGGTGTAACAGCACCGCAGCTGCAGCATGACCAACTATCGCCATTGGCGTAGACGGAAAGACATTCTTCCCATCGTTGAATAGCGTCACTTTCTTGTCTTTAAGTAGAATACCCAGGAAGCCTGTCTGTAGGTACGCATCCAAGAACGGTCCGCTCGCTACGGCTGTCCATGTGATGCCGCTCTCTTGCGCCTTTTTCTTCATCAACTCGTAATTCGCCACTTTGGATTGGAGAATAGGTAGCGCGGCGAAGTTGGGGTTATCGAGGTCGTTCCCATATTCGGATAGGATGAAACGACCAACACGGGCTTCAACAGCGGCTTCAATCAGGTTGGAGGATGTGAAAGTGTCTCGGGCGAAAGTTGCGTCGATGACGGCGTCTTGGCCTTGGAGAGCGGTTGTCAATTGGCTTTTGGAACTGTAGTCGGTTTCTTTGACTAGGACTCCATCTGGCGTGGAAGCGCTTGCTTTGCGGGTGAGAATGGTGATGTTGAACTTTTTGGTCTCGAGGAGGTCTTGGAGTATGATCTTGCCGAGGTTTCCTGCTGCCTAGCTATAAACTCAGCTGTGTCGGTTTACCTTGAAGGCTTAAGTTGTGCACATACGCCGGCAATAGCAACGTTCTTGATAGTGTCGGTCATTCTGATCTAGAGCCTTTGACAAGAGTTGATGAATTCTGTGTAGGGTTAAATTCACCTAGTGAGTGAGTGCTTGAGAGAAAATAGAAGTCGAGAAACCCGAGTCAAGCAATGTGATACTTACCCATCTCCCTCGCCTTGTGATATTCGGCCTTTGCGGCTTTATCAAGTATAAGTCCGTTCTACGATAGCAACCCAACATCAATCATGCCAAACTCGAGAAAAGCTGGCACTAGCACTAGAAAGTGTTCAATTATTTTGATCATATCCATGAGGGTCCACGAGACAATGACAGAGTACGTGCTGGGCTTCCATGATACGGCATATGGGAACCCGGGGCAGAGAGGATGAAGTGGTGTTCATCACGCATTTCAGCGATGGACATACGACGACTTTGTCGGAGCCCATAGAGCGAGGGTCTTGAAACGAATCGGCAAAGGACTGAGGAGGCGAAGAAGGAATCTCCTGTTTTCCAATTCTAAAAAGCACCTGCAAGTGTGGGCTGGTGTCAGTAAGTATCACGCTGAATCTGCATATTCGAGCATTGCTCATACTGGCCAGTCATCGTAAATGAATCTTTGTTTGATACAAGTATAAACATTCTCGACAACTGCAGCAGCGGTGGAAACCAAAAGCAATTCTCAACAGTAGCTTGGATATCATAGACCAAACAAGACAATTTATGATCACCTTCGCTCCTAACCGAGCGATAGGCGGGCTTCAATTCAGGAGAGACGAAACACGTGCGATGAGACAACCAACGATGAGTGGCAAACAGACAGGAATAGCTCTGCAATATGGCAGTGACAGTCTCCGGCACTCGCTCGCTCGGTGTCCTAGGCCACGAGTTTTGCCCAGAAAATAGATTGCGAGACAGGGCAATTTAGGCGTTTGTAGGCCGACGAAACTACAGTACACCCAGTCAAGCCTTGCTTTTGTCTCACAGGTATCTGGAGAGTATTTCGCCGTCACTAGAGATATCGTCGGACTTTGAAAACGAAAACAAAATATTCTCCTTCTCCTCCAAAGCCAAGAAAGATTGCCCGGGAATTAAAATAAGCTTACCTTGTAGCACATCTCTCGGCGGCTTGGCAGTCCATCAAAGCCATTCGCTTGTGTCGTCCCCGCCGGGCCACTCTTTTCCCCACGATCTGCATCACAGTCAAGTCAGTCTTAATAAATTCTCAAAGCAGTCACCATCATCTCATGCCCGATGAATACAATCATGGTCCCGCGCATTAAAATGCACAGTCCTCATGATCGTTCACACACCGGGAGCAGCAGCTCCACGCCACTGATTTGCTCGCTTGGCGTCCGTGGCTGCACTTCGAATCAGCGGCGCGCCTGAAGCTTTTCCATTCCTTGTATCTTTTCTACCCTGCCCTGCCCTGTCCTGTCTCGCTCGTCGCTCGCTCGCTCGCTCAGCATACTCAAACAAACAATAGTCACAAGCTATGACGAACGTAGCACCGAGGATTCCGACCTGACTGACCATGATTGCCAGTCACGATCACCTCTGCTACATATGTTCCGCCATGCCTTGAGCCTGTTGAGTCCGCGCGCACATCCTCGACCTCGACTGGAATTCCTCGAGCTGAGAAACGCGGGAGCCATGATGGACGTCGATCCGGAAGCGCGGATGGAGAGACCAGGCGGATTCGACGTGAAAGAAGGGATTGAGATGGTGCCGGGAACGGTGGAATTCGTTGATGGTATGTACGACCTTGCACGACGATGTGTGATCGCGACTGACGTCTTCGAGTCCAGGGAACTTCTCGGCGGCTGAAGAATCGAAGGGGTGCAGATACAGATGTCGTCCTGATACCACAACCCTCGAGCGACCCAGATGATCCGCTGAATTGGAGTCGGTTTCGAAAAGAATATCACTTCTGGTTATTGATAGTATGGGGGATACTTGTGGCTGCGAGTGTGAATTGGTCAGGGCCAGTATGGGGTAAGTCTGCAGAGAGATGTGAAGACTTGATACTGACTATGGTTAAGTCCCCTTGCAAGAAGACCTGAATACAACATTGGATGATATGAACATTAGCGCGGCGTTATGCTTTGGGTTCCTGGCTATCGGATGCATTTTACTGCAACCAACTGCGATGAAGATTGGGAGAAGGCCAGTCTATCTGATCGGAACATTTCTAAACCTTGTTGGTTGCATACTAGGTGGCCTGCAAACAACAATCGTGGAATACTATGTGGTCAACATCCTCACAGGGTTTGGTGCCGCTCCTGTCGATTCCCTGGTCCAAATTTCAACCACGGATATATTCTTCGCACATCAAAGAGGGACGAGGTTGGCATTTTTCGCCCTTGCATTGGGAACAGGATCGTACATGGGACCTGTTGCTGCTGGATACATAACGGTTGCACAGGATTGGACATGGTGCTTTTGGTATCTTGTTATCTTCTTCACTGCCCTTCTTATCATACAGATCTTCACGCTGGAGGAGAGTGTCTACAGACGTCAACTACCGTCATCAAGTAACAGTGAAGTGGCGACTCTGGATGATCGACCACAAAGAGATGTGAAGGATCAGAAGAGTTCGGCAGATGATGGTGTCAGTGGGGTCGAGACCGCTCGAAACCGGTCCAATACACTTCAGACCTTACCTGGAGGACGGAAGAAGTACTGGCAGAGAATGGCTCCGATTCATACATTACATGCCAATCCGAGACCGTGGTGGTATCTCGCCATATTCCCATTTAGACTCGTCACTTTTCCAGCGATCGTCTGGGCTGGGTTTATGGGTGGGATTCAGATTTGGTGGTTGTCTCTCCTCTCTGTGACTCAATCGGAGATATTTTCAGAACCACCCTACAACTTTGATATTGCCGATGGTAAGTTATTCTCTGGTCTGGCGGGTTCTATCTGACGTTGGCAGTGGGAGATACAAATATCGCAGCATTTATAGGCGGTATTTTCGGCATGCTGTGGGGTGGACCCCTTTCTGACTGGTACGTCCTCCACCGGGCTCGCAGAAACAAAGGAATCATGGAACCTGAGTTCCGTCTCTGGCTCCTCATCGTTCCTGCTGTCCTCAATTCCGTCGGACTCCTGCTCTACGGACTCGGTGGCTACAATGGCTGGCATTGGATGGTATCCGCAGGTGTAGGAACAGCCTTCATTGGATTTGGAATCGGAGCTGGCGGTGCGATTGGTCTTACTTATGCTATTGATTGTTATCCGCATATTGCGGCGGAGAGTATGGTGTTAATATTGTTTATGCGGAATGTTCTGGGGTTTGCTTTTACGTTTGCGATTCAGTAGGTGCCTCCTTTCTCTTCTCTATCGTAAATGCCCGAGGAATTAACATTGCTCAGACCATGGATCGATGCAATGGGAGGGTCGAATACTTGTGTCATCCTAGCAGTCGTATGTCTAGTCACGACGATGACCTTTTTAATATTAGTCAAATGGGGAAAGGGATTTAGGAGAAAAACGGCCAGCACCTATCTGAGGTTTGCCAAGGACAGGAATCGAATTGCTTCCTGATGTAATTCGTTGACTTGCGTTAATGATAATGTTTCTATGACGCTTATTCCCTTTGCACGTGAACGGGATGTAAGGTACATTGATTGGATGTGGATTTGGAATTTCTCCGGCTTCCGCTTCACATCTCGGAGTCAGCTCTCCTTCTGGTAGGTTGGCCGTGCGAGTGTGAATGGTGGGCTCGTTTCTCTCGTATTTTTTATGCGATAGGTATTGTTCTTGTTTTATATTTCGCTTCCTCGCCTCGAGATTGTTGTCATTCTGGTCACATATCTACGTAACTGTGGACGAAAAAGAATGGAAGAACAGGTCAAGAAAACTAGAGAAGCTTCCGAGAGAGCTGCGAGGGAGGCATTGGTGGTGAGTTTTCCTTATCTGAGAAGAGAAGCGATCAGCTGATTGGGGGACAGGTCGATCCAGCGGTGTTTGAACTGAAGGATGAGGACTTGGTGTGAGTGTTGTTGTTTTTGGAGGGAGTGGGTAACTGATGTGGGGTAGGAGGAAAGCTGGACTAGTTGTGGCGGGAGAGAAGGAGAAGACTGCAGGGAAGGGGGAGGAAGGAAGTATGCTATGCTTGAGGTCGGGCGTGAGAAGTGTGGCTGATGTGTTGGTGTATAGGTTATTTTTTGCCGAATACTGAGGTAGGTTCTAGGCATCTGAGTTGAAGAGAAGTAGCTGATCATGGGTAGAGTGAAGCAGATAGACTTAGCAAGTCTCTCCTTGATTTCTATGTTTAGCTACTGATAAGTAGCTAGATATGCAACATCACATCTTTGCACTCTCTTTCTCTGATCGATTGTCGTTGGCTCCTCTGTCAGAGTCAGACTTAGACGGAAAGCACGTCTTGGACATCGGGACGGGGACGGGGATCTGGGCTGTTGATTTTGGTTTGTGGCTCTCCTTTTCTCCTTCGTCCCCTACTGATGATGGAACAGCGAAACAATACCCCAACTGCCACGTCACAGGATTCGATATCTCGCCCTGTAATCCTACTTCGTATCTATTCCCTCTCTTGACCTCTATCTTCCAATAATTAATAGTACTCAGACCACCACCAAACACAACCTTCCTAACCCACAACGCAGAATCCACCCCATGGCCCTTCACCCAAAAATTCCACTACATCCACGGCCGCGCCATGATGTCCTGCTTCGACTCCGCCGCTCTCGTCATCCAAGAAGCATACCAGAACCTCGAACCAGGCGGCTGGCTCGAACTCCAAGACGTCGTCGCCCCCTGGACTGACGGTACCTCCCCTTCCCCCTCTTCCCTTTCCCATAACCAACCTAACACCCCCAGTCGACGGAAGCCTCTCCAACTCCGCGCTACTCCACTTCCACACCCTAACCATCTCCGCCGCCGCCCAAATCGGCCGCGACGTCTGCCAAGTCATCACTTACCCCTCGCTTCTGGCGGCCGCGGGGTTCTCGTCGGTTACGGAGATGCATTATCAGTGGCCGATTGGTCCGTGGGCGATGGATCCGAGGTTGAAGAGGGTTGGGGAGATGTTTAGGGAGGATTTGGATGTGACGGTTGAGCCGATTGCGGAGAGGCTTTATAAGGGCGTGTTGGGGATGGGGGATAGTGAGGTAGGGGAGATAGTGCGGGCGGCGAGGAGGGATGCGTGGGATGTGAAGAGGGTTAGGGGGTACATGCCTGGGTGAGTGCGGGGGTTTCTTTTGCTTGTTGGGAGGTTGGAGAGGTGAAAGGTGGAACTTTGCTGACGAGTGGGGATAGGTTGGTGGTTTATGGGCAGAAACCGTTGGATGCGATGTAGTTGGGTTGGAGGAAGGTTTGTGCTTTAGATGATCTGATGAAGTGATGATCAAATGGTAGCTAAGACTCACTTATCGTTTTCCTTACAGAAAAGATTTTGCTTCAATCCAAGTTGTATATGAAATGTTAGAAATCGTGCAACATAAGATCCAGAACCAAACAAAGAATTCTGGCCATACCCTCTTTTGATATCAGCGGTGTCAGCGCAATCAGAGCGAACAGCGCAAACTGCGCATTTCGCGCAAGTCCCGCGTTGGGCGCGCTACACGCTTGGAAAGTTTACCGTGCATATTCCATTTATCAAACCGTGCAGCTGAATGGAATGCTTGCTAGAGCTTGGAAATCCTCGGTTTTGACATGACTAGTGTATCTCATTACTTGCTGTTATCCTTGATGGCATTCGAGCATTGCCTCTACCAAGCCGTTGCGGAAATTATCGTGGAACGGATTCAAATGTGCATTGGTAAGTTTCGTGAACAACACGAATCATTATTGGCATTAGCAGACTTTCAACGAGGGAAATCTTTGTCGAAAACAGAGAGATTGAAAAATCGTCTAAGTCTAGAGGAGGCGCAAGGGTGACCACATATGATGGCAGCATCCTGATTGACTTTCTCCAGAGGAGACACTTTCTCACTACGACTACTGTATTCTATAGCTGTAAAACTTAACATAGGATCAAGTACACCATCATCAATAAAGCTGCTGAAGGTAGTAAAGTCGGGTAGGATTACAAGCGGAGCCGGCCCGCACTGTTGACATAGGTGCTTCAACCTTGAGATCAGAGAATGAACAGAAACAGTGGAGAATAGGCCTTTATCTAAAGTCTCCATCTTCCAAACGGAAGTACGTTATCAAAGAACTTCTCGAAGTAATCGACCATACAAGGATAGCTTGGTGCAAAGTCTCTTGACTGCTTCGAGAACCAAGCAGCACATTCATTTCATGCTCCCGAAAAATAAAAATAAACCTTAAGCTTTGGAGGGCATAGCTTTGAGCACCTTCTCTAGATTCAGACCAATTCTTGCACTGACGAATTCCGTGAAGGCGAGCTTGGTCATAACCGGAGCCTTGGCTTGCTCCGGCGAAGCTAAGAACATTCACCCCTTTCTCTAGCCAAAAACACGCTAAGCTTCTCCAACCAATCACAGTCCTCAACCTCGTTAACACTGTTTAAAGTTAAATAGGCAGATCTTTGCCATATCCTCTGAGACAGCAGCCTCCAGGGTATAGATGCTTGCGGTTTCCCGTGCCTCTCTATATTCTCGTGTGTGCTTGAAATACGAATGACTCAAGAGACAGCGGCCTCCAGGGTTTAGATGCTTGCGATACTATCGTGCCTCTCTATTCTCTCGGAATGCCTGAAATACGAATGTCTCAAGATTACCCCCTTTAAACTCCATACTAGCTAGCTATGGTGTTGGATAGCCACTTGCGGGTGACTTGAGTTTTTGCTTTTGAGTTCTAGGAATTTTTTTTGGGCTTTTGTTTTTGTGGGTCTTTCTTTGCAATTGAGGTTCTTTTAAGCGAGGTTCGCAGGCGAGCCAGCTCAATTTTTGAAAGTGAGGGGTTTTTGTTTAAGCATGCATGTTTTTCTTGGCGCCCTATTGAGAGCCTACACTTGCATCGGCTCTTCGAATGAAGATGGGTTCAAGGAAGAGGTATGACTTCAGATGGGGAACCGTTGTCCTGCAGTCGTGTGTCAGGGAAAATGAATAGCTGATAGATCAAATGCAAGACCAAGAGATTCAACAGTGCCTCCGGTCCGGCTCATCTGTTCAACTTCATCGATATCCCGAGATGTCAAGGCGAATAAGATACAGTTGGAAATACATCTTAAATCGAGTGCCACACTCGTGGTGTTCAAAGCTTGTAGAACCGAGAGTGAATCTCCAATCCGGCGGCGCTTGGTAGGCTTGTCTCAGAGATACTGGAAGGAACTTGGGAGTTTGCTTCAACCTTTGGGTCCCCAAAGATAGTGTTGATAGTGTTGAATTCCTATCTTCAGGCGTTCCAACTTGAGGACTTTTGGTATCGTCATTTTATCAAGTCCTGACGGACATTCAGTTGCATCTGGCAGCACTTGTGGCCCAATGTCCAATTAAACATGCTCAACACCACTCCGGGTCTTCCCTTCTGTACTTCTATCCATCCAAGACAAAGGAGCCAGACTTCCATTGTTGCCATGATGAAAGAGCCAACATCTCCACCGAAGCCAGAGAATTGGGTCCTCCGCGAGCAAGACCAGGGATGAGAGGACTTTTCGAACAGTTGTCCAAACCCGTTGAGCACTTGTCCCTTTGTAAAGTCATCAAGTGCCGACAGACAACACAAATTTTGTTCTCTTCTCCAGCATCTCACCGAAGAATCTTCGAATCGAGGTAATTTAAACAAATCGCTACATTGGTATTAATGCACGCTTCCCACCAGGGACCGCTATTTTGTCTCGATATAATACAGATATAATGACTTTCATATCCTACCACCGCTAACGACCTCTCGTCCAAGGAATTCTACCTCGCCACTTTCAGCCGTTCTTCTCCGTTCTAAGATCCACCTCTCGCCCGTGACAGGATCATCTTCTTTCAGATAACTGATACTTTCTGCACTACCCGTATAACGATGTTTCTTGATGCCTTTATCCCTCTCATCTCTCGCGCCGGTATTTGTATTCATATTGTTGCTGCTATTATCCAACGACGCAAAACTCATCGTTAATGTCGGACTTCCGGGCGGTGATCCTGCCTCGCTTTGTATTGCTCCGGGAGTATCGGTTGCGCTAGCTTCCTCGCTGACGAGACTGAATGTGCTGTTCTTCCGTCGATGGCCTTGTGCTGATGTGGGAACGCTCTGTTGCCATGGATTCAGTTGTCCTATGGGGCTACTTTCCTCCAAGCCACCTGCGCTTCGAGGACTTCCTCCATTGCTACTATGGAGACTGGCTTGACTGCCACCCCAAGCTTTGTTTCGTAACTTGAGAAGGGCATCAAGACTCATTTCTCCATCGTAGTCTGCTGGACTTCGAAGCATGTTGGTCAATTGGGCTAGACCGGGACTTGAAACGCTTCCTGGACCATGCATGGACAGACTCATGAAGCTGTTCCTGTTGGAGTACTCGCTTCTTTCGGTGATCGGGGTCAAATTTGGTTCTCTCGAGGCTACTCTTCCACTTTGACTTCGGAGTACGCCTTCCACTCCTCTAGGACCAAAGTAGCCACCATTCGCATATTCGGCTTCCGAAGCAGCAGGTGCGGAGTAGAATCCGAATTCTTGGCCGTAAAAGCCATCACAATCATTAGCAAGCGCTTCAGCGTTGGCAGCTGCAATTATTGGATCATCTTCAAGGACATCGTCGTAGTCAAAATCATCTTCTAATTCGTATGAGGGAGAAAAAGGTTCGTAGTGTGAGGTATGGCTCGAGTCTGGGACCAGACCGGGTTGGGTGTCTTCTTGTTCAGATGGAGTCGGTGGTGGGATGCTGTCACGTCGGAATTTGCCGTTCGCTGCAGCTGTGAACGCAGCTTCTGCAAGGGCTGTTTGATATGCTGCGAGAGAATCTTGTGTCAAACCCTGCGACTGCGGAGGACCCATAACATTCTTGTTCGGTTCTGAGATGGATGGCTGTGGAGCTAGTCTACCGATTGTTCTAGGTGAGGCAGCACTTTCTGGTTCATTGTTCGTCTTGGCTGGGGACAATGGCTTGTCTGGTCCGAGCATTGGCGGATTGTATAAGGTCGGTAATGAAGAAAGTGTTTTTAGTGGCCTTCCATATTCGTCGGTATCAACATTGTCGAAGATAGACTCATCAAATTCTACAGCATCTTCTTCATCACCAGGTCCTGTAATTATCCCATCATCGAAATAAAGATCATCATCATCCAAAGCCGCAGGACGTGGAAATTCATCCACCTGAGGTTGGACTTGTGGCTTGACTCCATTGAAAGATTGAATATCGATCCCATGAAGTCCAAGACCTTGAAAGGGTGGGTCGATGGTCGTTTTTAACTCAGGAGAAACTGGGGAAGTTGATGGTTGACTTGGATCCTGCATACCCTGTGCCATGTGTGGAGAATTCCTTGTCATCGCAAAGCCTATGACTTCACCGTTGATATCTCGTGGAGTGCTCACCATTCCAGGGCTAGATGGACTCATCGGAGTAGCTAATGTTGACTGCTGAAAAGTAAAACCACCAAGATGCTCGTCGTCCTGAGGGACTTCGTACGGATCTTCTTCTTCGTCCAGCTCTGTGTTGATACCCGGTATGGGCTCTTCGAGGTCCGCGTAGGGATCGTCCTCGTCTTCAAGGTCTGCATTGACGCCTGGTATTCGTTCTTCCAGCCCATCATCGTCATCCATGTTATCGTAATCATAATCATTTTCGAACTCTTCTTCCAACCGATCTTCGTCTGCACTTTCCGCTTTTCGTTCCAGAGCTTTTTGACGATGTCTATCTTCTAATAATCTTTCTTGTTCAGCAGCACCAATCATATCGAAGCTGAATCGTGATGAAGTGCTCTTCATATGTTTCGGAATGCCATCCTTAGCCGACACCTCCGAGACACCCCGCGGTCGACCTTTCTTCGACGAGGCCGGCTTGGGAGGTGTAGCCCCCGGGTCTATTGAGATGCGTCGTGGCTCAGGTTGTCCCTCATTCTTCGGCGGGACTGGGGGAGGCAATCCTGGGACGGGCTTCCGTGCACTTAACCTCCGCACATCTTGGATTTGTTTTTGAGAAATCTCGTTGCTTTTTGTAGCCGCACGCGGATCAGCTACTTGCTGAGAGCCTTTAGCGTATGGGGGTTGAGGTAATGGCAGATCTGTCAAGTCACTGGCCTTTCGTACATGGGGGCCAGCCGCAGGATATTGCTCTTCTTCGAAATTCTCCGTGAAAACTGGTGTGTGGTTCCCGCCACTCCACGGACTAGTGGCATTGTCATCTGAAGGTTGCAAATCTCCGTGAGGACTTCTTTGAAATTGTTTGGGGGCAGTGGTATCCTCTCGGACATCGTTATAGGACACGTTCCTTCGAGGTCGTGGTGCACTGAAATCATGGACAACCGTTCCTCGAATTCTGGGGTCAAAGGTCTCAGAGAAATTCCCTCTGTTCGACACGAGTGACTCTGGTGCTAATTGTGCAACTGCTTGTGATGTTCTTCGACGTGCAAGTAGTGACATCGGGTTCAAAAGATTTAGCCTCGCCTTTCCAGATCGTTGCTGAACTGGTTCAAATGTAGAAACTGGAGGAGCTGGTGGAGGACTTGGTAACCTTGCGCCATTCGGTCGTCTGCCTTGTGGCCGATTCTGATCTGCGAATGTCTGTCCGGAATCTGGAGGTCTTGGCCGAGATGTCAACTCGAAAGTGGGCTTGGGTTGACTGGTATAATTCGAAGGGATTGCATTTCCAGCTGATTCTGGTCGCTGCATTCCTGCATACGGTAATCTTTGGTGATTGCTGAACGCATGTATATCTCGAGGTCGCGTATTATCCCTTTGAAAGTCCACATTCTGTGCTCTTGGATCCCTCTTAAATCTGCCACTTCTCAAGTCTTCTTCTGAATCTGCGGATGAGACGCGTGCTATGGGGGGTAATGGAGGTGGCGGAGGACGCGTTGGTTCGGGAGGAAGTACATCTCGTGGAGGATGACCGTGGTCGTGAAGAGGAGATTCGAAGGAATGTGACTGCTCCGCGGGCGACGTAGGATTGGAAGGCGTGCGCTTATGATGTGGTCGCAGATACGAAAACATATTCAACACTCAATTGATGGCCCCGTTGAGGATGCAGCCAATTTGTCGCGATCAGGTCGGCTTAGATCAATTGACTCGTGGCATGTTGTTTCGCGATGACTCGAGACTCGATGTCTTGGCCAGGCAGCGGGGAAGAGCAATGATTCGAAAATCCAGAGAGCTATCGAGGAGAAATTGTCTGCCAGGGAAAAAAGGTGGAGTAGATGGGGAGCATGTGAAGATGCTTGTTTCAACCCTTTTTTCGATAGCTAGACAAGTGACGTTGGATTGCTAAGATAAGGCGGGCCTTGGAATCAGCAATACAATAATATTCGCATCACCCATCAATGAATAGAGATATAAATTGTACAAGAATCCTTCCAGAACTGTACAGCTCTGGTATGGTCGAAATTGTTAGGGAGATCAGCATCTTAAGACCTTTGTTAGTTAGTCGCGAAAGTTCAAGGATCCTAGTGATCCAAAAATAGCTGAGTTGGAGATTCACGTTACCAATGTACAGATTCGTACACATTTTCATGCATACTGCAATAGGCTTGTGCCTTGTTGATATTTTGAAGTTTCAAAGTATCCTAGATCAATGGAAGCTTCAAATTGCAGTTACAAGATCAGCGTCCCGAAGGAGAATTCTCGCGGGATGCTGCAGCTCAAACAACGTGATGATTTTCAGGGTCACTGAGAGAAGTGTCGTCTCATGTTTTTGGGGAGTGCTTTCAATCACCAGTATCAAAACTTCTCATTACCAAACTGTCGGGTTAGGGACAAAGTTGAAGAATAGTAGAGCTTCATTTCTCATTATTCGTAGCTTATGTTAAACAAGCGTGCATATCGTGCGAACGGGTATCTAGAATAAGTATCCTCCAAGCCTGTGCCTATTATGAACTTCTCTTGCCATATGGCTCGAATGGGAATGCAACGGCAACTGCAGCCATAGCAATATAAAGAGCAGCGCAGACATAGATAGGAACTGATGTTTCGGTATTGGCGTAAGTCGCGACGATTGCAGAAACAATTCCCATGATGCGGTTGCAGGCAACGGCTACGCCATTTCCAGTAGCACGATGAGCAGATGGAAGCACTTCCGGTGTGTACGCGTACAACGTGCCATAGTAGATGTTCAGGCAAAAGGCGATTGCACAGCTGAACCCGACGTTTTCTGATTCATTTCTGATTGCGGTGTATGCGAAGAAGAAGACCATGGTGATCAGAGCACCGATAACCATCGTGTATTTTCGTCCAAGGAGTCTGAAGTTGCACATGTAACCTGCTAACATAGGACCAGGAATTCCGCTGATGTTGACCAAAGCATAATTTCTCCAGGTATCGTAGGTTGAGACATTACCAAAGTCCGCTCCACGAGATGAAAGGTAACTGCTGAGGAACACGTAGAATAAAGGATAGGCTAGTCCTATAAGGGTCCACGACAACCAAATCAGCACTGTAGATAATCCGATTGTTTTCGTAGCGAACAATCCCCGGAAATGGATTGTCAACTCTCCGATTGAGAACGCGTTTTTGGCATGGGCGGAGTTGATGACTCCACAAGCGTCAAGCTTTTCGATCGTGATTGAACAGGGTCGGTTATACTTCGCTGCCATCGCATGGAAATCTGCTACCAATTGTTGGTCTTTTCCTTCTCCAAGAAGGTACTTGGGCGTCTCCTTGAGGCGAATGACTGTAATTCGAGCAATGCTCATGGCGAATACAAGCGCTCCGCTGGTATACATCACATATCTCCATCCCATGTTGCTATCTTTATGGCAGAAAGATGTCCTGACGCCGGCTTTGTCAAAAGGATCGGGGCAATTCCACTTTAAAGGTGCTGAAGGTGTTAGCTGTGAAAATAGGAATGAAGGAAGGTGACATACACAAAAATCCCCAGGCAATAAAGCCCGCAATTGCTTGTCCTAATCCCCACCAGGCAGCCAACCAAGTCAAGACCCATTGCTTGTTCGAAGGCAAGTATTCGATAAAGACGGTTGTGTCCATAATCAAATTTCCGCCGCCCCCAAATCCAAGCAAAGCAATGAAAACTGCAAGGGCTACCCAATTCGGGGCGGCACCAGCAATAATGGTGAACATGGAGCAGAGAAATAGCGAGGTATTGAAGGCGAATCTTCTGCCAATGATATCTCCGCTGATGCCCCAGAAAAGAGCTCCAAAGAGCATACCAACATAGACAGCGACCGTGAGAGCGCGTGAATATGATGGAGTAAACTCATAACCAGCTTGTGTAGCAATGATCGATTGGAGGAGCAGACAGAGGGAGTCTACTGCATAACCGAATCCATTAAGAACGAAGAGCTTCCTGTGAGCCTTGCTTAGCTCTCTGTGATGCCACAAAGCATAGAACTCACCAGTGATAATTTGTCCACCCAATTTCGTCAATTGCATTGTTTACGAGATGTATCTTGGCATTGAGTGCTAAGTCATTTGGAAGAGCAAGAATGTCGGAACCTTCTGCAGCAGAATAATCATCGAGGATAACGTCTGGTCCTGCCGTGGCAGACTTCTCGTGTCCTTTCTCACTGCTCGCAAGAGCTGGGCTGTGCTCGGCAGACATCTTGATTTGCGATTTCAAATATCCCAATCCTGAATTCGTTCCAACGGAGAAACAGACAGTAGGAAACAGAGAAATTTTGGAAATGGAGGATCAAGCTACCTTTATCTCGAGAAAAGGTTTCCAGCACAATTGGCCGCGGCGAAGCCGATAAACTGCGGGGATTAGAGTGAAGCTATGGTGGTTGCATGCATACTATCCAAGTACAGAAGTTGTAACCTGGTCGAGACCTACAACGAATTCTGTTGATAGGCTACGTGGTCTGCTGGGATCAGCATGCTGGATCTTTAGACTCATCTGGTTGTAGCTTGGGAGATCGTTCTGCGCCATTCAGCATTTTGGATTGCCAGTTCGGCATCGATTCAGTGCAAGTCACTTGGAATCAGATCGATTTGACTGGCCCCCGGCAAGGCAACCCACTTGGCTTGCGGTACCCCACTGTGTGAACCTCCGTAACAAGGGTCCTGGCGGGTGCCACTCCAGCCCCTCCATTCCGAGTTTTTATGTAGGTTCACGGGCCACAAACTCGATGAAAGACCCCAAAATCTGAAAAAGAAATGTCTATCCAACCGTCATGGCGCATGTACACCAACGGCATGGCTGTCTGCGATGTGCCTCTGACCTCATTCATGGCTGATAAGAAAGCTTGGGAAAACAGCCAATAGGTGAGATATAGCCACATCGCGTGACCCTCTACCAAGTGAGAACTCAGAATCTCAGAATCTGAGATGCAGACTGGGACGTTACATCCTCGTCGTCGAAACAGACGGCGAAGATTAGGAAGATAGCTGGGATTGCACGTGGGTACAATGATTGGAGACAGGCGGGCCGAAGAAGAGTTCCGTGAAGTCTAGGATGGTCCCGCCGTCTAGATAAGAGGGTCTGCGATTTCCTATCTGTGGGTGAAAAGTTTGAGGCGTTGGATATTGTTAGGAATTATGTCGGGATTTGATCCAATAGCCTTCTTCCATTCCGTAACAAGCAGGTCATCACATACCTAACAGCAGGACAATTAAGCATTCAAGAAAAAAAGTTTGCACCACTCGGAGCTGACAGTGAGGCAGAGGTCGGGGCAAAGCTGGAAGCTGTCAGTTTTAGGTTTAGCGTGATCGCTTCCATTTTCGACTTCACTGAATCTTGCATTTCGTTGTCACCGTATGCGCATCAACGCATCCGCGACTATGGTTATTACCACCTAATACGTTAATACGGCTATTGTATGCGAATGCCACCGATTCACGGACCCTCTCCTCATCGATGAGAAGCCCTGTCGATGAGAAGTTTGACCTCGAAGCCTGCTTGAGCATCCAGGCTCTGCAGACCATGTTACTACGATGACCAGACATACACTTTTTCGATGGTGGTACACCGGCATATTCGCCTTTATCACTCTAATTCTCATTGTGGGGTTAGTCATCACTCCAGGCGATGCTATCAGACAAGCATTGAGCAATGATCAATTGTACAATGTTTTCGTCATTGCTGGCTGCTACGCTCTTACGGCCGCCGCGGCATTTTTCATCTACTTCCTGAGAATCTATACGAATAGAACGGTCCTTAAAGCGATACCAAAGAATTGGATACCGATCGAGAAGGGAGAAGTAAACAAGAAGGTCAGGAAAATGATACTTGCTCAACTCAACAGAAGTGCGACAATTGCATGGGATTCCAGACCGCGTATACCTCAAGAACCAACCGCTATTGTGTCCGAGCCGGAAACCAAAGACCCTGTGGCTGTTTCGGCAGAGAAGGAGCCTGTGAAGGAAGAGCACGGCTTATTTCACCGGACCCATACGACGGAGGAACAAGTCGTGACAATACCGCCTCCACGTCCAGTTTGGGGAGATATCTCACACAATGGTTGGTCATCGCCAACATCACCAGATTTACCAAGTTTACAATACACAACTGTTATTCTGGAATTGCCACATCTTATCGAAGCTAGAGCAGTTTCCCTAGCACCAACAAACCTTCAAACCGATCCTCCTCTTCCAGATGCTCGGGTGGTAGAACTATTGCAGAGGCCAGCAGCAATGGGTCTTCGAGATTACATTGGTCAGCTTTCCAGTATGGGAGTCCTCACAGAACCCGCTGCGACGGCTGAGTTCCTCACTCAATATGAATACGCACGTTTTTCAGGGCGGCTGTTGGCAGAACAACAATTTCGAGATCTCATGGGACATTTTGCAGAGTTGCTGAGGAACATGGATACCTTGGGTCCAGCTGTTCTTGCAAGTCTAGATATTGTAGACAGTGATATCGATGATGATGGTTCCTCTACAACTCCAATCACTCCACGCAGCAGATCTCCAAATCGTAGCGTGAGTAGTCATGAAGGGACTATCCGCACAGCTCCATCACGACATACAGATACCACACCATCAAAGCGACAAGAATTCAGTACAGCTCCAGCTACACCAAGAAGCAAGAAGCGTGTGGTATCAAGATCGCCAAGCATGAACACTTTTGCCCAAACTCGAAGACCATATGCAGCGAGCAGTTCGAGCGAAAGTCTGAGGTCGACGAGTGAGAGTAGTGTTATCAAGTTAAGCAGGTCGAATACACCAGGTGATCTACCTTACACTCTCAACATTCCTGGAGCACGATAGTCTTATTCTCTTCGATTTAGCGAAGGCGTTCTGGTATGGAAGTTTGGATACGGGAACTAGTAGCATAACGTTTAATGATAATGTTGGTTAGTGGACGAGATCAGGTTCAAGTTGTGAGCCTTTCACTCTGACCTTTGAGCCTTAAAGCATCTGAAAGCTGAAGGAAGCGTTTTGCTCTTTTCTTTTTTGGGAACATTGCAGCGTGGAAGTCAAGATGCATCGCTTTTCTATTCTTTACTGCTTCAATCATAACTGCCATCTGCTCATGCGGCCATCTTCTGTCAATCTGATCCTTTCTCTCTCACTTTCCCCTTATTCTACTTCATCTCCTTCTGTGCGACCAGATCCCACCTAGCATTGGACTTGGAGGCAACTGTGAACAGATGCGAGTGCAAGCTGTTCATGTGGGATATCGTTCCGGCGAGTGGCGGAGGCTAAATTGTTGCGTCAATGTTGAGGAACATCGAAACGTATCTGCGTATTCCGTTCAAGCCTGGTCTTGAACGGTGTTTTTCTTAGTACGTCTGTTATAGAACTCTTAGTCAGATGTTTTTGTTTTAGACCTGAAATACATCGGATAGATGGCATTCGATACCTCGAGAAGACAGAGTGGTATTAGGCATTAACGGTCTGGCAGGGAGTTGACTTACTTGCATCGCCAAGCCCCTCACTAAATGTCTTGAGTCTTGGATGTTCTATGTTTCAGAGCCTCTAGTCTCAGTCTTTTGCCTCGTCCATCTTCTTCTCGAATGTATCAAGCTCAGCCTTCATGTCCTTGGTATGTGCAGCCTTGCTTGTCACTGTTGTTGTGTATTGGTATCGAGGTTGGCTGTCCTCTGGATTGCTGAGGTATGTATTGATGCGTTCAGTCGCGAGTGCTCTGGCTGCAGTAGAGTCGTTTGAATAAGGCTGCTTCGCAGTGACAGATTGAACAGCCGGTAGAGGTGGAAAGCTAGGGGCGTTAGCTGAGGAGTGATGTGGGACAAAATGTGGGTGATGTACTCATCAAATGATCCGTCAGTGGCGCAGGTGGAGCTTGGGTAGTTGGACATGGTGAGTGAAGAGCCTGAGGAGATGATTATGACTAAGTATGAAATAAAACAGAAGCGCGTATCAGAAGCGCGACCGATTTTTCGATACGCCAAGCTAGAAGAAATAATAATGCCAGGAAGACTTGTTCATGTTTTGAGGAGGTTCATTTCTTATACATATTTCCTGGGCGCACATCCAGATCGAAAGTCACAATATCAAGGTCTTCTCCAAGTGTGCCCCATCCGGCAGGTGAGGATATTGCGCGGGTGCTGGAAAGATTCGACGCTGCAGGATTGGCTCAATTACGTTCATGCACACAGTGCAATGAGAGGAAAATCCAGCTCTGTCGTTTTGAGATTGGATGCTTCACTGTTCACTGCAGCCGCGTGCTGCAGCAACAACGTCCCGACTACTCGGCTGCAGTGGCCAAAAGAAGTGGCGGTCTGTGGCTGATGACCACCAAGTCTCTCAACTGCACAAACAATTGGTGTTGTTGCGACCGTGTGGGGCTGTGGCTGAGGCATTTTCAGTCTCTAAACTGCATGGCTCATTGGTGTTGTTGCACTCGGTGTGGCTGACCCCAGCGAACTTTAGCCTTATTCCCCTCACATGCACAACACGCGCCACACAATCAAGCTTGAGTCCATCTGCTGGCGGTTTCTTTCATGCTTTCATGTTCTTCGTGTGCGAGAAATTCCGAATTTTCCACGTCACTTTGTTCATTCATGAACACTGTTCGTCAACTTTGTTTGTTGCATCTGTTGCTTAGAAGTATTTCGCCGGCCGAGTAAGATCTTGCTTTCAATTCCGCTGCTACTGTTTGCGTAATTAACGGAGATGGCCGGACAAAAAAATTCTGTTCGAGGACGATCTCGATTCTTGTAATTCCAATCAAACTATTCCTCGAATCATCGAGTTTGTACAAGGGCCGAGGTACATCTGTTGTCAGATTGGAAAAGAACCTCAAGATTCCTTGGCTCCAATCAAACGACTACTCAAAACATGTATTCTGCATAAGGCTCGAGGTGCATCTGTGGTCGGACCGAAGTCATGGCCTACTTTATTCGTAGGCACAGGCACCCGTCAAGGCTAGGCCTACTATAACCAAGGACCCGGGTACATCACACCCCACAACTCCTATCCAGCGGCCTTCGAGGCTGGATGGGGCGACCCGAGGAGAATGTGGCAGGTCTATTTGATTTTACTATTGGGTCAGAGGCATGAGCTGGATTCGTGGGGGCAGCTTTTTGGCATGTCAATCAGGGTGAGTTATATTACGGGAAAGCTGGGCGCTGGCATTGCGTTACTTCATAGGGCCTGGGTCTGACCTCGAAGTCGCGTGGGGTTTGAATCTACGAACCAGACCCACATCACTCGAGGTGACACTGGTTCAAATCACCTCGCACGCGAGGGTTCAGGACTTCGACCCCCTGTTGAGTGTTCGAAGGAGGCTAGATGCTTCGTCCAATTCGGTACTATGTCGCCCATCCAGTCTTTTGGCAAGTGCCACCTCTTCCTCCTTCCGCTGTTGGTCCTTCCCATGGAACATTCTTGCATACTACTATGTTCTTTGTTGATGTCTCCGTACCATTAGATTTTTAGTGTTTCCCTCATTCGGCTTCTCTTTCATAGCAGCTAGGTGGTCAGAAGAGACTTCGATTAAGTTCGTGTGGCATATGAAGATAGGAGTAGCATGTAAACAAAAGTATTGTGAACACGTTTTACCATCTCGAAATCATGAGTCACTATCCCTGTATCTGGTGGAGGAGAGCTTAGAAGACGTTTAGTTGCATGTAGTAGAAGGATTGGACCAATAGTCTCACTTTTCGTTATAAGACGTTCACTTGCATGTAGTAGAAGGAGTGGACCACTAGTCAGGTGACTTTTCGTTCAAACTGAAAAAATTCTCAGTCGTTCATCCTTCAGCCAGCCTTTGAAAGGGTCAGCCTTTGAGTCTCACGTTGCATACTGCTCTCTTCCCTTCCTCCGTCTTCTGTTTCGGTATTCTGGTGAATATCAACTATACTACTGCATTTGAGCTGGCACATCGAGAACGTAAGTCGCGGAGAAGTATATTGCGCATTGTTAAGTCAAGATGAATAGCATCTTCATACAAAGTTAGAAGTCTTTCTTCAATACTTCAGCTACTTGCGGCAAGCGCCTTGTCTACCCTGTCCCCATTCTACATCGGCATCTTTTCAAGTCAATAAGCCACAAGTTCGCTCATTCTCAAGTCGGTCCCGCAGTCCCCCAGTATCCTGACACCTTTACTCCAACGATCCCTGCACTTCTTCCCGTGTCAGTGAGGCGCGAGTTCGTGGGATGAGTAGAGAAGGCGAGAACATCGGCACAGGAGTTGATCCCCAGTTTTCGATATCAGGCCATGCTTCCATTTGTTAGTTTATGAGGCATAGATGTGGATCATGACTTACACAAGGTGATGAGCATGAGTATGAAGAGAAAAGTACAGATCAGAACCACTGCCACTGTAACCCAGCTGTAGTCACTAGTGCCTTTCTCTGCTCCGACCCAAATGCAAAGGCCTGCGAGGAACAGTGCACCAGCGACGGAAAGCAAGCAGAACCAGACGCGGTAAGCCCATGGGAAAGCTTTCGGAACGAGTGTTCCCGCTTCTGTTGGGAGAACATTGGCTGTGAATCCGCAACCGAGCCCAGTGAGCAGGCCGAAAAGAGTTGACAAAGCGAAAAGACTCCTATAATACAAGATGTTATCAGCAATTTTTCATTAACATCTCAGGGATATTTCATAGAGTATTCAACTTACCGAGCAGCTTCCACATGGTGAAGGAACTTTCCGTCCTCGCGATAAGTGTTGAATCCCAGTGCTAAGAAGGCAGCACCAATGCCTGCGGTATAGAATGCAGATGTACTCAAGTGACCAAGCCTAGCCTTTATGTCTCTGATGATGAGACCTGCGCTAGTAAGTGTAAGAAAGGCCATCATGAGACGACCGAAGAAGGTGGTGGGCCTCAGTGGCGACAGAGGACGCATTGGACCAGGGAGTAGGCGTCGGTACTAGTCGCCTATGCCTTCATTCGAGTTATGGGTCCGGTACTCTTGGAGTTCGTGGTTCCTGGTTAAGGTTAGCAACCTTGAGTTTGATGAGTCTTGGCAGCAAATTGACAAGATCTCGTGGGGATGAAGCACTTACTCGCCGCGACCAGAAGATGATTCCGAGAGGAAAGACATGGTTCTTGACTGCGTGAGAGTTAACTGATTTCGACGCGTCGGGAATCGAGTCTGGGGATTCTCAAGTTAGGAGTGGAGTTGATACTTACATTTATGAAGGAACTTCGAAGGAGGGCGTTGAAGGGAAAGAAGTTGAGGTCGTTGGAAGAGACGTGTGTGCGCGTGTGAGAAATGAGACTCGGATATGTGTGCTTGAGAAGAGGCGTTGACTACCATGCCAAGGGAAGTATAAGTACTAGACCACCGTATGGTCTCACAATCAGTGATCTGTGACCTCTCCAACGGGAGCCAATGAGAACCCACGGCGAAGTGCATTTTCGCGCTCTTTCTATAGATCAAGAGTCAAGCGAGGATGTCAGATCACCTTCGATGGACCCGTAAGGTATTTATTGCAACACTAAGGTCGCTCGCACGCGTGCATCTTCCACAAGTTCTGCATTTGCTCTATCAAGTCTTCTATGGGCTTATCTCAAGAATTCCCTTTGTGTAATGCAGCAATTCATGAGAAAATATTTGAAAAGAAATACGTGATATCTATGCGCGTACATCGCTTCCCGTTGACTTCTTGATATATCTTTACGAGTTCCAACGCTCATGGAGTGTTCAATACTACAGGTTGCAGATGATACCGAGCAAAGTCTTTGCATTTATCTGACTCGTTTCGCGTTGATCTTTAGCATACATGTGAAACATCTTTCCGGAGTAGGCTCACCTGGAATATTGTGTCGAACGCGCAGAAGTGAGAACGCGTAACATACGAGTAACACCGTGATTCAAGAATACCATCATCTCTTTTGACCTTTTCACGCAACCATTAATGACTTCAGTTGGTTCTTGAAAGTAATAGAACATTGGAAAAGTTGAAGGATGGCGAAGAATAACCCAAGTACGCGTGCGCGTCTAGTTATCCCACATGGTGGATATGATTGAGAAACGTCACACTCAGTCCACAGTCTCTGGACCTAGCATCGATGACACAAATTATATTACAGCAACAGCGTTAAGTGATTGATTAGACGATATCAACCCAAGGACCCACCATGCCAAACTTTCGTATCCGTGATCTCTTGCTATCAACCACCCACAGAACTCCGTCTTCCTCAAACGTATAACACCAACATGAGCCCGTGAAGTGTACACTGCATTCGAGTTCTTGACTTGCGGCTTGGTCAAGGTTCGCCAGAATGACACCTCTGAAATCGATTGTTTTCAGTCCACCTTTCGTAGCACAACCGTAGGCTTCGCAGAAGCACCGCAAACCCTTATGTAACCGACACTCATCCCCTCTCACGACAGGTCCAATGAACTCCTCTAACAGCACATCACATGTGGAACCCCTAGAGCGATAGTTCCAAACATTCTTCAAAGTGACCTCCGTTTACACTTTGATTTTCCCAAGCCAAGTTGTTTGTCGAGCCATAGCGTACTGGTGCAGATCTGCGTGGAATTGTTTTACTCTTTCACCATTCCGTATCGCTTCTAAACCTGCGTTCGTAGGGTGCCATTGACCCTGAGCATCTCTGAACCAGTATGTGGAGCGTCTTCGGGATAATGCATACGGCCAGTCCAAGGTGATATTTCCTACTGGCCATCCAGTTCGATTCCGCTGTTGCACAATGAGTCCCGACCAAGGATCCTTTCCCAGCCAAGGATCATTTAGAGAGTATGCTGGTGGTGATATATCATGTCTTTGATTGGCTTCCAGGTCTATATTTTCGGTGTAGCTAGGAAGATCTGAAGTATTCAGCGTCTGGAAATATATTGCAGTTGTGTTCCTACCTTGCTTCGGCAAAATCTCCATTTCCGTGATATGATGCGTGTCCATGTTGTTGTAGTGAACTGATGAATAACGATTCAACTCCAATTATGGATGTGGGCGCCAGCATTTTATAAGATGGTGTTACTTAAGAGGTGACGTTTTGACCTGCGGCTCCTAACATGATATCATCTGGTAGCGGCGGGTGTCTAAATTACTTAGTGTTGTTAAGCATATCTTCGGCAAGTGTAGGATATCACGAATTATTATGGAAAAAATTGGACAAAGGATTATTTTTACTGCTTTTAAATCTCGAACACTGAAACTTTGTTCATACTTCTACTAGAAATATAAGTTGTAGATTGCACCCGGAAACTGAATGCGTTTATGAGTACCTGGGTAGGTATTGTACCGAATGCGCTAAGGGTACGCGACACTAAGTGCACTAAGAGTACAGCACTGAGAGCACTACTCTAAACCCACTGAGATATAGTTAGTGACAGATGCTGAGCAATGTAGTTGTAGCAGAGCTCAAGAAGTATGGAATATGGAGAGAAAATTAGGATTAATTTTTGCTGCACAAAAGCCACACACATTAGTGCCAAGTTGTCAACCTCAACTCTCCCTTTTCGGTGTGTTCGTCCTTTAGGACGCATCGAGTTGTATCGATCACGCCGGGGCTAGCGCCTTCGTGCTGGCGTTAGCTCACTGGGAGCAGTGTCGCTGTAGGCTATCGTAATGGCTTTTCCTTGGTAAATCGAAACCTTTTCCGTGGTCTACTATTTCCTTAAAAAATCGTTGCAAGAGGTGCCTTTAGGTAACCATGGCATGATACAACAACCCCACGTGATTTCCAACATTCAATTAACTAAACTATTCTCCCTCTCGTTTCCACCGTCGCATATACAAGCTACATCTACCATGTCTGAGCTCACAGCCTTGATAAACGTACTCGAAGATGCTATCTACGAGCAGAAGCTTGACAAGGTCAACGAAATACTGGAGACAAGTCCTGGTCTATCGCAAGACGATCTCAACCTAGCACTCGGTTCGTCAATCGATCCAGACGGCGACATTAGAGCCATGGCACCACTCTTTGCACGTGGGGCCAAAGTCAACCACTCTGCTTTTCGTAGTGCCATGATGAGAAAAGATCTTGTTGCGTGGCAAGCATTCATCGACCAGGGCTGGGACATCAATTCGAAAGAGTTTGGAGATATAGCCCTAAGGTATGTTGTGGAGAAACTTCTAGAGACATAGGCCCGCCGTTGACACAATCACTAGATCTGCAGTATATAACGAAGAACATGTCAAGTGGTTCCTCGACCATGGTGTAGATCCTAGTATACCGTGCGCGAGAGGATGGAACCTGCCTATGCTAGCAACCAACAACGATCCAGACAAGGCGATTGCAATCCTCAAGTTGCTACTCTCTCATGGAGCCGAGCTCGATCCCAAAGCTGCAATGTTCGCAATGGAGCGACCTGGTGGTCTTCCGATTGTGAAGTTCCTAATCGAAGAAGGAATGGATGTCAACGTTGTGCTACCCAAAACGGGAAGGCATTGCCGTGGGATGGGCCGTCCCGGGAGCTTCCCCAGAACGCTTCTGCTCTGTGCTGTACGTTGGGAAAAGATAGAGATCGTGAAGTTTCTTTCAGATGAAGGGGCGGACAAGAACCTTAGTCCCGATGGGTTTTCGGCCACTGATTGTGCAAGGAATCACGGTTGCACGGATATCTATGAGCTTCTCTCCAACTGGTGAGGCAGGTTCCAGAAGGTTCTTGGCTGGCAAGACGTAATACTCTCTACATTCAAGTGAAAGAGACATCACGTTCGTCGCAGAGGAAAGTACTATTGATGAGCTATGCTCCATCTCAGTGTTAATGGGAGGCTTTCCGAACGGATGAAAAACGGCTGTCAATTTGTATCTATGTTGCACACTATTTTGCGTCTACTTTCCCCGAAGTCCATGCATTCTATGTTTGTTCACAACCCTGGTAATTGAAACCGAGATCGAGGAGGAACATTGGATGCTTCTTAATGCTTCAACTACTCTCTGTTTTCTTGACGAACCCCTCATCTTACTTGAGTGTAATATATCTATCGTATGGTCAAACTCTTGCGCTGACTTCAACATTGGTAAAGGGCCTCTTTAGTATCTGACCGATGTACAAAACAATAAACACGGCATTGACCCTCAGCGTCGTTGTGTTCGTGGTGCAACCACCCAAACTGGTTTTCGATGAGCTCCTGACAATGGCTCTGTGTATCGAAGCGTGGCTCGACACGACCTCGACAGTCCTCATGACTTTGGCTCATCGACGATCGTAAGCTTGGCTTTGGTCTATGGATAGATTGTCGCCTTTTAAAATGTCAGTGTGTCCCACTTTCTCATATGAAGTATGAGTATGCTGACTTACCTCTTTCTTTCCTCATGCGAACGTGTCAACGTCCAAGCTGGGAAGAGAAGAACCTCTTGAAGCTACTACTTCTTCGCCATAATATCATCGAAAGATTTCAAGTACTCGGCAACATCCTTAATATGAGCATCCACACTTTCATAACAAGTATATGTGTAACGAGGTTGACCTTCGACAGGGTTGTTGAGCCATGAGATGGTGCGCGGAAGTTCAAGAGTGTTTGGAGTGGCACATGAGGATGAGGTTGATGGTTGAGCATGAAGGTTAGGGGAATTTGCATCGATAGCAGCTAGTATGGAGGCAAACTTGATAGCCTCAGTGGTAGGAGTAGGAGAAGAAGTCAAGGTAGACGGAAGACGAGGGAAACTATAAGGTTCAGTAAGACTTTCGGTCAAGAGACGGTAGCATTACGAGAGACGTACTCATTGGCAGATCCATCAGTCGCAGCAGTTGAGTTCAGATAGGCAGCCATGGTGGAGTTAGTATGTGAAGTAGCAGGAGGCTATAGCACGTGATGCTCTGTGACTTTTTGATGAAGTTGGTTCAAGAGTTTGAGCACAACGATTGATGATCTTTCCGAAAAGAACAGAGACTCGAGGTGGGAATAGGAGCATTCTTATAAGCTTCGCATGTATCTGGGCGGCCACAAAAAATATCGACGTTGAAGGGGATTCGAGAGCTTCAAGGATGAGAGGAGAGTTTACAAGGATGAGGGGAGAGGCTGACAGGGATGAGAGGGGCAGTTGGACTATGAAGAGAGCAACTGCAGCTCATCTTGCTGCCGCTCACCGGTGTATTGGACAGCTGAAGGAAAAGGCTTGCTGCATCTGCAATTGCAAGGTGGCTAGACTCACGCCTGTTTCGGCATAATGCATCTGAACAGGAGAGATTAGCAGGGATAGGAGCGAGAGGCTACAGGGATCACAAGAAGACATGAGCAAGCTCGGGCCCTGAGCCTCGGGGTCATGACGAGGAGACGGCTGTTGGGATATGTCACCACCAATGGCAGCTTAGGCACATTAACACAAGAGTCCCGAGCCTTTTGCGAGCCTGATCAAGAAATCCACCAAACCAGTCAAGCTTTTGCCAAGACATTGCCAAGCGTGAACGTTCCAGGAATTCCATAGGCGTCCGTTGGTGGATCCGTATGTGATGCGCCGCAGGGCCAACTGGATCTTCGAGTGAGCCATAGTCCGTGGGATTTTTTGTGCACCGTAGGTGAGCAAATCAATTCGACCCCGCTACACTTATTTCGGTGGGATGCGGGGTTTGTCCTTGTCTTCTCTTAATATTCCCAATCCACCATTCGGTCTCAATATCTATATTTCAATATATTTCGATCACCTCTCCCGTCGTGAAGATCAAATCTCCTTCGGCCTGAGCTTCGAAGTCATACGGAGCCTTTGCCGTTTCAGCGGCTAGCGGTCCAGGGTCTTGGCTTTGGGGGAGGTGGGGCTGCTCCTTTTGCTTTTGCAGCGGCACCCCACTGGATCCAAGCCACAACCGTGGGGTCATGATATCGTCCGATTGACAGAATCAACCTCGCGCTGTTTAGATAACGGTCATTTCCATATCAGCTGTAAGGGGTGATTGCTGAAGTAATCATCGCGAAGGGGAGAGGAGAGAAACCTATGGTACCGAGCAATCCTATACTTGGTCCACCAATCATGAATTATTTCCCATTATTGGAACTTGAAGCTTTTGCGCGATGTAATAAGCTTCAAGTCGGAATAATGTTTCAGTCTTCTGATATTTTTGAATTGCGACCTGACTTTACTCTTCAGCTCTAGATACTCACTAAGTCTTGCCCTGTATCTGTTGACATCGGTAAGGTTTACACTCCATCCAATCAGATTCTCCGGAAAGTCTGGTGGCATTTTGGTGCGGATTTCCTTTGGCATGCAGTGTCGCATCGCCACCATGCATAAAGACAGTCGAATGACCATACATTCAAGTCTTTAACTCTATCAATCGATTGCAATCCGGCCGGGTTCGCTGCCAAGAAGCTGCCTTACCATTATGGCATAAGCTGGATCGCAGGCTGTGCAACACTTGAGAGTTCACAACAATTCATGAATCCGCTGAACGGCCCGTCTGATGTCACTTCTTAATCACTACTGTACCAAGCTTACAAGAACTGTAAGTCACCCACATCCACTGTTACGGAGGCACCAGAACGAATACTTACTTACGAACATGGGGACAAAAGTCCGTGCGTTCAGGGCATCAGAATCATGAATTTTATTAATTAATTAGCTGTAGACCAGCCACATCGCTTAATTAAGTCGTGTACCCAGAAGTCCTGCTGCTCAATAAGCCCATTGATCCATTCCTGAGGAATTTTGTCCCATTCTTCTAATACTGCTACAACCATTTGAACCTCAGTTGTTGGCTGCCTTAGGCGCCTATAGAGAGCTTGTTTTATTCTCCTCCAGCACTTCTCAATAGGATTCATATCAGGGCTAACTGCAGGATGGGGGAATAGAGTAATACCCATAGAAGTACGCCAAGTAGCACAAATATTGCTAGTAGTCTTGTGGCCGTAAGCAGAGTTGCCGTCTTCCATGAACTGAGGGGTCTTCCCAGGCCCCAAAACAGCCGCAAAAGCAGCTAAAAAATCCTGAATATAAGGCTTGAGTACTTAAGCAAGGTAATCAGTTTGTATAAATGCCCCACTCTTCCCAGTTCCATGAATGTTGATCAATGGACTTTTGTATCCGTAGCCTATAGCACCAAAGAAGTGTACATGAATAGTGCCACCTCTATGCATTTGGAATTAAATGCAGTCAGGATGACAGCGTTCCTTCTTATTCCTAATACACCTCTGCTTGCATTTCTTCCCTCCAACTTAAAATGTGACCTCATCTGAGTATAGTATCTGACTCCATTCCCAAATAGTCCAAAACATGTGTGCTATCCCCCACAGCTACCGCGCATTGGCTTGGGTCTTAGTGAGGTAGGGCTTTTGGCAGCAGATACAAGAGTAGTATCCAGCTTCTTTGCAGCGGCGTTTGAGGGTCTTGACAGAGCAAGAGAGTTGCAATTCATCGTGTATTTGGATCCAATTCAGCACTCTAGTTGCATGGTCGGTGCAAATATACTCAATAATATCTCTAACCTCCTGTTCATTGAGGGATTCTCTGGGTCTCCCTGTGCGTGTAGGGCGCGCTCTTTTAGGCACATCGTATAGTAGGATCTTCCTAACTGTGCTGTCTCCTAGGTGGTAGTAGCCCTGGAGCTATTGCAGGCCTATTTTAGCGAATTTAAAGAGCCGGCGTATGCCCTCTTTGTGCTTGGTTCTGATCTCTGCACCTGGGAGACGTGGAGACATAGGTGGAGTGGTAAAAGGATCCATAATGGTGGAGTTGTTGATAGTTTAGTCCTAATGTGAAGAGTTTTAATTTCGAGGTTCTACAGCCTGAACGCACGGACTTTTGTCCCCATGTTCGTTACCAACTTGTGCCTACAGGTATCAATGGCAGCGTTGGCGGGTGGAGAGATCCTGGTTGTTTAAGATACGAACAAAACCCATCGACTGCGTGACGACTAGAGGTATTGCATAGAATCATCACACTAAGCTAGAGATACATGCAGTTTCCCTTTTATTCTCCTTCGGTGAACCCCTCAGCATGATTGAAGCCAGAGTACAACATACGTGACCGAGCACTGACTTGCCGTCACTAAAATAAAGGGTCCTATCCGATGAGAAGAGGGTTGTATTAGTGTGTCCAAGACTTGAGTAGTACAAAATTCCTATTAGAGATTTCAAGGAAAAGTAGTAGTGAATTAAAGCGAGTCCTATCCGATATTGAACGATTATGTGATGACACTTTTTAATCCAGCCACCATATGAGAGGTGGAAGTAACTGCCGTGAGCCACTTGTCCGACGACTATGTGATATTGTAGATCTTGTTGAGTGTCAGCATATTTATTGCAAAACGAACATGTGCACCCACTTCTTTCTTTGCTAATATGAAGGTGTCAACGTCCGAGCTGGGAAGAGAAGAACCTCTTGAAGCTACTACTTCTTTGCCATAACATCATCGAAAGTGTTCAAGCACTCCTTAATATCCTTGATATGAGCATCTATAATTGCATCGGAGGTATAAGTAAAGCGAGGGTGACCTTCGACAGCGTTGTTGAGCCAGGAAGCGATGTGCTGAAGTTTGAGGGTATTGGAAGATGAAGACGGGATTGATGCTTGGGCATGAGGCGGATTGGAAGCCGCATTGATAGCAGCAAGCATGGACGCGAAGGTGGCAGCTTCAGTGGTGGTAGTGGAGGAGGAAGTCGAGGTAGTTGGAAGAGGTGGAAAACTATTAAAATTAGTAAGACTTTGAGTTGCATAGATCATTTGTTATAGAGCATACTCAGTGGCCGAACCATCAGTTGCAGCGGTAGAGTCTGGGTAAGAAGCCATAGTGAAGGTTGTAGTGTTGAATACTTATGAAGCACGTAGCAAGAGGCTTTAGCACGTGATCCTGTGCGACTTTCTGGTAGAGCAGATTCTGTCTCAGTAGATTGAATATATTGATTGAGAATATTTCTGAGAGGACTAGAATCGAGAGGTGGTAATGGAAACATTCTTATAAGCTTTCCAATATCTCTGGGCGGCCCCGACCTATTTTGGATGTTTTGACGGATTCGTAGAGGGATAAAGATTCATGGCCCTCTGCCTCAACTCGACCATTGGAAACAAGGTTAGAAAGTAGGCCTCATGCCACTCGAAGGCGTTGGCTGTGAACGCCATTGGGTAGAACAAACATTCTGAAGGATCTCCATCCCTGTTGTTCCAGTCTCCCCTCAAAGCCCTTCCGCTGTTGGCAGTAGGGTTGGCAGTGGGGACGGGTCGTGGCGGGGTTGGCACGGCGCTAGCCAAATGTTCTAGTGAGCGATAATGACAAGGCTCGAAGCACATTGCGCCAAACTGACCCATCCGCGACTTGAAATTTTGCCATGTCGAACGTCGTAGCGTGATGCGGTAAGGCTCCCTCCCGAAGGATATGGTGCCCAGTGGATCGGCGGCAGGGGCTGTCTAGGGTCCTCTCGTTCTAAAACATTCGACATGTATAGGCGATAGCGTTACGTCATAAAAGACTAGTGGAGGGGCGTGGCTCAAGACCCAGGAATCCGGGACACTCGGGGAAATGTTTTCAAGTCGTGAGCGTGAAATGTACGAAATCTCTAGCCTTCACATCGTCAAAGATGGTTTGTGCCATATCGCGCAGACGAAGCGCCAACGACCCAGCCTTATCACCACTTCATGGATGCATCATTGCTCAAGAAGTGAAGACACATGCCAGCTTACAGACCCAAGAACATCCAAGGACGTCCTGACATCTGCGTCGATTCTCGCTCTCCTCTGTGCGTCTGCAGGATATGGTTTCGGAGACGGTTGAAATCCGCGAGCTTAAATGCAAGAGAGGATTCTTGAGGCGGTTAAGATCTTCGAGCTTAGAGCTGGTTTCATCCTAGCACGATCTTAAATCCTGATCGCTCGCCAATTCTTCCTGCGGCGTGCTGCAACAGCAGCTGGAGCCACTGACGACCAGGGTCGACCAGAATTTCTGAAATTCTGAAAGCACAAGGTGGGCTTGATTAGAAAGATTTTTGTGTCCTGAGGAATCACCACCTGTATCATAACACGGCTTCTATTCTCTCATGCGCCGACGAACATGCAGCCGAACAGTCGTAGTGACAATTGATTAAATGATTTGTGTAAGCCCAACTATTCTCAATCCCACGACCGTCATGTGCACACAACCACTACATTTCTCCACCCCTTCAAGCCTCAAATTACTTCCATTACATCCTGGGACATGTATAGCCCGAGACTCGGACTCCACCCAATATCTGCATCTCTTTCCGCGACTCGCGTGATTTAGCCCGTACCCCTGAACTACGCGAGGCTCGGCAACTACAGTGCCCCCATGAACAGTGGATCGCCTGGGATAATCCCGAGAGCTCCAAGTCGTCTCAGCGTGGGGCAATCAGTGATCGCACTACTGATAGTTCGGATCGTTCCTGCAAGTTTCATCAGTAACAAGAAGCAAGCTCAATTGATCGAGACCTACACCATTGTGTTCCGTCATCGAGTATATGTTCGTCGAAGCTGGTAAGTTGTTGCATCCACGGAGAGTTTATTCTTTGAAAATTATGCCGTCCAAACTATCGAGATAGTCCTTCATATCCTTTGCACGAGCAGAGTCGGATTTCGTAGACGAGGTATATTGAGATAGAGGTAGAGAACCGCTTGTCGGTGAGAAGTATGAGGTCATTCGAGCTTCGTAGAGTTTTTTTTCGTTGAGTTGAGAGTGTGAAGATACATGGTGTTTGAGGGAGGATGCATTGGAGGAGGAGTTGGAAAGGGAGTTGGTGGTATGGGGAGATTGACTGTGTTGTCAGTCGGCCGAGACTTGACAGATGGCTTGAAGATCCATACTTATGCGTAATAGCTGCGGGGGATGCTTCATTTGTGTTGGTAGACATGATGGATGTTGAAAGTGTCCTAGATGTACGAGGCTGTTTCGGATGTACGAGATACGAATGAAGGGGATGCACGTGATGGAGCAAAGTATAGTTGTATAGGAGTTATTGTCAATCGTAACAAGATTGTGTAGATTTTGAACACTGTGAAAGAATGGGGACTCGACATGTTCTTATATCTGTGAACGTTTGCAAGGCGTCTTGAAGCAGGTTCTAAGAGCTTTCCTTTTTTGGCATGCAATATCTGATTCACATCACAGTGCACCGCCGATGGCGCCGGCGGATCCCTGAAGGAGGGTGAGGCAGCGCCCTGGCTGGCCTTGCCGACCCATCGTGTTGGATCCCGCCATTTACGACGAACGCGACAAAGGCAGACGGGAGCGGTAGAGGATCCAATCACCTTTCGATCGCAACCGATTTCCTGAAGCACCGTATCGCTTGCACCCGCACCCGCCTTGCTTTTCCCGTCACTTGCGGCTAATGTATGTGGAGTCTCTCGCTTACGGGAAAGTGCATGTGCTGCGCCTGCTTTCCTTCCGTTGTGGTGGACGTGGGCGTTGGCTATCGCAGGCAGCTTAAGCTCTTTGGGGCATTCCGTGTTCCCCGTGTCTCGTCAATTGACCGCTGTACCCAGTTATCCGGGGATGCATGCTCTCTCTTTCTCTCTTCTCGCCGATGCATCATTTCTCGGACGGGATAAGGCGCGCACAGGATCCACAACACGCCGGTCTTATCAACCTTAGTCGCCCATCATGCATATCAGGCACTAGCCAGTTCGGGAGTCGTCGACTGGAAGGAGGCCTGGAACGTCAAGATTAAGAAGTTGCAAATCACTTTCTTGATGACTTCTCGACCGCATATTTCTGCGCCCAAAGTGTTTGATATAGCGTCAGCTAGCCTGGCCTCATCCTTCAGCAAACGTCTCTCCATATGACGCCGTTCGCGAAGATCTGCGACGAAATTGACTTTGTTACTCGGGACCGAAGAGCTGTTCTCGATTAAGGTGTGATATGTAGTGCTGAGCCGGATGTGACACCTCTTATGATTTAGGACCAATAAAGCATAGAGGCTTCATAATTCCCTCTTGCTGATATCATTGTGACTAAATTCTTCTGCTTCTTTGTGATAGGAATATACTTCCACCCCAAAAAGCGGCAACGTCTGAAAAGAAAAGAAGGCTCTGTCACATAGGACCAAGTACAACGTCAAAACGCGGGCTGATCTTCCAGTCTACAACCAACAGGCTCAATTTCCTCAACAGCCGAGCCAAAGGCTTGGGACGACCTTCGATTGTTTCAAACCGTTTGACAGCGCATCACATCGCATGACAAGGAAGGTAGACGGGACGGGATGAACGGACTCAGCACGGACATTCATGCTCTCCCCGGTGCGAGGTTGTCATTGGCGGGGAGCTTCCGCTGTAGATCCCTTAAAATAGGGGACAATTAGCCTAATGAGTTTAGCGCTAGTCCCACCTCGGCTCGTTGGCGTGCGCTAAACTCAAAAGTTCAATTTTGACTTCATCCTTGCTTGGAGGACATCAATCAGAACGACGGCGAGGATCCAAAAGTCAGCGATGATTAGACGCAATATTCACGGAATCTTTGCCCTGTCACAGAGCAGAGCCTCCCACACCGGTCACCGGAGGTGACAAGTCGTGCTGAGAAACGTCGGAGTTCGTCGAGGTCGTGTTGATGATGCGTCGATGACTATGAGGCCCTTTTGCTTATTTCGTACTTCTCATTTCTCATCCCCTTTTTATTTATCGAAGAATTTTCCTTCTCACCAGAAGCTGCGACCTGCAGTTCTAGGTTTAACGCGCTGTTGAAGTCGTTGCCAGCTAGCGTACGCGAAATAAAAAAAAATCAAGTTTGACTTCATTCTTTCGTTGACAACGCTGCATGACAACGGATAGTATCTGCTTCTACAGGATGGTATCTAGTGGTATTATCTCGTCACGTTGAAAGAGTAAGCAGAGCCTCATAGTAGGGTCGCGGGAGGACATCAAATCAACCTGAGAATCGTGAGATTCTGATCAGGTCAATTTGATGATGCGTTGTCAATGGGCTGGATGCGCATTTGAATACTTATCGTTGTTGATCTCTTTGAACTGATTATATGCTATTGTCACTTGTATATGTTGAAAGCATGGTGTTTGGGTCAAGAGACTTTCGAGACAGCTCGTTTTCATTCATTATCATAGCTATATCACCTGTCTTTCCATGATTTCACCCAAGTATATCGCATCCACCGAGTTCTTCATTGTCTTCGTATCCCCATACAGATATCTGGGATGCTCACTGACTGAGCAGAACGTGTCTACCACTTTTGTTACCCTGGGCTCGTCGTCATGCTTCGTCATGCGTCGTCCTCGTTGATCTTCATCGTCAAAGCCTCAACCTGAGAGAGCATATCCTCGACATGATCCTTCATACCTGCCTGAATAGTGTTGCGTTTGTATTGAGGAAGAGTGTGGATGGGATCGGCAAAGTATGAATTGACGCGACCTGAGCAGAGTTTCTGCCTTTCGCTAATTGTACGAGAGGTGGGAAGGACTATCAACAAGGAAGGCGAAGTTCTGATGTTGGGGTCTGGTAAAGTAGAATCGTTGGTCGAAGTGGGGAGGGGTAGTGAGGTGATGTTCTTGGCGAGGGAAGACTTCAAGTTCGAGTTCGAGGTACATGCAGATGAATTGTCAGGTGGGGATCTGTTTCAAGTTAGCATTTCAGCCTGCTAGCCGTTCATTAACAGCAGCAAAATGAAGTGACATACTCTGTGCTTGTGCCATGAGTGATGTGAGTAGAGGCTGGTGAAAGCGGCATCATCAAAGTGATTTCTTCGCTGGTACTGCTACAACTTGATCGAGTTTGAGACAAAATGAAGGCAAAAATCGCTGTGGGTGTAGACAGACAAGAGAAACAGTAGTTGAGTCAGATAATTCATAGTTATTAAGTAGGAAACAGGGCTCGAACTTATATATTGCAGAGGGGACGGGTAGGACGCTCTTATGACAGGTAATAACCGGCCGCCGTACTAGCGGAAGCGCATTACTTTGGTTCAGTTGCCACACTTGCATGCCAATTGAAAGACGCGGCTATCCTGACCGACGGCACTGACTCGCACCCCCAATCAATGTCAGCACATGCAGGAGGACGAGCGTACAGGAGAATATTACGCTTAGAGGAAACCCCACCTTGCCTGCGTAAACTTCGACCTGAAGTCTGGGGCTCGGGTCCTCATCCCGCGCTGGTCCGATCGCGACACCGCCCCCCAACGAGGTGTCCCTGGACCTGGGCATGGCAATGAAACAGACAAGGCTACGGGAGCGGCTGTGATATCCTTTCGCCTGGCGGTGTTGAGTTGCTCTACCTATTAATCATTCTGGAACGGGTAGTGGAGACCCACTCCCCATAACTTATTTGATTTAGACACTTGATGCCATACATGCTCCTCGGTATCATGCTATGTCCGAGACAACAAGATCATGGCAAAGTTGACAATCTTCAATGAACTTTGAAGATTCTGGTATTGAAAGCGATTGTTTAGCACACTTATCTGACATTCAATCCAGTCGGTGGGTTACGCTTACTGGAAAATTGGTGGATGTCAAGTAATCTTCCAGAATCCTGACAGTCAGTGCTTTTCGTGCAACGACGAACATTAATAGTTAGTAACTGAAGAGACCCTGGTTCCGTACCAACGACTTCTTGTGCTCCCGGAATTCACGAGTCAATTTGCAGTGCACGAACAGTTCTGGAAGCAAGGCGGCGAGGAACGGACGCCCGGGTCACCTGCAGCATGCAGCCGAGATTGTGTCATGTCTTGGTGAAGGAAGATTCAGAAGAAGGAGACGACAGTCTGGTGGGGTGTCCTGGAGTGACCTTTTGCAGACTGAACGAGGAAGCGGCCCGGGATCAACGAAGTGGGACGGGGGGTCGAACAATTGCTGGCAGCATGGAAGACCAGGGAGGGCCACAAGAGACACCACGGAAGATCGAGTGAGGAAGGCTGGACATTAGGGGGGCAGCCAAAAGAAATATGAGAAGATAGATTGAACAGAACAGCAGTCCTGGAACCCCCACTAACCCTATTTAAGTAATAAATGAGCAAGAACTCCTATCCCCTCGACGGCCAGAGCTGAATTTTAGCGTGGGGTCAAGTGCACGGGCTCCTCCCATTCGAGGAGTGGGGTCATCCCAAAGATTTGATTGGCGACACTAAAATTCACCTTTGAGCTGGCCGTCGAGGGGATACCGAACACACCGTACCACACCTCCAGAAGTACCTTCTCCACGTTGTGCTCCTCGTCGGCTCCTGAAGACTATATCTCATCTGGAGAATGCTCTCGTGCGCAAGCATCACGACAGCGAGAAAGCATGGGTAGCAGCACAGCTGCCGTATCCTGCATACTCAGCATTAACCTACTACATTTTCATCGGGATTCGAACTAAGGATATCATTTCAGCGCACGTTGCTGGACACAGTAAGATCGATTCAAGCACAGTACGTATAACTGTGAAGAACAAAAAGCTTTTACTAGAGTATGGCCAGCAGACTGAACAATAATTTAATGATGACGGTAGGTACCGTGGAGAATGAGAATGAGACCAGCGATCGTAAGTCACCGTAGTGGGAATTTTCCACAGCTCCAGTGATATGAGCGAGGTAGCAGGTACGATGCAGCTAGGATTGGGTGTCGCATCGGTCGCGCAAGGTTGCCATAAGGCCGCAGCGACCGAATCTGCTTGTGATGTGTTGGTCAAGATCGCTTTGTTCAGGTTAGTACCGCAGCGGTCGCGCAAGGTCGACATGGTGCCCGGGATGTTGGCTCAGTCCGTTCCGCAAACAGGACGACTGCATTGGCGAAAGGGGGATGATTTTTTCCTGGGACTGTACGTTCCTGAGGTCCTTGGGAATTTGAGGCGAACGTAATTAAAAGGCCGGTCAGGGGATGTATGATTTGAATTGGGCCATTCTGTCCTTCAAGTCCCCAAGCGGTCAACATAGGCATCCGGATCGCAACTCTCAGGAGGACTTGATTACGCTGATTGTACGGCGGCCATTGTTCAGACCACTCAGCCATCGAGACTGCCGTGTCCACATCCCCCGATCGTCTGGCCTTAACGCACCCCATCTGGCGGTGGGCAAGGAAGAGCGAGCAAGGCACAGAAACAGGGAAGGGTAGCGGTAAGGTAAGGCAGACACAAGCGTGGACTTCTTCTGAACTGAAGGAGCTGCATACGAGCGAGCGAAGTCTAGCTGAGCTGCAGGAGCTTGGAGCTAATCTATTATTCGATTAAACCACGCCTACCACCTGCAAATTCAGACAAGAGAAGATGGTGGTTTGATAGTGAACAACCTGCTCGATCTGCAATCAAGCCTCTTTTCCCAGCAGGTAAAGACGTACATCATAGTATTGAGACAACATGCGGCATGGTCGAGCCTCCACAGTACGGCTTGATGCCAAACAACAAACGGCCTTCAGATCCTGACAGCGTTACTGATGAGCCGGATTGGGTGACAGTCCCAGGTTCTTCTGCGCACAAGCTTAGGGTGCTGAAGGTTAGCGGCGGCAGGTGTTTGGGGGAATAATTTCGGGCTTCTTCTCCGTCATCCAATACTGTGTCAGCCGTGCTGACACAGCATTCACCAAGTCGATTCTCTGAGGTCTTGGGTCATCAAGTTCGGACAGCGTATTTTCCATTGCTTTTCTCGACATTGACAATTCGTCGCTGCACTTAGAGCGTAATTGTGGTAAAGCACAAGTTGCCAAAGGCTTTCTGTGGTGTATGAATGCGCAGGTGAAAATCATTTGTGCTCCCGAGAACGCGGCAGCTCAGATCGCTTGAATTGGTTGCTAATTGTTCAGTCTTTGCGCATTAGCCTGGAAGGCGTCGGCGAAGTGAACAATATCGACAGGGAGCATCACATAATATTCTCTCAAAGAAACTGATCAACCCATTCTATGTTCCCCATCCAACTCGTAACCGCAACTGCAGCGCTACAGGATCGGATCGTAGCGCCAGTGATCAAGGCCTAGACTTCCGCCAGCCCACTAAATCACCAATCATTTGACAGCGCCGATCCGCCAGCTGGGATATTTCAGGCTAAACTAGCTCCCGCATGAAGCATTCAGGGGTACTCGGTTAAGATCCGAACCGCCCTGCTCCTGTGGCTCAGCTGCAGGTCGCGCAAGAACCGGGAATGATGATTAGGCAGGTGATCCGATTAGATGGTGGATTGCTCCTGACCGACCTTGTTCCCCTTGAGGATCGCCCACTTGCGCACGCTGAGTCGGCATGGATGCAGTCTCTCATTAGCTCATCTTATCGAGAGGTCAAGGTGTTTTGAGAGAGGGCGTTCTTGAGACGGAACACAGAACGGGAGGGCAATTCTAAGAACAGTCTGTGCGACGAGCCAGAAACAAGAGTCCGGTTCGTGGATCCCAACGGAACCGTGGGGTATAAGTGGGATTATTAAGTTTCGGATGACGCACAGAGCAAGTGAAGGCGGAATGAAAGATGTGCATCTGAATCAGATCTCCGACGTCTGTGCCGTGCAGTGAGTGAGTGACGCGATTCAAAGATGAAGGTTTGTTGGACACTTGAGGATAAAAGGGAGTAAGGTTGGGGACATGTATATATTTGTTTATCGTGATCTCAACCTTGATTTGCGACTCTGTACGGAGTATAAGACAGGTACATGCTTGTTGACGTATCCAACGACAATGAAAGAAGACTTTTGTGATGTTGCAATCGATCTACAAGGGTGGTAGACACCAAGTGCCGGGACTCGAGCAAAAACTTTTCGTGAAAGGAAAACCAGTGTTAGAAGAGTGTAGCACCAAAGCGCCGAGGACGACAGCGTCTTGCCGAACGTTCTGCTGGAAATTGGTTGACAATGGGGCCGCTGAGACAAGAAGTTATGCCGAGACGTGTGTTACGCAGCTTTGTTAGGCATGGCTGCACTTGCCGAGCGGCGAGGACGGAAACCTGGGTTCATGATGTTGGACCGATGCCATGCTCTAAATCGATGTCGATGATTATGTTATGGGTGAGGAGAAAATCCATCGTAATCTCATGACGGTCAATTATGAAAGTTGTTGCTGGGGTGCTTGTGCTTACACGGGAAACATTTCTGTGTTCGCCCATACATTATGTGTTCGAGGAGAGTAATCATGGTCTCCAACTGTTAAGAATCACTGTTGTCCATTATATCATCGAAGTCGGCTAGGAGCTGAGCGATGTTCGCAGTATGCGTTTGAATGCTCTCGAATGAGGAAGTGTGGCGATGGAGCACTTGAGGATCGGAGTCGTTATCGAGGTACAAATGTTGAATACGTTGGATAGAAAGTGTGGGAGATTCGACAGTATCGAATTGTTCTGAAGGAGGCAAGATGGAGTCGACTTGATTGGATAATGCTAAGGGCTTCGAAGTGGCTGGTGCGACAGGAACGGGATGACTAAGAGTATTAGGACAATTGAAGGGAAGACATAGAGACGCAAGTAAGAGAATACCTTTCGCCCGACATTAGCACAGCGGGTGTGGCAGTACGGGGATGCGATATTGTTTCGGCAACAGGAGAATGTATTGGTGGTAGAAGGATTTCGCTGTTCTGGGTCTTTTACTAAATATCTCAAAGTAGTATCGAAGTAGAGCTGCTTGATTAATCTTTGGAAAATGGAGAAGACGAGGCACTTATATATTTTTCGACGCAATAAATCCCTGCTGGGATCATACGCAGTGATACAGAAGGCTCGTGAAGAAGAAGGGGATGGAGAAATCAATCGTGGGTTATCGCTGATCCCTTGCACTTACTGCGCACCCCAGATTGAGTTTCGACAACAGGAGCGGCCAGGGACCCTTGACTTTGTTGCGTGCCACGGGATGCACCTCGTGGAGGAACACCAGATGGGTGTGTACCATTGTGGAACAGGGACCAGCCCTACTTCCCTGCGACCGCACCCAAGCCTGGGATCTGCCCGGTGAGCTCCAACCCTATCCTTCTACTCAATGGCCTTTGAGGTTCGCCGTGTTCGAGGCCGCCCTGGCGGTTGCACTTTTTTCCCATGCAGTAAAACCACTCTTCGGAGACTTTGACGAGTAAGGTTACTGACCGGTGAGGACAAAAGTGCTGGCATCGCAAGACTCACGGGTATGGCTTCTTCGGCGTGAGAACGAAATGCTTAGGATGATCAATTTGTCGTCTCCAGGCTGCACAATTTAATCTTTGTTGCAGACTCTCGAAAATGGTTACTTAGGCTTCCCAAAACGGGAGCTAGGAAAGTTTGTGAAGTGATGGAAGAGCTGCATCCTGGCCATCCGCAGATACGCTCGTCGTGGTTCTTGCTTTGGTGGAAGTTTAAATTGAATCGGCGTGGGGTGGGAACCTGAAGGAATGTGCAGAGTCATGCACCACGAGGTTGCGACGAGGTTGCGGCCAGGGCGTCCCTGATCCGAGAAGGTGAACATCCCCAAAAGAACGCAACGAGTGCACGACATCCATGGACAAGGGTGTTCGACAGCGATAATCCTAAGAATCAGATCCATGGACCAGGGTGAAGTGACCGCCGCACTCCCAAATTATCATACTGCACTTTCTTTTGCTCGGAATATCTTCTGTGATGATGTGGCCGTTGCGGCAGGGCTCTATCGGATCGAATCCCACTCGCCGAGGATATTATACTGTAATGTCTGAGGTCATTGCGAAAGAGGCGAACAATGCCCTTTTGCTTCCGAACGCTGTGGCTCAGATTGTTCCTCCGTGATCAGCTGTTTTCGTCCCGAATGAAAACTCTGCTTCCCTTCAGCTGCCCAGTGCATGGAATCATTGTTTTCCCTTGGGCCTGGTAGGGGTAGCAGTAGGCACAATCCGTTTTTGTTGACTCGAACGATCAATGTCCAGCTTGTCGTCCAATGCTAGAGAATTTGGATGCTGAGCACAGGAAGGACGAGTTCAATTTCAGCCAGGCGCCCGCAACTTTCTTCGCGTCGGCCAGGCCATTGAAGAAGCAACCATCCCTGGAAATGGGTCTAAGTTGCTCATGTAAGGCTGCAGTACGTTCCGCAGCGGTCAGCGTTCAGCGGTCAGATCAAACGGTTGGGCCAGTCCACCTCCTGGCCCTTTCAGTCCTTGCATGGCGGCTGATGGCAGAGTGTGGTACGGCGTCCTGGCTCAGCGTAAAGGGGACCGCTGACTCGGCTCAAAGAACTTGGACCAGGAGATCAAGCCGCTCGAGGGGTGCGGAGAAAAGCATCTTTCGGGCATCCTGGGCGGTCCTACCCAAGGGTTGTCTAGGACTGGAAAAAGGAATACCTGCCTGAATCCCTGGCAGAGTGCTCCATTGAGTATGACTCGACTCGCGGGGAATCGCAGCGGTGCTGGGATAACGGCTCGAAGGTGGTACAAAGAAGCCGTGGCTGTCGACGTACACCACCCTGTCACCCAAGGAAGTCAAATGTCAGATTTTGGAGGCGAGAGCCATCCTTGAAAGGCTTCAAGATGCAAATTCGCAGAGTGGCACTTACTCATTGACACGGTTCAGAACTTTGCATTGGCTATCGGTTGTCGCATATCGATATCGTTTTCTCTCGTTATCAAAATGGCGCACAGGACTTGATTCCGTGCAATGAGAACTAGTCAGGGTACAGTCCTTCGTTTCTAATCTTGGATTTCGGATTGTGGAGGTTGAAACAAAGTTAAACGTCGACGTTCATCCGAGAGTTGGAATTTTCACCTCACCGAGAGCATCTCACCGGCGACAAGGAAACATCAAGCTGCGACGACCCGGGAAACTTCGAAAACCATCCTATGCCGCACAAACGGCCTGGGAAATTCTCAAGCAACCAAGTCGCTGCCATGACCTCAACTCGATCACAGCCTCCATTCCATGACCGCGTCAGTGCTGCTTAGACGCACAGATGTCGCCCGTCAAATTAATGAGGAGCGATTCTAGCTTGGCCGTCAATGGAACGCAAGTTTGGCGCCGCATCGCATTGGAGCCGTGGGGAATTACGGTTATCTGAATATGGGCTGGCATCGATGCAGATTTCGGATTCGCGCCAGCCTTCGTTCCAGACCCCTCGACATCCTCCGCAATCCCTACTCCAACCCAAGTGGAAGCGGTGGACGTGCCTTACATGGACCCGTCCTACCTTCGCCCCGCAGTCAGCAACAGCGGAGGACATGGCTGAGAACCCCCACGCGAAAGTTGGTCAGGGTGACCTCATCATTAATGGCTCAATTGGGCCATCTCTGTCATCGGCCCGTGACAACGGGCCACATACGTTCGTTGGAACTTTGATTCTCGAGAGGCTTATGACCAAGAGACGCAATATCCTGTCAAGTGACAACAGCGATTTGATTGTCTTAATATCACAAACGAATGACAAGCGCACAAGGAGAGGAAGATTGAATTGGTTGTTTGAACGCGAATTACACACTAGCAACAATTATGTTGGCTTCTCACAAGTAATGCTGTGCAATACTAGCGGAAATTAGCATGGTGGTAGATTAAAGCTTCCTCCCTTCATTTGCAGAGCTTTTGCCTTGTTGTGTATTTCTTCTCCTTTCATCAAAATCTTGCCTTATTGTTCTTTTTGTCTTTGACACCAGTACTCCCTGTCTCGCAAGTTCCCTTTTTCAAGACTTGAATTCAAGTTTTGTTCCTTCCAAATCGTAAGACATGATGAATGATGCCTCTAGACGGGCGTTTGACATTGTCTTTTGTGGAATCGGAGTCCGGTGTAATGGGACGTGTGGGCTCTGGTTTTGGTGGAGCTCTCTGTCGTAAGTGTGAGTAAAAGTATCAAGCAAGGTACTTGCAATGTGTGCAGACTGACCTCATCATATAATTCGTGAAAAGGGAACGTGCTTTTGCTCTCTATGCAGCAGTAGGCGACCATGTCGCTAAGAGATCCAAGTACCTGTTCAGCGGAATGCCAATCAAAATCGAGCCATCCCTTGTATGTCTGAAGTCCGAGGATACCAGAGATGCATTCTTTGGCAATATGAATTCTGATGCGGTCGCGCTCATGATGAGTATCGTTGTAGCGTTTGACTTGGTGGATTATTTGTTGTCTCGGTGATACTGTCCACTCGAAGCTTGCCATACTTTGTCGTTGGGATGTTGTCTTTCTTTGGTTGAAATTTCTGAAGCTCGATTGAAGTGTGATGGCAAAACAGGCCCTGTTACAGTAGGACATTATATTACATTCTTCTGCGACAAGTTAGTCAAGATTCGCAGCAGTTCAGTCAGACACACAAACAGCTTGATACATGTGGGTGACAATTCTTAAAGTGCGGGAACAAACTCAATCAGCGAAATCGGAGTCGTCACAGAAGACAAAAGTCATGTTTGATTGATGACGAATCATGCATCTTGTTTTGATATCCTAAAACGACATGGCTAGTCTGCTTTAACACCAAACACACCCTATCAACTGCCTCAATTCCGAGTGGAGCTCCTACTACCTTCCTTCATCTTGACTTCGAACTCATCAAGACAATGCCTGATACCATTTGCACGAGTCTGCCTGACTTCACTCCAAGAAATACGATGAGGGAAGACTTGGTAGTTGGTGGTGTCTGCTAGGTACATCTCGAGACGCCGCTGGGCTAATTCGTTCTTCTCTGCAGTAAAAGGGGTATATGTAGCATAGTTGCTGCGTGCAGCTCCAGTCTGCTTAGCAGAAGACGAGGTTTTCGTGGATGTGCTACGATGACCTGTCAGTATGGCTCGACAATCTCTGCGAATGCGGGCAAGACCAGGTCATCGATTGTGCAGTACAAAGAGATTTAATTGCATTAACACACTTACTCCTTGGCTGAGCCATCAGCAGCAGAATCTGTACATAGACGGTGAGAGTGGTGAACAGACATGTTCGAGGTGTGTGTGGATATGACAGCAAGAGCAACAAGTACAGGCTTGAGATCGTAGGCAATCTGGAAAATCCTCCTCGAGAACGAGACCAATGCTTTGTACTGGCTTGAAGGCGGAGAGGCATCAGCTTGCTTTTATGGCCGAGTACCGCTCCCTCTGAGGGGATGCAGGAACTCATGTCCAACGAGAGCATTATCAGTCCCTCAGGACTCGAGAGGAAATCAACGTGGCCCGCACCCACATCCCGCATCCTGACAGCCATAATTCACGATTGACAGGTCGAAGCCTGAGATCCAGCCAATAGCGCGACGCAAAATTCTCCGAGCTGCAGAGGAGCGGAAAATAAATTATGCACGGTATCTGCAGGCTGGCACCCACAGGGTGAAGCGCTTCCAGCGGAACGACGTTGGCCGCCTGTCATGTACGTCGTTTCATGTTGGTCGTCCCTCATCGGCGCTTTCGCCGTCGGACTAGACTTTTCTGGGGATAGAAGCCGTGAAGCTTTTCTCTCGACCCGGGCGAGCCTGCACCCTGCAGCATTGAGGTTGCTTCTGCGGCGTGTAGCGGGGTCCTTCCCGACTCCCGATATGATCCTACTCCCCTACCGAGGCCTTTACGTACACTTCCCTAGGCTGACCTCACATGGTCGCAATGTTCGGGCGCCCAAACTTGTGCCGTCTTTTGATATAGTGTCACTCCTACGTGCTGGCCAAGGGCACCCTTGGTACCTCTAGTATCCCACCTTCTCACCACCCCGTCCATCCCACAGCTTGTCAATAGCCATCCTCAAGGCTTACACCTTTGGAACAAGAGGCTTTAACTTCCATCCATCACCGTCACTTTATCATTTCCGGCTCACTTCGACTAAATTTCAGGCACGAAGCTTAGCCAACGCTTTGCGATTCAGTTGATTTGTGGGTGGATTCGTGGATTGATGTATCTCCATTGGACAGCAAATCTCGGATTGCGGCAGAGATTTGTCCTGCTTGGCGACAAGAAATGGAATCGATCGAGTCAACCTACCGATTCACGTTGTATCGCAGTTTTTGATATACCAGATGATTCAGACAGAGAACACTTAGTGGTGCAGTGGCGCCATAGATTGGTGACTGTCCGAAGAATTCGACCCGTCCTTGCGGATATACCGGCTTCTCCTATTGGTTTTCTCGAACTTACTTGGACAGAGGATTTTTGATTGTTGAATGGCCAACAGTTGGTACTGCCGATGAAATTGTAGAAGAGGGTAGCCAGTGCCCGCCTCTTCTTGGATTCAACGAGATGATATATGTCTAGTCTCGTGATCTAGACATGGTCATTGAGAGATGCGTTTAGAAGGTAGGTACCTATCAAGTGACACACGAGAATGAGAAGACCAAGAACGAGGACTAATATGAGCAGCGGAGGGGTTTTTTTATCTTTCCATGTCTATATTCTGCGCATCCTGTTCAAAGATACAGGCAAATGATACTTCATCTCATCCTTCGACACGTTCATCTTACGTTTTGCTCTCTTCTGTCGTCAGGCCATAAGGTACGGCTTCATCACTTGCAACCACCACCACCAACACTACCTTCGAGCGATGAAGACAACGAGCCATACAATGTAACACTCAACCTCGTGTGAAGCGCACCACTCCCGACTGAACCTAAAGGAGTAATCCGAGAGTAAGGCTGATTGACCGGAGTATACGAGGCTGAGTGGCAACGGGGCTTCATCCTTTTCCAAAGACAAGGTGTCTTCCACCCCAGCCAGGTATTTCAGGGGCTGTGAGATGCATGGTCTCTGAGAACGATAGCCAGCCCAGTGACTTCGACGAGCATCAGTGCCGTCACGTGTTTGGTCGGGCCAAGATCGCCAAGTGGTGGTACAGTCTCCCGGTGCAAGTATCTTGTTCGAGGCCTTGGAATACTAGTGGCGAGCAACACCCATTCACAGTTCGTCCTTGGTGGCAGGCTTTATGTGCTCATATCAATAGCGCTATGCTAAGCCGACATGATATCAACTTCGATCCAGACTTTGACATGGCATCAAGTGGGCCCTGTGTTCCTCAGAGACTCATCTGCTTGTGAGTTAGCAAGAGCTAGAAAGATCAAACTAGGTAGACCCACCATACAAGTTTCATCGTGAGCTTTGCTTCATCTCATTCCAGTGTAGCTTGTATCCATCCCACATATATATTTCATCTGGCATACTGAGCCATCATCTCTTCAAGCTCGTCCATAAGTGTCTGTGTTCGATTCATGGCGGCTTGATCGTTGTTAGGAACAACATGATGCATTCGGCATGGAGGTTGAGCCTGGACGGATGTTGCAAGGTATGCTGCGATACGTTGGGAGGAAAGGAGTGCTTGCGTGTTTGAGGACGAGGTTCGAGATGGGTTGTTCGAGGAGGATGGGGAACTATGGTTCAGTTCTATCAGTTCCGTCTTTCAAGAAAAGAGAAAGAACTTACCTCGGAGCAGAACCCTGGTAGGCACGTATGGAAGACGCAGAGGACGACATTTTCCCATGGAAGATAAAATATATAGCGCCGAAGGTGTGGTTCTTGCACGTGATGCAGAGTATTGTTGAAGTCGACGATATAGCATGAAGTTTTCATCGATGAAGTCTCTCGAGTATAGAAGAGGGGAACTGGTTTATCTTAAATATTTCCGCAACACCTATATTGCATGGGAGACTCGAGCAGGCAGTTTCGGTAGGAAACGCCATACCGTTCTGACGTGAGGATCCCGCTTCCCATTGGCTGCGAGGAGGAAGCGGGAATAAGAAAGGGAGTGGGCATGGGCCAGGGGCCCAGGGCAGACACGACCTGGAAAGCAACGAGAACCAACCACAACGATATGCTCGCCGGCGAGAAAGAATGGACAAGGGGTAGAGACAGCTCGGTAGTAGCGGGAACAGTGGAACCCAGATTTAGGAACCTTGCACGGCGGAGGTAGTGGTTCCCAATCACCGTCCAGAGGTTGACCTTTTCCCTACGAGTGGAGACTGCCGTTGATGTGAGCGAGGACGAGGGGCAGCGCCCCGGTGAAAGGTGCCACTAAAGGGCAAGAACCTTAAATCCTTCCCCCTACGAATTCGGCCATTCGGTCACGGCTTACTTACGAAATACATGTTGTTGTTCGCGCTTCGGTCAGTCATCCTACATCGTATGAGATAATCACACGCATCTCGACTATCTTTACCGCTCGAGGCGGAATATTGAGAGTGAGGTGTTGGACGCGGGGCTGGCAGATGACGAATCTTTTCTTTGTAACACGGCGAGAATCCGGGAGATAGCTGGGTTGTTGTAATTCAGCTGATGCCAAGTTGGAACGGATACGTACGATGAATAGAGCCTGACAGACGACCGGACTCGTACAGCACCGCCGCTGTAGGACTCACTGTAAGTCCAGAGAGTGTGGGGTAAATGGTGCACAGTGAAAACTCTGCAAGCTGTGGCGTATATTCATCCCACCACAGATAACGATAAACACATCGCCAGTCGTATCTCTGAATTGCATGTCGCATGCGCTATTGGTCAACAATTAAGATTGCGATCTCGAGGAAGCGATTCTTTGTGGCTGAGCAATACGCAATCGGCCATCTTCAGACCGAACGCCCTTGACGAGTCGCTCACTAATCTCCACAATGGAGACAGAGCCTCATCAAGACCGGATCTCGTTTGCTCCGGTTACAGTTGATTCTCCGACTCTGCATCTACAGTAATGTTTTCAGATGGAAAACAGGTCATCTTACGATGATTACAGCAGCATCACAATCACCACTTCCGCTCACCATTTCCCACCGTTCGTCGAGCGAAAGTCCGACCGATCACCACCCATCACCAGGGTCTGCCGCCGCGGCGACGCAACCCAGCACGACGTGGCCTTGAAATGGTGAGTCAACCAACGCCAGCAGTCCCGAAATACAACAACCATCAAGAAAAAATCTCACCCCGCGGCGACGATGATGAGTGAGGTAAGAGCCTCCTCCTCTTCTTCGGACAACGACGAAGACGACGACGCCGCCGCCAACAATAAACATCTGACCAACAATCCTGTAGTCGTAACGACCTGCCCATCTCAGCTGCAGGCCGTGGTTAGGTCAGACGTAAGCTTCTTTTTGCGATTCGAAACCGAGGCCAGAGACCCAAATCCTGACCTCACTCACTCAATCTCCTCATGCACCACGCAGGAGGCAAATACAGACAGACAAACGAACAAACAAATACACATGACAAATTTATTTCGGAGTGCGTGGAGTTAGGAGCTGAACCCAAATTGGGTCGACGATCCTAAATCAGGAATTGGATGCTCAGCTGCTATTCCTCCCAGCCTTGCGGTGTCGAGAGCACACGGATCTCGGCCTTTACTTTTCTCCCCAGAAAATTTGTTATTCTCCCGTTGCGCAAAAACGAGAACGGAGACGTCGGCGTTAGCAATCATCTCTTCTTCCCGACTCAGAGAAAAATTGGGATTGGGTTGGGAGAAAGGATGGCCTGTGGCGCTCCAGTGAGCCCTCGCTTGAGATTGGCAAGGCAGAATTCAGTGAAGAAAAAGTTTTTTTCTTGGGAATATGACTGTGGAATTATTGTTGAGAATGAGAGCTTGCATTTATTGATCTACATTGAATGAAGGATTCAGAGTAAGCAAGCGCTTATTATTTTCCTCGTTCTTGCGTTGAGGCGATTTTTTGTCTTCTATTGTGTTACATGTTTGGTACCGCCACAGCACGGCAGTGGCCTATTTCCTTCCGGGGCAAACGAAACTTCGTGCCTGGTCTCTTATCTCAGGCACTGTTCATTCATCGTCGCAATGTTGGTCCAAAAGTTGTCCTGATTCGTCGGCTCCTAAATATTATGCCAGCACGTGACTTATCTACTTCCGCCCCCACACTCCTGGCCTTTGTGTCACTTTAGTCCTGCATGCTCTTTCTCCTCTTTCTAATCTCCCTAAGAATGGCCATCGCGATTCTACTCTTCTGTCAGGTACGAACTTCACATTTTCGATGAAGATAGAGAACTCACCTCCCCCCTTAACGCCTCGCTTAATTGTTCATGTTGTTTGATTTCCATTTCATCCCTCACGTCTGCCAAAACGCCTTCTCAAATCCCTTGATGATGCAACGCATCCTCGTGATCCGAATATCTAAACTCTGTTCTTCTCCTCCCGCATACCGCACCCCAGTATTATCGGCGCTGCCGTCGAGTCTCGCTAAGGAGTAGGAGAAATGTGCTGCTTCGGGACGGTACGTGACGTTCCTGCCAGCAGACTCGATGATGAAATTAATATCGTGTCGTAAGTTGCGCTTGCGTTTGCGGGTCTCTGGGTTTGGGTTGGGGTGGATGAGGCTAGAGTTGGCGTCGTGGTTGAAGGACTTGAGTGAGGGGATGGACGGTGGTGAGATGTGCTGGTAGGAGGGGAAGTCGAGGGGAACGGTGGTGATTGATGAGGATTGACGCTTGCGTCCGTATGGATTGAAGTGGGGGCAAGAGCAGATGCTTCTCTTTCTTTTTGATCTGGAGTCAAGGTGTTAGATCTTTGGTTTTGAGAAGGAGACGAAGGAGGCACGAACATTCTGGCAGACCCGTTGGTAGCACAGACGGAGGAGACTTTAGAAGCCATTTTCGAACATGGAAATATATCTTGAATAGCTGGGTTTGTAGATAAATAAGAATTCAGTTGGTGTTTAAGCTTCGATCAAGCTTAAGTTTCTTTTCTTGGGACGGTATATGGGGAGTGGCAAGAGCAGAGGGGGCCATCCGAATAAATATAGGAACACAGCTACCCAGTTGCCCAGCCTTCATACCTAGCTAGCTACCAGACCAGGAGAGCACGGGGGAGAGGGGAGGCGGGAGGTGGGAGGTCCCAAGCTCGCGTCCTCCTCCCTCCTCTCCATCCCAGCAGCGCGACGCGGCATTTTCTTCTTCTCGATGCCTCACCCTACCCTACCGTGCACACTACCGCGCCTCTCTCCTCTCCAACAGCAAGGCCACCAAACGACAGGTGCTAAACATCCCCATCCGATTCAGCAATATCGAGGCGCGCACTAATGACCATTGCGCCGCACGACCCGTGTCTCTGATTCGCCGCAAGCGGCAGTTTCGAAGGATTCTGCGGACCCTTCTAGCGTGCTTCTAGAAGACCGGGTGATTGATTGAGTGATTGATTGTGGGGCGCATCGATCGTTCCCTGCTCGGCGTCAGACAGGGGTTGGTAGGGGGGGAATTTAGGCATTTAGATGCAGATCTGACTAGGGATTTGAAAGAGGAGCCCGTTCTGCGACCAGGCGCGCGATCGTTCGCAGCGGTTGTTCTACTGTGTCCGGCTGGTCGCCGCGGTGGTCGAAACTGTCGATGTCTCGAGTGAGGTTGACGGGAGGTTGAGAGCTGGGAAAGGGAACAGATTTCCAGAGGAGAAAGGGCTCGTTCTGGATAGTCGTCCGTGATGATAACCAATCTGTGGGTTGGCGGGAACCAGTCGGGTGTTGAGGCTTTCCAGATGAAACGGCCCTATGATAATCAATACTCTCCCTCTGCACCCGGTAGGGTCCCTGTGCAGCCTTCTTTCTTCTCATTTCTGACGGCATCATCATCACAAGTTGAGTGAGGGGTTTGTGTGTGGAAAGCGTGATGATGTATCATATGATGAATTGACGGGATGGCATTCGCTGGATGCATGCCTATCTCTCATCACTATCTTTCTCATGTTGCGTAGCCCCTGGATCGCGCAGCAGCTAGGTAATCGATTCATCGGTTTCTTTGGTCGATGTTGTGGCCCTGCAGCAGGTGATGCGAAAGCCGAAGCATCACAGAAATGCTGGGCGTTAGCTGGGCTTGCTGCAGGACTTCTCTTCCCTTCCTCGATAATACGTCTGAAGCAGTGAAGATCAGATGTGATGACGCATGTAGTCAGCAATAATACTGGGCCAATATCCAGAAAAGCGAACTGCGCAAATTTTGACTGGGCAGAGAATCTGGGAGTCGGCACTACCCTGCCAGAGGTGATAACGGCTTCCCTGTCCTTGTCCGCTAAGGATAGCCACATTCCTGCACGGAAGCCTGTTCTTCGAATCGAAGCACACTAGAAGGTTTGATGGAAGACGCGAAGAAGGAGTCTATCTGGACCCATGCCCATGTCCCTGACATTAATATGGAGAACGTAAATATCCACAATTGCTTGGATCCGGTACCCACTAGACCGGATAAAGTTCAGCACGACGATGACATCTCAATCGAGCTTCCTCATCCGGTGCATACATACGTCTCTCCTTTTCCCCCTTCGAGCCTCGAGTTGCAGATAGGTTCAAATCACAGAAGCAAACATCATCACACTGCTGTCATCATCATCACAGCAGCGTTACGCCAACCTCGCAGCCAATGTCTCAAATCCTTCCTGCACCACGATAATACCGGAAATTTGTGTTTGCTTTGCCCTGATGTCGTGTATCTTCTAGAACAATAGAAGGTCTGAGGGTTCGGAACATGCATCAGACCTCCAGGATACCAGAGCCAGTAAGCTCCTTTCAAATTTGCACATTGTGTGACAGCTTATCTCTAGCCCGCCTCGTGAGTGGTGAGAGGTTCGATGAGGGTGAGGTGGCGACCGTTGATTTGTTCAGGTACCGTTATCTAGTCGTACTGTTCAGCTGTTGTGGGATGGCTGAGTTGAGGTGTTGCACGAGACGATGTCGAATATTGTGACTGGTCTTGCTCATATCTGTGAGGTGAGTGACCTCCCCATCGCCTTGAGCGATTCCAAGTTGTCAGACTGAGGACGTCGTTTCCTGTCCCGTCGCATCGGCGTGGAAGCCGAGTTTGGTGGCCAATACACAGGCATGGGTACGAGTTATCGTCAGGCGAAACCCAGCGTTGGAGTTTTCCGTGATGGAACTGGACATCAGCTTTCCTACTGTCTTGGATTTGATCCTTGCCGACTTGCAACTGGTGTCCGAGTCCTTTCCCAATTCTCGGAAGAGGTGGCCGCGATCGTCTCAAGGCTTCGTTCCTCGAGTCAAACATGATAACCTTGCCGGAGCCGTGCTGGTAAATCAACTCTCATGTTGTGATATCTAGCTGATGTCAGTTCCGTTTCTCAAATGAGCCAAGAGCTAGACAAGTGTATCAAGCATGGCGTGATTATCTTCCGTTGCTAATCCCAAGCACTGCATTCTGCATTCACCTCCTTCTTATCGTGTCTTTTTAAGAGGAGACACTCTTCCAAATCCTTTTAATATCATCACTGCTGTTCTTCCTCTGGCTTGGCATGTACATAAACATGCAGCAGCTCGACCAGTCACTCAACACGTGACCTGGCTGAAGCATAAACGTTGACTGAAACTTGGTTCCAGATGCTGAATGATAAAAAAGAACATTGAAGCACAACTCCAAGTTCAGAAATCATAGTGTTCAATATGGAAGCCATGGATTGCGCTAGCAAACCCCTGGATTTCCCTCCTCACGATTCTCGCTAAGCGACGAGAAAGTAAACAAAGGCGAAAAAAAGGTGTTAAAACACAACAGCAGCATTCTCCAAAACAGAAGAAGAATAAAATAGCAAAAACTCAGACCTAACCACCGAAGTGGGTAGGTCGTAGAAAACTTGCTCGGTGTCGTTTGCAGTTTTTGAAGTCGCGATCGTTCGTTCGTATGCGGGCCAGGCGATTTTATCCCTATCCTCCTCTTAACCCACACTTGACCTGAACCACTGACCTAAAGTGGAATGCTGTGATGGGCTTATGGGGGGAATTGTGCTTGTTTAATTCTATAAAGCCTTAGTTTGTGAGGGCTGTTTTCGGTCAGCGCGAAGACTACCATGCGCGATTTGGAGAGGAGCAAAAGACGTCAGGCGACAGAGGAGTGCCAATCAATTGAGCGAAATCCGCATCAATTCATTTTATCTGATCTGTAAGTCTAGAGGTAACAATCCATTGCAATCCATCTCTTCTTCCCGATACTCGAATCCCAAAGCCCACTTCATGCGAGCTTCGCAGCAATAAGTGCTGTCAGCTGCTCTTCCGTCAACTCCTTGATACCAAGAAGCTCGTTGTCCGTCTTGTCATAGGCACCTCCGTAGCGATCGCCACCCAATGCTGTGCCTTTCAACAGCTTCATGATCACTGGCATATCAAACTTCCCAGCAGCAAGTTCTGCCAAAGCCTCCTTCAGCAATGCCTGCGACTCCACATTGGTAATATCCCACTCGATTTCAGGTTTCAACTTTTTCGCAATTGCCAAGATCCGATTCTGGGTCAATATCACCTCCGAAACCTTCAACACCTTGTTCTTCGTGGCGTCGAATTTCTTCAAGATCACTGCGATAGCTTTTGCGATGTTGGGCAGGGAAGTAGAGCTAGCCCTGTTGTCGCCCCCGTCCAACAACGTCGCTTTGTGGTTGACCAAGTCTACCAACGCTGGTTGTCCAATCAAGAATTCTATGAAGCCGCCGCATGCAAGGACAGTCCAAGTCAAGTTGCCTATCTCGCATTGTTTCTGCAAATGCTTTCGAGTCTCGACCACGGGACTGTAGAAAGGGAGAGATGCGACTTCGGGACTGGTGGTGCAGGATCCGAACTCCGATGGGATGAATCTCTTCACTCCAGCGGCGACAGAGGCATCGATGAGTAAGTGTTGACTGTCCTGGGCTTCGACGGCAACGGTGGATACCACGGCATCAATACCCTTGAGAGCGGCGGTCAGAGATTCAATGGAGGTGAAGTCTACTACTTGGACTTTGACTTTGGGATCATAGCCATCTGCCTTTGCAGTACGTGTGAGAAGCGTGACCTCAAAGTCTGCTTCGAGAAAAGCTTTAAGGACGTGACGGCCAAGTGTACCTGAACCCTGTGACTAGTTAATTTCAAAGATTTCTAAAGAAAAAAAGTTGGGGAATCCTACACCAGCAATTGCAACGGATTTGATTTCTGGCATTTTGTAGGGATTGGAGAGGTCTTGCAAACTTTGTTGAAGACGACGTATTCAGTTTTTGGAAGAAGAGGAGAGCCCTTGCAGACTTTATTGAAGATGACTTATTCAGTTTTTGGAAGAAGAGGAGGATGTGAGCTGGTGCCATATTTCACTGGGAAGACACAATCTCTTTATACATTTCTCAACACATTACAGTCCGCTCGCATTCTCTAACTTCTCCCAATGGTTCCAAGCCAAAATTCAATGCGGACGTTTCTCCGCCTATATTTCACGTATAAATATCCCCAAGCTTGAAAGCCCGCACAGATTTCCCGATCACGAGTCTGCAGATCCCGCACTTGCATCCCGCACTCGGACTCCAGCCCCGCTCTGACAAAGCACTCATCCCCTTCGAAATCCCACCGGTCTCCGCACGTTCAGGACAACCACATGTTATCATACCATTCTTCGTCACCAAATTGATGCCAGTCAATGTCCGCAATGAGCTCTCCACGTCGTGCCCCTATTGCCAAGAAAGCTTGCACACGATGCAGCACTCAGAAAAGGAAATGCGACAGGGCATTGCCTGAATGCGGATTATGCTTGAGGTAGGAACAAAGCAACTGTCCCATGCAAGATCTCTAATTGAGAATACTGTAGGCTTCGTCAAGTCTGCAAATATGATAGCCGCCCGCTGGCTTCATCGGGCCCGACTCCGGATCCATCACCTTCTCCTAGATCAGAGATATCCCTCACCGCAGCCGCTTTCACACCAAGCCAGACCAAACATGCTATCATCCAGAGACTCGGATCCCTGAAGCCAGAGGATATCGTCTCGGTCTGCATCCAAATGATTGACCCTTGGTTTCCAATCATGTCGATCCCCAGATTGCAAGCTCGGCTCCCACCTTCTTGGGATGAATGCAGTTTGGATCTCGCACTTCTCTGCTTTTCGATCAATCTTGTCGCTACCACTCCTCCCGAGCTTCCGGAAGACGTCAATGACCCGTCCGAGTTCAAAACCTCGTATCTCTGCGCCAAGAGTTGGATCTCACTGATGGAAGGATTTGGTATCAACACGCTCGACCTTCTCCTGGCCAGGATTCTGGTGACTTTATTCGAGGTTGTACATGGAATTTATCCAGCTGCTTATCTATCAATTGCAAGCACTACCCGAGCAGCGGATGCACTCGCACTCTATCCTGGTGTGGATGCTTCTCTGTCCGAGGACGAAGACAATCGACAAGACGGAGTTTCAGGCTGGTGTGGGATTTTGGTTCTAGACAGGTAACAGTTCCCCAATACATCATTGTCGTTGATTCATTGTCTATAGATACATTACAATACAATCTGGTTCTCAACCATCTCTTACACGATCACGAATTCATCCTCTCCACGCCAAGCTCAAGCCACATATCTGTCCCACTCATGATGAAGGCAAAGACCCGTCACTTCCTCTCTGCCGCCTTAGTAGACTTTTCGAATCATCCGCTCTGCTTGATCAGATTCACTCCGTATTGTACAATCCCACATCGGAAGAGACATTCAACGTGAGTGAGACCATGTTGACCGTGGATACGTTGCATTCTCTCCAGACAATCCTAGAAGGAGAGACTCCAGACAATCGCAGAATATACTGTGGCGCATCTATTATGTGCAAGATGTGAGATGCATTGATTTCCTGCGCAACACTTGTAATTTGTTACTGATGTCTGCGTAGCGGCTTACTCCTAGCCTTTGAGAATGGCAGTAAAGTCTTTCCCGTCGATGTTTCAACCACGACCTGCACTTACGTTGCAACAACGTCCCTCAATAATCTCATCTCAGGTATAGTTGAGTTAATCGAACCCTTCACCCTTGGAGCTCGGCCACTCGATTTCCGCTCTTTAACTCCGTTCATCCCGTTCTTGGTGTACAAGACAGCGTCGATCATTACAGGAAGGCTCTGGTTGGAAAACGATTCGATTGATGGATTGAGGAAATTGGTGATTCTGAGAGACTTCTTGAAGCTGGTTGCGAAGAGATGGCTTAGCTGTGGTACGTTTGCCGAGTTCACATAGAATATGTTATGCTGACATTGGATTGTCTAGAGAGGTACCTACAGCTTCTTAATGATGATACAGCCCCAAGAGTTTTGAGAGCAATAGAACAAGCATGAAGATGGGTTCTGAAATGCTGTCATCTAGTAGAGACTGAAGAAGGTCCGGATTTGGACGGATTCGATATCTTATTTCAACCCAACTCTATCATGATAAACAAAACTTCCCAGCAATCAAGGCCGACGATTTCGTACTGAATGATAAGAAGTCTCGATCTTAGCCAAGTCCGAGTTTCCTCTGTCACATGCGTCGATTCTTTCCTTTCCAAACTCAACTCGACTCTACTTATCTGCGGCACGAAATCATGCATATTCCTCCAAAAAAGGCAGGACCGTCTGAATCTGACGACGCATCTGCCATAAGCAGAGAAATCAGAGGCTAAATACCAGACGACGCCGTTCGTTTGTCGTCCAATCCGAGATTTATCCGGTCCTCCGCACCCGAAAGTCTGGTTCTATGAACGGTTCCCCTGCCTGCCGTCCCGTGCGCAAGAGTGGTCGCCCGGCTTTGCTGTACTGACCCTGTCCTGGATCGCTATATCCCGCCGTCAAGCTATATGACGATTGCGCAACTACGCCGCATATTGTCACGGTACTCGTTTCTAGGTATCAATGTCAGGTATCTTATGGTCTTCTATTCTATATGAAAATTATCGGGAAAGAAACCAGGGTCAGAGCTACAAGAGCAATGTCCGTCTCGAGGTTTAGCTGCTGAACTAAAAGGGTATCCACGTGACTTTCCATCGTTCCACCAACGCCATTCTACCAAGCGATACAAAGAAGATCCCTGAAGAGTTGGACTCGACAGTATCAAAATGCAAAGCACAAAGCGGGCACAGTCCCTGACCTTCCACATCTAGCCAAATGCTGACCGGACCGACTGCATTGAGGGGCACTCAATTCCTGCAGAAGACTTCATGCAGGTTCGATAGAGTTCGGTAATGAAGGGAAAGCTGCTATTATTCAGCTCGAATGGAAAATCCCATGATAACGTGGACGATTCATGACCTACTCAACGTTGAGAGAACCGAGTATCGGTTCGCTGAAGCACCTCTTTCATGTTGCGTTTCTTGGCAAGGATACTTCGTTTCGAGGAGTAATACTGATATTTCGGGTTTGGGTCTGGATCGGAGATGTAGCGACCGATTGAATAGGTGTCCTTGGTGGTCCGACGAGATTGTTGTGCTGTTGAAGTTTGAAGGTGGTTGTTTTGTGAGGGACTTGATTTGGGTGCTTGCTCCCAGCTGAATGATCACCGTCAGTTGGGACTTTGTTGTAGGATCTTGAAGTAGCATTTACCTTTTCGACGAGCCGTTTGTTGCCGGATTGCTGGAAATGCTGGATGACATCTCTGTGGCTTGACTTCGGCGACGTGATGCAATGGTACTTTACGCTGTAGTCTTGCAATGGAAGCTAGTTTGGGTGGACAAACAGAGTATGATCAAAGTTTCTTTTTATATCTAAGAAAAGATAGATACAGAGGGATCGGGGCTCGGATTCGCGCCTTCGTTCACCGAGCTCCATCCACTGTCTCTGGAGAAGATAAAGTAATAGCGACGGTAGGATAATCTGGGGTAACAGGGATGGTGGTGTGGATGCGAATGTTCAGACATGGGAAATGCCAAGGCAAATTCATTGCAAGCGGGCAGACCGGGCGATTTTCTCTCTCCGCAATCGGCCTCAATTGGCAGAGAATACGAAATCCTTCTCTTCGTGCTACGCACCTGCGCCGTTAAAATACCAACTTACTATGTACTGTGCTCGTGGTTGAAAGCAGATCCGGGGTATCTTGGGGGCCGAAAATGCAGGAACTTGCCTAAGATATTATAGACGACGGTCCTTCATTTGGAATAGTGACGACTAGACCTTACAAACAGTTGTTGTAAGGCTGACGAAAGTGATAAATAAGATTTCAAAGCCGTCTGATCTGCGTTCGGGGAAGTGGCCCGCTGCGCGAGATTACTTCTGTATAGCCTCCATTCATCCTCGGTATCCAATCATCGACAAGACCTCGAACTCGGACATGGGTTAAGTACACACACATACTTCTTGTCGGGTTATTGTGTTGGTTCGCGGTCCGGTCACCTGAGCGCCCTCGTCGAAGCCCCTGAATTTCTTCTCGGCTAATTAGCCCTAGCCTCAAGTCGGGCGATTGCGAGTCTTTCTCGAGTTTTTGAACGACGCTTATCATATACACAAGTCAGATGGTTCTTGAACGCTGCTGAATTTTTAGGGGGTATCTACCGGCCTGTGAGTACCCTAGAATGCAAGAAGTCTACCTCGACATGCTTGCACCAGCCACTTGAGTGCCTTCTCTCACCTCTGATCGATCTTCGCTTCCAGGTGCTCCAGCACAGACTTCAAACGGTCGAACTTATCTTCGATACTAATCTTCGTAGTTGTGTCAAGGCAACATTGTGGAGAGATTTCTGTCTCTTTGCAGAAGCGATTGATCGAGTACTTCTTCTCAAGTACAAGCCCTTGAAGATTGGTAGATACCATATTCGAAGCGTTTGTCTTTTTGAGTGGCTGTGTGCTATGTTCGACATTCCTTGATGCTGATGCTGAATCCAGTTTATCAACGCTAGAAGTGGATCTGGTGATTTAGTCAGTGAACTCGTCAACCAGGCTAGCAAAGAGAAAGACAACCTTGTATCTGATCCGAAAGTAGCACAGGTTGATCCTGTATCAGATGACATTTCGCTAGATATCAACAAGCCGATAGTAAGAGCAATGTTGAGGAACAATTTTGAGAAGCACTTGCACGTGATCAGATTCACAAAGACAGAATGAATTGAATGAGGAAGAGCTAGCTTTAGGAACGGTAAACTTAGCATCAACTTATATCATATTCTCTTTCCCAAATCCATGGTTCGGAGTCCTAAATGTCCGACGTTCTATTGTAAATATCCCATCCGAACTCCGGCACTGTCCCAAAAGAGAAACCGTTAAGTCAGCCTCACTCGAGGTAGTAGGCTATCAGAAGCTAGGTAACTAAGGAAGCGCGGAAACAACCATTCCAGCCTCAATAACTGGTTAGGCTCGTATATTACAAACGCAGCCATTGGCAAAGAAGTACGAGGAACGAGTAACCCAGCAAGCCTTGCATTCGAGAGGAGGTGAAGGGGATGACTAAGCAACAGATTCTCATCGTCTTACCCAACTAACCGCAGTTGATATCCAATGGCGAAGGTTTCATTATTCCTTGTGTGTATTAGTCATCCTCCCACCGATTTGCGTACGAGTACGTGTGAAGCAGTTTCAAATCCCGAATTACGACATAATACCCCAGAAAGTGCCGTATGCCCTGAGCCGCACAAAGCTGAGTCATCCTCGACGTCCAGCTTAGATATCAGCTCCTCGAGATCTCCACGGCACAGAAACTAACCGGGCTTTGCGTTCCCAAAACACAACATGAGCAACGTCACAACCACCAGCCTGCAGTGCTTGCATCGAAAACGCAGAATGGTCCCTTGGCCATAATATAAAAAACGGCACAGCAAGATCAACGTGTAAGTAGGACAAGCGCTTTCGGCCCGAGACACAGCGAAGTGAACTGCCGGAGACAGCAGATTTGGACGTTTGCGTGTCATTATACATTACTTGTCATTACTTGTGTCTCTGCACGACTACATTAGTTGGTTCCCTTCTGCATTAATGACCGAGCTGGCCAATCTTCTCCATCTACCAGACCCCATGGACAGGTCCACGTGACTGTCTACGAGGCAATCTTTCAGTCCCTCTTGTCACCCAGAATTTTGGGGAGGATTACGCATAGATGTGCGTAACTGCCCTTGTTGCAAGCCTGAGGGGCGTTTCAAGTACACCGAGTACGACTTGGCGCTGTCGATTCCACCGACATCGCATCAAAGCGGAGGCGAAATTTACGGCCGTATGTGACCCCTTGTTCTCTGTGACAGTTAGAATATTTTTTAACAAGATGTCGAAATGCTCACTGGACAGCGTTCCTTTCCCACTTTGACAATCGTATCTTCCAGACCCACCTCATTTGTTCTCGTACTTGGCAGTGAAATCCGCAAGAAGGTTCCTCTTCCGTGTGATATTGTCTGACATGCTTTCGTGTGTAGTTCTGTATCGATATAGAGGACTCGAGGTTTCATTTGAAGACTGGTATTGTCCCACTGAGTAGTTATGAGTATGGGAAGCATGTTCCCTGATGCAAGAGAGACATGATTGTTTGGAGTTGCTGGACCATTGGTGGTTGCAAGCTCTTGGGGTTGGAGGGAAGTGCTGCGTTCTGTGAAATGTTCAGTGGGATTCGCAGGAGGGCATCAGGCAAGAAACTCACCTGCTTGAAGAGCTATAGGTAGCGCCGGTCGAGGACTGTGCGGTAGTCATAGTGGGTGCTTGGAGAGTTGGTGTGGAAGATTGATGTGAGTGACAGGGGTATTGAAGATCAGTGGCCAATGCACAATCTGATTATTGAAAACTCTTGACAGATATATGCTCGACAATAATCAAACAGGCAGCGGGGAATGCCTTCATTTATGTAGGCCATGACCCTGACCCCTGCAAATAAATCTGAGGGAAGAAAGTCCCAAACTTCGAGGTGGATGAATTCCATTTCGGTGTTTTTGGGGGCACGACAGTTGGTGGCACGAAGACTTGTGAGGGCGGAGGGCGAGCCAGCAGCAGTTGCAAGCGCGATGCCCCAGTTACGAAACCCTTGCTTACTACTGCCAACACTGCCACGTGTGAGGGGAAATCGGCGCAATAGAGTATTTGCGCGGTGACTTAATAATCCCGCTGGCCAGACTCTGGTTCAGAAGGGTGGGAGAGAGGGCGATGAGGACCCGTACCCGATAAGAAGGGCGGGGAATATCTGCATGCAAAGCGATAAGCATCATCTTTGTTTCATCAGACCAACGGTTCAGGACTGCCGAACAAACCATCTGAACGTGCTTGAAACTGCAAGCAATTCTCAGGCGAAGATAGGCTGACAGTGGGAAGGGATAAGCCTAGTAAACTCCTCAATAGGGCAACTCGAACAGCCAATTTGATGAGATGATGTGTTGTCAAAGGTGCATTCGGTTTATTGAACCCTGAAACATCGCCCCGCAAGCCACCGACGCTGTAGATCCAGATCTCTCCACAGTCCACATATCAGACAGTTCCACAACACTATTGTTTCGAAACGTCTGAAGCGACCCTTGATAGAGCCTACACCGCCAGAAGGACTGAACTACTGGGGGGACAATGAATGGAGGGCGAACCTGAGCGAGGGTTGGGTTGGAAATGCTCAAGCAAAATCGTACGTTTTGCGTCATGAGTGGGTTAGGTCACAAACTTGTGATCACTGCCCCTGCAGATTCAATGCAGCAGTTGGCTTGAGAGAGACATGTTTTCTGCTGTGACATGGTAGGCAAACGGGAAGAGGGCGGAGCTTTCACAGCATCTTTCGTAGACGTTTCAGATTCTGTCAGCGTACTGTTCGTGCAGGATGTCGCTAATGCAACTGATATTGGAAATGTATGAGAGTTTGCCTAATAATCTTGGCAACTCTCAAATCCGTCGAATGCCCTTTTTTCTCGGCCATTGCCAATCTCCGAAACCGTGTGGTATATCAACATCGACCAGTTGGGTATTGTATTGATCTATGCCTGGACGATCCATACGGTCAGAAGCGAGGGTGGCATGTTTCCGGGCTCATAGCATTTCTCGAGTCTGGCTCGGCAGTATTGCTGAAAACGGCCCCGGATGCCGTCGCAGATCACAGATCAATTCCTACATTACTTTTCGGTGTAACGCAGGACTTGCTAAAACCTTGAAACATGTAGGAATTGAGTCTGCCTTGAAGCGCACAAGAACGTCTGAACGGAAGTGTCGGAAGAACACGTTGCTCTCTCGTGCTCGTTTACCGTTGACATTATGCTCTGCCTGCCTCAATGTGGTGCTGTTGCATCGTTGTGGCTGCCTTCATCGTACCGAGGGGAAAGAATTCAGTGCTCATGGCCTTGCAGCTGCAGGAAGTCACTGTGTGTTCGGCGACCACAGACACGAGATCTAGATTTGACGGTCGAAAATTCAGGCTTCGACCCCTGGCGTTCATGTCGGCTTCCTAGGCTCGTCGATGCAGCCACTTCTTCGCATTCTCTATCCGAACAAATAAAAGCCAGTCAACTGTGAATACGATCCCGTGAGGCAGGTCTGGCAGGGCGGAATCCGGCTCGATTCCTTGTCAACGGCTGTTTGCACAGACCCAGAGCAGCCGATTGTTCGTACAATATCCCAGCAGCCTTACGGCTTCGTGCAGGGCATGCACGATGCCTGCAGTCGCTAAGGGTCCCATGAACCACCAACAGAGCTGAAGAAGTCGCTGCAGACTTAGTTTGAAACAGATTGTCTCTTGTGTATCGCTTATGCATGGAACCAAACTCCATATCTCGGTAAGGAATGTGACTATCGATTCTCGGACGATGGAACTTCGAAGTGCTGAGCCGAAGACCCCGATGGTCGTCTTTTGCTGCACCCTTGAGACCAGACGCAGGAAATCTCGCTGCCATCCGTAGCTACGAAAGTGTCTAGGATCACTTGGACACTTCGTGCATTAGTAACGCTGCAATCAGGGAAAAAGGAGTCGCGGATACAGCGTACCGATAATTTCTTTGGTGTATTATGGAGAAGTGCGTCGATGTTGTTGAAGTGATGTCGAGGAAATAAAGTTAAGGTTGACAGCTCCACTTAATTAGCTAGTCCCATACCTATTCCCCACAATACCTCCTCTCTATCAGCACGCAGACGCTCTAAAGACTATCACTGGGCTAGGTTTTCCGGCCAAAAACGACGCGTTTTCAGTCCAACGACTTCTTGTGCTCCATGGGATTCGCATTTTCTTGACATCCACTTCCTCGTCCTCGATGAGATTGTTGATTATCGTACCTCCTTGTTCTCATGTTGAGCGTTGTCTCCTGTCCCACGATCATGTCCACCACCCCATCTCCCGCATCTGGTTGATTGACGTGTGTTCTGCAAGGGAGATGTGACATATTCGCATGCTTTAACAGCTTCCTAGGTATTGAGTCATCATCAGCGATTGACATATGAGGGTGAGTTGAGCTCATTATCCTTGAATCCATAATCGGAGGACTCACAAGGGTTGAGACTGTTGAAATAAACTGAATCAATGCTTGATGAATTGTGATGACTTTTCCAGCTTTCTCTTCATCCACATCAAACAGACACTTACCCAATACATACCTAATTCGTCTAAGAATGTCAGCATTGTATCGCTTCCATGATCGCTCGTGTCAAATGTCTCAGTGTGTTTGGCATTATCTTGCAGACGTGTAAAGAGCAGCTCGGTGGATTTCGCATTCAGCCCAAGCAAATTTTGCTTGAATATTGTCCCATACATTGAACCTACCACCATACTGGCTCAAGAAGCTACCTCTTGTCAAGCTCTCGCTGTAGTCATGGCTTATGGTTTGTGAAAGACTATGTGCTGATCAGTGAACGTGACTTTCCTATCAAACTACCGTCTTCCATTGCCAAGCTCGTTCTCCACACCTCTTGATACCTATATATAAGAGAGCGGTAGTCCTTAAGTGTGGTTGGTGATTGAGCTTCTCATTATAGAAGAATGAGTATATTTCTCAAACACAAAGAATCGTGGTTGAATGATTTCAAGCAACGAATGGAGTACAACCCAAACTTGAAGGAAGTCGCTCTAAGCCTTGCAAAAGCCTAGTGGAAGGCCGCTTTTCTAAGCTTCTAAGTTACTTGAATAACGCTAAAACAGGCTAGGGGGCCACGTATTTGCGCAGGCTGGGTCCTTCAAGGTCCGTTCTTGCTGGCGAAGAGCTTTGGCTTTTACATCATCAAACATCAACTCCACAATACAAGTTCCCCATCTTACGATCAACCAGAAAATCACCTCGTCTCTTTCTTCGAACAATAACTTGATACCTCGACCGCAATGGATACAGCAATTATGAACGAAGTGGTTTCCCCTCAACACCACCCTTCTACCTCGATCACCTCTCGAAGCGCGAACTCCACGTCCGCGGAGCACGATATCCGACTGAACAAGAGACCACGAGACGTCATAGCTCCAGTCAAGACCAGCCGCAAAAAGCTTCGAATGCCCAAGTTTCCATGGGAGAAGCTCCCATTTGAGCTTCGTGAGAAGATTTTCGAATTCGTTAGTGGGATTTCGAGAGCAGAACACAAGCAGCTGCTTAACAAGGACGCGCCAGCAACATACTTCAAGAGAGAACGCGGTTCACATATGCCAGCTCTTATCGTTGCACTTCGACCTCTGGCTACTTCATATCATCACGTCTTGCAATGGTTCTAGGAACGCAACAACTCCTTCTCCAAGGTCACATTAGACAAATTTAAATATGGCAACATGAATCGCTTGGAGATGACCCTGGTTACATCACTGAAAGTGGGAGCTCCGAAGAAGACAGATGAGCGGATCACACGCCCATTCACATTCGGTATGTTCAAAGCCCAGACTCGTGTTATTTATTATGCTAACTTGATGCAGCCCAAAAGTTTGCCAATTACTTCTCCGAGGCAGACAATATTCGACATGTTACCTTGAACCATATCACAGACTTCCGGGAACCATCAGATGTGGTACATTTTACCACCGAACTTCCCTTTTGGCTCAAGGGTTTCAAGTCGCTGAGGACTCTGACTGTAGATATTCCAGTGGTCCGCCAAATCTTCGATGCAGATTTACAAGACAAGCTTCTAAATGCTTTGATTAGTAGGATCAATAAGAAGGTTGGAGTAACAGGTCAATTAAAATCCGATTCAGAGTATATTAGGATATGATTTTTGCCGGATTGGTATCCACCTTCCGACGAGAATGATATATATCACTGGGATATTTATTCCGATGAGAGAAACCCTAAGTCGGTGACAGCTGACATACAAACATGGACCTGGAAAGCCCCTGCTGGCAGAACCATGGACTGGTCGCAGGATCTGGGCTGGGAATGGACTTTCACAAGACTCCTAGGCATTGATGACGACGAAGGCGAGCACGATGGAATACTAGTGGAACGAGAGCTAGATGCAGAGAAACGGTACCGCGGTTTCGATATCCCGTACTCATCAGACGATGAAGTGCGATTAGGCGAGTCGTACATAGTGAAGTCGGAAGAAGAAGAAGAAGAAGAAGAAGAAGAAGAGGAGGAGGAGGAGGAGGAGGAGGAGGAGGAAAAAGAGGGAAAAGAGGAGAGTGAGGTCGAAGAAGGCACACGTGAGAACAGCAGTGCGGCAGGCGAGGAGGACAAAGATGCTGGTGTGCAACAGGCAATTGAAGTGGCTGCAGAGGGAGGGAACGGAACTCAGGAATAAGACGTGTCCTACGGGCATCTTCGAATGTACAAGGTTATTGAGTAATTTTCAACTCATTGTATTGAATAAGATTTTGCAGCTGCATAACTTCATGGAGAATAGAGATGCCATGAAAACCTATTATCTATGCCAACAATGCAGCATGAGACCCTCTCAAAAGTTCGAAGCGTTTGAGACATGTCAGTGTCACTTCACGAGCAAGAAATTGACTCGCACGCATTTCATCTTTTGTGTTTTTTTTTCGTCATCTCGACCATAGCATGACTTCACTGCTGCAGTAGACACGTCCATCATGGCAACGATCGACGGCTTCTTTTGACCACAGGAATTTTAAGAAGGTCATGTCTAGATTGAAATGATTTTGACGCTGCTAGCGGGGTTCTCACAACATTCGATGCACAATGCATAGCGCAAGAGAGCAGCAACTCGACAATAATCTGCCTTTTACGGGTCCATTTGAACTTCCTCAGAGGCGAATTTCACTATCTTTAGAACCTAGATTGAAGTTAGACCTTCTGACAGCTCAAGGAGCCCTTTCTCATTCCATTCAACGTTGCAGGGTTGGTCGTCTCACAAAGTTCCGACAGATTTCGGAGACCAATTCTATTCGTACGACACAAAACCAGGTTCAATACCAGCAAGCCATGTTTAAAGGTACTCGATACATACCTCGCCGTCACAAATTCTGTCGCAGGAGCGTTCTCAGTTGGCTTGGGGCTTGTGGGGAAGCCTTGAGGCTTTGACCTCGCCGCTGCATGCGACTAGGCTCAGCGTCCCCGTCGTTGGCCCAGCGAATGTTCTTATTAGCTAACACATGCCTTTTTTAAGTCATGAAAGAGCCCAAAAAACAAGGGATACAAGAAGTAAGGGCGAGGAACTCAGCGGATGTACCTTCTACCCAAGTCCGGTTGAGTAAGTAACCCTCAATGCAAAAAGGATTCGCTCATCATTCTCCTGGCAGGCTTTCTCCTACAAGTTTGCTTGATTAACTATCAAATAATTTCTGAAGCACCATGTGAAATGAAAGTCTGCGTCCGGAAGGAAAGGGGTAGCGAGGGGTAAATATATCTTAGCTCGAACATAATTCCAAATTCTCAGAACGAAGAGAGAGAGCTTGCTTCTACCATCTTGAGAGATTCTCAACAAAATTACCCATTGGCTACGCATTTTCAATGAGAGGTTATCAAAATAAATGAGAGTGGGAGTTGCGCAAGACGTCTAAAAGCCTTCTCGCTTCGTTTTATCAAAGCGAAGTGGGGTCCAATCCGAGGGGACAAAAAAGTTTTAGCCTGGCATAAAATCCTCAGAAGGGTGCCGAAAAAAATGCAAAAATGATTGCCCTCGGACGGAATCGAACCGGCAACCTCGTCATTGACTTATTACGGTACTAGTGACGCGCTCTACCATTCTGAATCATTTGTTAGCAACTACAATTCCAATTCTGTGCGTTGTGGAGTACTCACGAGCTACGAGGGCTGTAATTGGATGTTGGCGAAAATGCTTATTAGAACTAATATATCCGTAATTTGTGGAGAGAAAGAATCGACTAATGCCGGAGGAGCTAAAAAAAGATTAGACTTAAAGCACCACGTGATACGAATATGAAGTCTAGCGAGAGCAGCGAGCTACAGTAGACGAGTCCTTCACTGGTTTGGAGATTGTGGAGTTTAGAGTTTGATTTATACTCAATAAGGCACTAGGAATTTGCCTCAGTTTAAACCCAATCTACGGCCTTATTTCACAGATTAATTAAGACAAACTATTTCCAAACTAACGTGTATGGTATTCGCTAGCCAAGTAAACTCCGATGAACTCATGCTAAATACTAAAGGCTCCCATCAAAGTTCAGTAAGCACCTCAACTCCGAAATCAAGCAACTAGCCAAGCCTCACAAAATCTCCATGTCAACGACCTTCACGCTGACCTGCTTGCCCGAATATTCACATCCAATCGAGCAATTACCCAGCTGATCAATACCACCTCCCTTGACATCAGTCAAGGTACTACCAACCTTCCAAGCCGTATCCTCCAAAACTAACCTAACTTGCATACCTGCAGCTTCTTCTGGATCAGTCAAGTGAACATCCGATGCATTGCTCCCTCTGATACTCGTAGCCATCATCAACGGGAATGTATGATTGATCCTAATCACGAAATCTGAAAGGACATCTCCACCAGCTGCCGGCAAGGCCTTCAAGAACTGGAATGTAGGAGCTGCGCAGGGAGTCCAGTTGTTGACGGACTTGTCTGTTCCACCGCAAGCCCAATTGGAATCGCAATGAGTTTCCCATTGCGCGGGATTCCGGCCGAGGGTCGGGAGTCCGAGGAGTGCGACGTTGAGGTTGTAGATGTAGAATGTCCAGGCTTCGTTGCAAGGGATGTCGCCACTGAGAGGGCCATCGCTGCGGGATTCTGCCCAGACGATTGGTAGAGGTGACGGTGTGAAGGTCGACGTGGTGCTGTCGAGGGTCATCGGGGCATTGTACAACACACACTGAGTTCCGGAGTCTGTGTCTGCGCCAAAACACTCGATACCTGCGTTTGTGGAAGCGGTGATATTTGCGCGCGTGACGCCGATTGATGTTGTCTTGTCATGTCTGGAATTATGAGTAAGTGAAGAAGCCGGCATCGGAGCGCAGGTGAATTTACGATCTCACGGCATCCAACTCGACAACCTCGAGTGTATAGTTGCCGACATCATTGTACACCGCAATGCGGAAACGTAGCATCGGATCAGTTTCGCACTTGATCCATTGCGTGGGAATGATAGGGGTAGGGTAGTGAGTCCAAGTTGTAGAGCACGGAGTGATGTCTTTGCCAGGTCGAGTCAGAGAGAAGTCAACGGTGCTGTTGAATTTGACAACTCCACCCTCCCTCATCTCGTGGGTCGATAATTCGATGACTTGCCATTGTCCGTTGGCGCCGAGGATAGACGTAACAAGCAAAATCAAGGCTGAAAGCCAAGCGGTCTTCATTGCGGAACGCATTGAGAATAAGGAGAAGCTTGTGAATCGTCTTGAATACTGAACGGAGGTGTTGTCGAAAAGTTTTGTGATCTCTGAAAGGAAGTGCGAAGTACTAGCGCTTCTAAAACGAGCGATTCTTTACGTCTCAAAAAGTGCTCCGATTATAATCCGTGAATTGAGTCACTAGTGTGTTGTCTGACAACTTCGAAGTTGATTTAGGCGCTTTTTGAGCCAGCTAAATTATAATCCTCTAGCCAGATATTAGGACGCTTACCTGTATGTAAAAGAACTTGTTATTGACAGACATGACATTCGTCTCAACTTCGGAGCCAGAATGATACGTCCCCACTTATCGCTCAGTCCGAGTCCAACACCAGACAAGGGAAATTGATTCATTTATACATCTAAACATATCGCAAATCCCCGAAAGGATTACTTCGTTGGTGAGCCCAATCTAAATATTCCCGAATCCGGGATTCAGCCTGAATGAAGCAAGTATAACAACGGCAGCGGCCGCCCGCAATCGAAAAGATGCAGGTCCGCATACAGGGAATTAGAGCTAAATAAATGAAATGTGTGACATCCATGCGAGGAGATAAGCTGGATTTTGATATTATAGGCATAACCAGATATTTTTCAATGTTGGGATGGCTTGACCCCTGACAGCACCAAATTCTTTTACACGCGGATATAGAGAATTGGCTACTAACACGACCAGGAGATGTCAGTCAAAACAGTTATGATGATCATTGATACAAGGCATGCTTGCTTCTAACTTTTGGAAACAGACATCGCACTTTCACGTGATCATCTGACCTTATTCATTCTCACGCGGTAGATATATCACAGGTTGCTCTGTATCCTGCTGACATTGATGCCTGTGCGATGGCATGTTCTGTTCATGAGCAACGAAGCCCATGGCAAAGACAAATCGATGATAGCCAAGTGAGGTAAAACGCTGTGCTTGAAACATTTAGAGGTCTAGCCCGCGCTGTCGCAACATTGAAGCGTCTGACGACTTTAACATAGCTTTAAAATCCTCGAGATACACACATGCGAATCTGATTTACTCATAAATTTACAGTAGCCTGCTGATCACAGAAAAGCAAAGAAGCAAAGTCATCTAAACATACAGGCTCAGATGTAATTGCGGCTCTTCGAGACATGCGAAGAACATCTAGATGACAAGCCACATCCGTACAAAGTGTAGCTTGAATATCACCACATGAATCTAGACTCAGATGAGATGAAATCGAATGTGATACATCGACTAGCGTGGCACGTACAGAATGCTAGTGGACCTCCGCAAAGCTATAATTAGACAAGGCTATGAAGAATAAGCATATAGAGTTCAATAAGCATTTTTGCTCTCGTCAAAGAGGCACACAACGCATGTAAGTTAATTAACACTTTCCTGAACTAATATCAAAATAGTTCAGCAATCTGAAAAAAAATGATTTTCAAAGGAGAATTGAATAGTGTTAAAAGTATCCCAAGATGGCAACATCAGTGATAGCAAGAGCTCGACGCCATATTCGAAGGCAGCGGCCGACATCTTCTCCTTTCGGCGGTGCAGAGCAACAATCGTATACGGAAAACCTATTAGGTTAGGTTTAGTATCGACCACCCCACATCTCGAAGAGGTGTGGTTGAGAGTTTTGCTACTTTTTCCTTTGATCATTCTCTCTGAGCGAGGCGCACACATAAAGCTCGCACTTGCTTACATTTTGGCTCGAGTTTGCGCTGAGAATCCAATCATCTTTGTCCTTGTTAGATTACTGTTGGTGTGAAGAGATCGAGCTTTATAACAAGACCCCCACGGTTGCTGACTGCTTGTCAACGAGCATCAGTGACAATCAAACAGAATGACCGCTTCCTTGTCAGTGCTCTAACGAATCATTCTGAGTGGTATTGAATAAAGCACCCTCAAAGATCAGACGAAGAACAGTCCTGAAAGAAAGATCTCCCTGTTCCTTCACTGGCAACTGGATGTCATATCCAAATCTTGCTTCCACCATAGAACACTCAGATGCAGTTTTCGGCTTCGATCAAGATGGGTTCAGAATAATGGTCTGATATCTGATTCTTGCCGCTCATTCACATATCTGCCTTGAGATAGAGACATGGGAGTGACAAGGACAGGTAAAGAGAAGATGAACAATCAAAGGATAATGATGCTTAAGGACTCAAACAATCAAATTCGATACATATCCGTGTTTAGGTGGGCAAAACGCCACCTCAGTGTCCATGTGATGACAGCGTCTTGAAAACCCAAAGCAGCAATACAGGTCAAGAGTCAATAGCACTAGAACATAATCAAAGTAGGAACAATAGTCTTCAACCGCAGACATGGGAATCTTCAACTCAAACATCACAGTCCAGCTACTGTACAACTAATGTCACAAATCATTCAATGTCCCAACGATCGACATCCAAAACCATCCCGCACGGACCATACACACCGCCTCCAGCCCTCCAAAATTCTGCCAATCCTCGTCGCATCTATCTCCTCTGCACTCCCTTCATCCTCAACCAACACCCCAAAATGCCCTCCGACGACTACACCCCCGTCGTCCGCGGTGCTCTAAAATTAAAAGGCTCGACCCCATCCGGCATCACTAAAAAGAAGAAAAAGAAAACCCCCAAACCCGCTCCCGAAAGCGAAGCCTCGACCAGCAAGCAATCCGCCTTCCAGAAAGCGCTTGAGGAGGAAGATGCCTCTACCAAAGAAGATGATCTGCGGGAATTAGAAGAGCGCGGACATGATGGGAAGACGGCTAGTGAGCGAGCAAGAGAGGAGATGCGGAGGAAGAGGGTATGTTTTATTCCTTTGAGGAGAGGCAGGGAGTGGTTGGCTAACGGGAGATGTGTAGTTACATGAGAGGTTGCAGAAGGAGGGTGTTAAGACGCATAAGGAGAGGGTGGAGGAGTTGAATAAGTATTTGAGCAATTTGAGTGAGCATCATGATATGTATGTTCTTCTTATTCTGGGCTTTGGGGGTGGGTGCTAATGTGTTCTATAGGCCGAGAATCGGTCCTGGATAACGAGGTTGGGGATGGGTATGGAGGAATAGGAGGGCAGATACTGGGGCTTGGTGGCTCGTGGTTATGCTGGATGCTAGAACGTGCAAGTCGGAATATGTGGGATATGGTCAAGGAGATTCTATGGTTGTATACAAAATGCAGAAGGTCGATTAAGGGAATGATGAGACGTTGAATTCAAATTTCTCGACGAATCACTTGATTACCATCTTTCCAAGCACTTATCTGCCTGTCACAACTGAAGCATACGTTCGAAATCGACTTAGACTTCACTTGAGCAGCAGAGAAAGCATTAAATGCATATAGCATGAACGTTTCGCAACTATTCAGTAGCACCTATGTGCGTGTATCTATGAATATCATTACACGTAACCCAGACCACGACCCGAGGTATCGCAACGCCAGAGTCACTCCAGAAACACCACCAATGCAATCATAAAGCTCCCATCGACATACCTACCCGCAAAGAGTTTGACAGCCGGAACATGCAAAGCCATCAGTATTCACTGTCACTGAGACCAGTGGACTCTTCGCCAGGGAAGGATGAACCAGCACTGCTTGCTTCAAGATCTGGTTCTTCCACGTAGATCGACTTTCCCCACTTCTCCATAAGTGCCGGGTTAGCTTTGCCCTTCTCATTAACATGTTTCTCGAGCTTCTTGATAGTCTCCTTGATGGACGAGGCAGAACCGATGCCAAATTCCTTGCAAGCAGCTCTCGACTCCTTCTGGTTGTGGGTTCCAGTATAGATCCACTTTTGTTCGAAGCTTCCGCTGTGGTTGCTTTCCGATTTTTGCTTCTTGAGATGATGCGCAAGGTTCAAGTCTGACTCACTAACCTTGCGCTTGCCCTTCATGAGTTTGCTTAGAAGCCCCTTTTTCTTCTTATCTTCGGGTTCAACATCGGGGTATGGAGGATCGAGACCCAACACGACTGCGAGCTTATTGAGAAGATTGACCCCTTGGATCTGTGTATTTGGTACAGATTTTCCTCTTCCTTTCTTTGGACCTAATGGATATGGAAGATTTGGCGAGAAATTGAGGAGACGAGGATTGTCAGGTACCCAAGTATCAACCTCAGCCAAGACATTCTTTCCGTTGTACTTCCAATATGTCTTTGATATATCTGCCCAGACATGCTCCTTCGCCTTGGGGTCCTGGAAGGTGTTCTCGACCCAAGCAATCATCGCATATCTGAGAGTCTTGGTTTGCACAACCATCTTATTCTCTTTGACCTGGGGACTTTCACCTTCATTCTCATGACCAGGCTCATTATGCCAGGGGTAAGGGGCACCAAGAATCATGGCTTGAACACTGACAAGGACGGCCAGGATAGTGCTCTTATTTGGCTGCCACATCTCTTGCGGCATTCCGGACCAGGTATTGAGAATAGACAGACAGACTAGAAGCGTCAGCATAACTCGTAGAATTCTGGTCCAATAACTTACCACTGCCTCCAACGTGCAAATTAGGATTGAAGGAGTACGTGTCTGTATCATTACCATCAAGAACAAATGCCATCTTAGGCGGAACAATAGGATAGTCGGGTGGAAGAAAGATATCAAATCTAGAAAATAATAAGTATAAGTCTCTTCTATGTTGACCTCCACTTACGTGAACAACCCTCCGGCATACGGAGATCCTCCCGAGCCAACAATCAAGACCTTCATAACATCGGATCGAGATTCGGCAACCTTGAGAAAAATGCCAGGAGGCAAAGAAGTGGTAAGAGTTGCCACCTCCTTGCTGATCGTGTTTAGCCTGTTCTTTGCACCCGACGACTTGAAAGCGTTGATATCTGAGGTGAAGCGATGAGCAACCAATACTTCGTCGGTAAATGTAACTCTGTTCTCCTCTTGATATTTCCCCCAGGCTGTCTCGGCCCCTATACTGAAACCTGCATTAACATTGCCGAACATTTTAACCCGAGCTTGTTCCGCTACATCTGCCTTTGTCTTTAGATTTTCGTGGAGCTCGAGAATCCCTTCACATAGCTTCATAATTTCCTTCTTCACTGGATTGACTGGAGTTTGTGCGGAGCCACCAGTCAGAGTTTTCTTTGCGGCCATCTTCAGATACATCTTGACTTGATCGTAGATGTTCTTGCTGCTCGCAAAAACCGACGCAGATCTAGACGAGGAGGAGATCACCGGAATCGACGAATCCTGAATTATTGGATTTGCAAGTGCTCGAAGACCTGGACTTCGACTCTTCTCTGGGCGTTCCTCGAATAGTAAACCACTTAGATTAGGAATGTTTGCAATGAGCTTTACGAATGAGAGGACTTCAACGTAAAGGTTTGCGCGCTCGATGACGTCGGCGATCGCATCGTTGCGGATCAAATCAGTGATACGATCGAAGAGGATGCTGAGATGGAAGAGGTTGGTTTCCATTAAGGCAGGGTAAGAGGCATCTGGCAAGCAAGGACTAAGCAACTGAAGGGTTTCGATCATCAAAGCATCCTGCTCCTTCTTTTCGTCCTCATCCGTTGTGGGTAGAGGTCCCGTGCTTATCTGGACCATATCAGCATCTCCGAATCCACAGAGTCACAAGTCGTGGAGGAGTCCTTACCGTACTGTAGTGAGCATGAACGACTGAAGCGTATGATGCGAAGTCAGGAGGGAAACCATCAATATCATCGATCTCGTCGACCGATATGGGCCCCCATGAGCCACCATATGCTACAGGATCGTAGCCAGAAGCATACCCGACGCCAGAGATCGAAGCAGCCTTGGTACCCTTGGTTGGTGATTTCTTCTTCGCCTTTGACTTCTCTGGAGCCTCCTTCTCCGGTTGTCGCTGACTGTCATCAAATCGGCACAACAGGAAGTAAATGGTATAGAGTCGACCTAGGTCGCAGCAATGATTGACAACACCGAGAGGAGTGAAGAAGCTTCGGGCGTTCAAGGTGGGGAGAAAGTTGCATCCAACACACGTCGTCGCTTTGCACCTACAGGTCCAGGCAGAGAGGTGGGTTGTTGGCGGGATAGACCGAGCGCCAGCGCGCCAGTCGTCGATGCGATCTGGGTCGTCGTGGATGGGAAGCGTTCTGTTGCAGAGAGGGTTGCGACAGTGCGTGTGAAATTGCTTGCAAAGGATGCGAAGATTCTGGACGCTTTGAAGGACCTCTCGATCTTGTTCGGTATTGGTAACGTTGTACTCAGACTCCGATTTGCTGCTTGAACTCCCCATACCTGAGGAAGGGCCTGAAGTCGACATTTGGTGTTGAGCTCCCGTTTGGGTTTGTTGATTTTGTGTTGCGGACCTAAAAGGTAGTAAGAGGCTGGAAAGGACAGGAAACATGGTGGATTCGGCGGTAGTGAACAGAAAGAAAATGGAAGGCGCTAGTCAACGCGATATGATTCTTGATTCACCTTTTACGGCGACAAGAATCGAGACGGATGGAGTTGCGTGTTCAGTCGCGACAATAAATCGCGTTTTCTGGAATCAAAAAATCTTGAACGCGGAACGTTCTTTCTGTTTTTACAAACTTCCAAACCCACAACTAGCGAATTTTTGCACTCTTTCCAAAAAGGTCGTACGACCTTAGCGGATGAGGCCACGATATCTTTCCAGCATTTCCATTCTCTTTCAAGTCTTTCATTGTGGTCTGAACCACATCTATGCTTTCTTTACATGCTCTTCACAGAGTGCGGCGCGGTATGACTTTTCAGGTGCAGCGAGCTCTTTCATGAAATGCAGCAATGCAAATGACGAAATGGGACTCGACGATTTACCTACCTGGAGTTTGCTTGAAGTCTGGTGTCAAGAGACACCTTTCTCGATTTTCGACTTCTCCGAACGTTGCCGTTTGCCAAGCCGACCGAAATCGTGGTCACCCCAGCCCTTCAGCTTGATCAATTTCCTAATAGCGATCGAAAGATTGGAAGGACCTCGAAGAAGAGACAGGATAATATCGATCAACCCCAAAGACACTCTGTCGATCCCACCAACCCGTTTGTCGCCCCAGCCTTGTCAGCTTGTCACGACCCTGTCTCGTACCCTTCACAGTTGTTCGTTCTAGGACGTCGTTGGCAGCGTCCTGCAATCGATTCTGATGCCAACGAAGGCGTCTCAAGATACAAAGTCAGGCGGTCACCTCTGGCAAGACATTATGTATACAAGGTCGAGCTGAATCCACAGCGCAGTTTGATTAGGCTACCAGAGCCTCACTGGCCTGTGCTTTTGTCTCTGACCGGCTCTTCCTTGTTCGAGAATGGTGGTCAACGGATATCAAGCATCTGATTTCATCTGTTGTCTAGTACAAGGGTGAGGACGAAGTTGTTTTGCTATTGCAGCCGAGGGCGTTCGAGATGAGGTCGGTTGTACGAGCGGTTAAGCTCAATCTGCAATGTTTGACACCTACCCATCACGTGGAGAAATGTGGATTTTTCAAGTTTGAAGTTCACTGCAACATACTAGAAGGATGTTGAGACTACTGAGATAAGTTCATTACAGCTGCTGATATTGTGTCATTCCGATGAAGTGAAGAACTGCATGGTCACGTGTAGACAAGTCACGACGTTACGAATGCCGACGGGAGGTTACTTTGTCACCTTTGTTCTCGTATAATGCAAGAAACTTGACAGCTCTCTAAGTCTTTCAATAGATGTCTAGAACATATAGATGCTCCCATAACACTAGCGTTATATGCTCGAAAGCTGGTCATCGAAATTTCAGGTTCTCTTCAACTACGCGAAGCTCGAAGACCCTCTCCAATGTCTTTGCTATTTGTTAGTTGTCATTGTTATGTTCTCAAGACTGTCTGTTATTCTGGTCACCTTAAGTTAGGTAAATATAAGAAGTCTGCCTCTCTGATCATTGTGGAGAATCACTCAGCAGAATCTGCAGCAGATTCAACTGCGTTAGGCCTCCTCGTATTATACTTACGATCAAGTGAGGATTCACAGCGGAGTCCCCACACCAGAGAACTTGGAATAAGATCGGCGTGATAGTGTACACCTTCTCAGGATCTTGGTATTGTACGATATGCTGAGTCCTCACCCCATCATTTATCTAGCAACAAGGTATCCAAGAACAAAGTAGACTTTAAGCCTAGTTCAGAACGTACCTCCAAATGAGGAAACCGCATCTTAACTTCGTTTGAATCACAATAAATCTCCAAGCACCCTTTTCGGTTTCCCATAATTGTCTTCATACTTTGTCAACTTGACTTTTGAGCATTTATGCTTGTATCTTCGAAGTAAAGATCTGCACGTTGGGCAAGTGGCTACCGAATCCAAGCAGTTTCGAAACAAAGACAATGTGGATTAAGTTTACATGTTTCATGCATGAATTTCAATAGCGAACCAAACGTATCGAAGATCATTTGATGGAAGCATGAATCGAGGCAAAGCCGTTTAATGTCCGGGTAGTCCGGGGTTGAGAAAGTTAACGTGAAGTTTGGGCATCATCCTTGTGGTGCTCAAAGCATATACTCTGATTACGCGTTTGCATAGCAATGCGGCTCAAGGTCTGATGAGGTCAAGGTCTTCCTTGCCACGTCTTTATTCACAATGCCGAATGGATTGTCGAATGTGAGAGCCGACGTGAAGCACCGGTTGAGCTCAAAGTCAAACACTACTGTAGAAATTTCGAACGGGGAGAATAGTAAGCATGAAATATGGTCAAAGAGATCTTGAGGACAGGAGATTGTTCCGTTCATCGAGTTGACGATCGTGCAAGAGATCTTGAGGGTAGGATGTGGTGCCGTTCATCGAGTTGATAAACATGTCAGGCTCTGAAGGATGAGAAACAGAGTTGCACGAAAAAGAGATCATTACGAGCATCTTGTCGGATCTTTTCGAGTAAGAACTAGCAAAGACCCCTAAATGTCATACTTTAGTACTCGGGGTGTATCTTCCAAAATGCAGGGTTTATTTGAAGCAGTGCCGCTTTAAAACCCTTTAATATTTTGTATGCCAGCCGTCAGCATCAATTACAGCTTGGCATCTCTCTCTCATGCTATGTACAAGCTCTCTAATTCTGTTATGAGTGAAAGATGGAATGGATAAAGCAGCTTTGGATCCCCTTGATATCATTGGTGGTAGCACCCCTGCTAGCGTAGAAAGTGCCAGAAGGCTTGGCGGACGATACACCCCGAGTACGAAGTACACCAAGCTTCAAGTGTCCAAGGATGACCTAAAGTCTGTTTGAGGCCAAGTTTCCGAGGCTCTGAACCGCGAATGCGAAGACTTATCCGACCCGTCCTGATGATAATCAAAGCATCAACTAAAGGCATTTAGTGTTTCTTGACTCGAAGTTCCGTCAATTCATTCGGTCGAATTTATGCGAAGGTCGATGTCCGTGAGAAAGTTTCCGCGAATAGGGAATATCAATAGGTTGTAGGCACTCTTAGTTGCTTGATTTGTGGACGATGGCTTAGCGGACCGTTGCGAGCGTTCTGAAAGATACTATGCGGCCCGACAAGCTGGGATATCTGAGCATTCGCGAGCCCGTCATCCGTGAAGAAGCTATTTCTGAAGCTATTCACTTCGGGAAAGAAGCGGTCAAACTGGAAAGGAGCGGTCAACTCGCTATCCAAACGCTTACACGTCACTTTGCACAGCAAAACTTCAACGGCTTCCTCAGATTCAAGATGAATCACTCTGTGTTCAGCTGGCCTCATCTGCCGGCCTCACACATGAGAAGGCTCTGGAAGTCTGAATATCATAGTCGGTGTTGCTCGTCCGCTCCTGCCAGCAACAAAAGGGCCTTTGCTTTTTCTGATGCAGGTAATTTGAGTGTTTTCTCGTTCTAGACGGGCGGTCTCATGTCGCCGACGTGTTACTGGAAGGTTGTTGCTGCAGCTTCTGCTGGTGACGCTTTTAGCTATCTCCAATCATCCATGTTTCCACCCACACTCTCGATGCAAGAAAACACACCTCATCGAGATCGGGGGAAATCCTCCAACACAGAGATGGAGGGTGAACAGCCTCGGGAAGTGTCTTTCTCGTCGTCATTCCCCTCGTTGATTTAAACTTTGATCTTCATGGGCCTGATTCAATTCGGGATCTGGAAAGTGATAAGATCTTCGAATTCTCCTGAGCTCGCCCGTTTCGGAGAGTGGAAAGTCGAGGGGGTCTAGCGTTTCGAGTCGGCGATTGCACTCAGAAGTTGGCAGTAGCTGGGGCGGGCCGACGGGTGTTCGAGTTGACGCCAAGAGGATTTCATATGCGCCATTTTTCGTCGAGTGGATGGGAGAGCGCCGTCCATGAATCCATCATGCTGCGCCCCGCCAACTAGCCCTCAGTTGGCCTCATGTCATTCTCTGCTCGGCAACTGTGCGCTGCGTCGTGCCCCAGAACCCTGGCCTTCCTACTCGTCGTTGCCGGTCGCAGGCGGGGTCGGCGTCTGCTCTGAATCCTGATATCCAGCTTCACCAGCTGCAAGAAGCATAGCACGCCTGACCGAGTCGTGACTTGGCTCTGCACGAGCAGAGCAGCATCACGCCCTCGCACGTCTTCATCTGCCAGTCCCACCTCGGCGACATCCCTGTCAACCCAAATCCTTCTCCCACATCCTGTCGCTGTCTGCCACTCAGAAACATGTGCGGTCGTTGGTGGTGCAAGACCCGCTGTTTGGTGGAAACTGATATGCGGGAACAGCGGGCTAAAGGTTAGCGAAGATGGACAACGCATCGATGTCTCACGCATCCAGCTCTTCCCTGCTCTTCCCTGCGAGTCCGTCGTGCAGCATAAGTGAGCGCTCCCCCCACTCCCAACTTCACACCTTAATTCCTCCTTCTCCTTCATCTGTCTGACTGTCCCATATGCCTCAGCTCCCACAATACTGCAGATCTACTGCTATCGACATTGTTGTTTGCAACCACCTCAGGCTGGATTAATCCGACATCACGACTATCTCCAACAACTGAACTGGACTTCTTGCCGCTGGCTAATAGAAGTAAACTCGACCCATCATCCGACAAATCAAGCTCGCCCCAGAAGATTTTGCCTTTTTTCTATTTTTTTGCACAGGAGCCATATATCATCCCAAATGAGTTGTGTCCAAACCCAAACCTGTGGGAACCTACAGCTGGATACCATGGCTGGTTTCAATCCACAGAAAAACTCCACTAGGACCAAGGCTGCCGCCAGGTATATTGTTATTTCCCTACGCAATGCTTTTCTGCTTTTTTGTCTGCAAATCGCAAGTCATGTTGTCCGAAATCAATGTTTTCCTTGCAACGCAACCTCAAACGACACCTTCATCTGCCGCTCCAGGGACTATTTCCGGATTTTCCGTTGTACCACAGGTCTTATCTATCATCCAGGCATTCCCAATGGTTTCATTTGTTCACGTCCAACCAAGGCTTCATCATGTGACTAGTTCACTGCAGAAAACATTGTACAATAGGCCTCGGCCTGAGTAAGTACCGTCCAACCTATCGACATCCACTCCTAAGGAATATCCCGGACTACCCGTTTGTCTCGCCTTTGCTTGTGGATGTACATACCGTACGTGGATTTATCAAGGACCGTTTCATGGAATCGTCTGGTGGCTGCCCAGCTACTGTAATCTCTTGCGGCAATTCTCGAATGGAGAGACTGACGGCAATGCTGCCTGTCCACCAACATCCGACATGAGCTCCCTTGGCTCGATCTTTTCTGGACTTACGTGCCCTCACGTATTCGACGCAACTCGATTCCCAGTCTTTTGACTGCGATATCGGCATATATTCATGCTGACATGCAACCGCATGAGGACTTCCCATCCGGGACGCGGACACTTTACCTGCACAACCACCATAGGGATCCATTGTTACCTACCTCCCGCACTGCACCCGGGTTCTGACGGACCATGCGAGGAAGAACGTCAACGGTCACCTGACCTAGGACAGACCTCACCAGCCGGTGACAGGAAGGTCTGTCGGCATCTATTTATGCCATCGAGTACGTACACTTGTTCTGCGCCATATGGTGTCATGCATCCCTTCACTATGTGATCGATCACAAACTAATGAATGTTTCGTCTTGATTGCAGACCCATCTGCCATTGGACCTAACCTTGTGGATTGAAACCCTGGACTTTCAACAGCTAATCCTTTCCTGCCTGAGCATTTGTGGACCCTTCCTTACCCGGATCCAATGCACCTAGACCTATGGATACCTTATCAATGGATACTTGGCACACCTTCTCGGCTTCTTTGGTCTGTAGTCACTGTATGCCCCGGTACATGTGTATATCGGCTGACTCATTGTCGCTTTAGGCTTGATTTGATGTTGTGTTTTGCTCTTGTTTCTTTCGCGTCTGCTTCAAGTTTGAGTTTTATAAAGTGGTTGCACAGCACACTGACCCAAGATCGTACAGCGGCTTTCTTGCAAATGGACCCAATTTTGTTCGCGGAATTCCAGGATTTTCTTTGTCTCAAACAGAACCTACCCAGGGCAATCACAGTGGACAATTCTGGAATGGTGAAGGCCAACAGTACTTGCACCAAGATCCTATCTCACCCAATGGAGTCCAGCATGGATTTTCTGATTCTTTTTCTTTCCATGACTCCGAGGAGAACTTGACCGGTCATAATGTTGGCCGAGGGTCAGTTTCAGGCTCAACCAGAGGCCCATGGAACAATGAACTTTCTACTGCTCATTTAGAGTCGGTAGAAATGTCGCGCTTCCCATCTCAGGATTCCATCGGAGCTCACTCCCAGAGGACAACTAACTCATATGATCAGAGCCGATCTACGAGGATGTACCCCAATGTCAACCAGATGACATTCAATATGCCGTCTGCTAGATCAGACATAACAGGCAGGTCAAACAGCCCTGTGAATTCTGCTTTGTATACCCCAACGCAACCTACGGATCTCCACGGATTCAGCACCTATCCGTACCCAGGAGAAGATATGTCAGGTGCCAACCCAATGTTTCACCGGAACTCCAATGCTAGTATTGCACACCCCATGAATGTTTCATTATCCACAGGACCATACAACATGTATGCCACATCAGGAGAAGAGGCCTTTGTGTCCTTGACGGCAGAATCCGATATTCTTGGCGCCCAAGGTCCAGACGGAGGCTCAATGATGTACAACCCCGGTGCTATCATGGAGTCTCCTACTCTGTGGGACAATGCCGATTACATGGATGAATCACGAAGATCCTCGCCAGTCATATTCGAGGAACAATGGTCACTGCCTCCGGCACAGATCACAGCATCAGCAACAAACAGCCCTCTAGACTACTCCCCCAGTCTTGAAGGCATTTCTCCTAGGTATGTTGAGGACTTTCCAGATTTGGTGGAACTGCCCCCTTACACAACGACTGGTGATAGGGTAATGAGGAAGCCCATTGGACCAAGGCCATCCAAAGTTGCGAGTGACTTGGCAGCCGCCTCCAGGCGTCAACGTCTTCCTGGTACTTCCGAAACCTCTGATGAATCCTTGAAACTTGTTGGCCGCTCCAGCCTCGATGTGGACAATACTGCCAGGGACCATCACCTCTACCACAATGTGACACCCCAAGCCGATGGACTTTACCACTGCCCGTGGGAGAAGGACCCCAATTCCAACTGCCAACACAAGCCGGAAAAGCTCAAGTGCAATTACGAGTACGACAGAATACCCTTATCCCCCAAACATTTTGTACAATGCTGACCACATTATCCTCACTAGTAAATTCGTGGATTCCCACCTGAAGCCCTACAAGTGCAAGATCCATACCTGCAAGGAACTCCAGTTCTCGTCCACGGCCTGCCTGCTCCGCCACGAGCGTGAAGCTCACGCCATGCACGGACATGGAGACAAGCCCTTCCTGTGCAGTTACGACGGCTGCGAGCGAGGTGTCCAAGGAAATGGCTTCCCGCGCCACTGGAACCTGCGTGACCACATGAAGCGTGTGCACAACGACCCAGGACACCCCAAGAGCAATGCCTCCGGCTCCCCTCCCCCTTCTGCGCCCGCGCCCAAGAGCAAGAAGCGTAAGGCAGGTGACAGTAACCCAGACTCTCCATTTGTTGAAAAGGCCACAAAGAGGATTGCCACACCTCCGGTTGTGATGCGTCAGCCACAGACACAGGAGCCAAGCCTTCTTGAGCGTTACCATGAGAAGCAGCGCCTCTTGCTTAGCATCGGGAAGCAGCTTGCGGATCCAAAGCATGCTGATAATATGAAATTGCTCCGCGAGGCAAATGATTGTATCAAGGTAATGGTCCAGACCACCCAACGGATAAATGCCGCCCCAGCCATGGCCCGAAACTTCAGTCAACAATCATCCGGCTGAATGAATCCTTCACCTGCGAAGAAAACTTTGTACGTCCCCCAACTTTTCTTCCACCTTATACTTTTCCTGCCCCTGCTCGCATTCTAACCACGTCGTCATCCCCAGAACCAACTCTCTCGACGGAACATGGCCACTTCGATAAGATCCTAGACATAGACCCCTACCAAGGAAGATCCAGAAGCGTTCCCAGTACGCTGGCTACCCCAGAAAGGATATCGACAGCTTAAGACATGTTCCCAGTCATGCATATATACATACCAGAAAGGATACAGCCGTGGAACATACATACCAGGACATGCCAGGAGACAATCCCGCCCCTATGGAGGAGAAGCCGAGGATTGCCGTGGATTATTGTTGAGCCGTGGAATGGATTAGTGCCATTGATGCTTGCTCTACTTTTTGATGGGTGGATGGAGGACGTGGAGGGATGATTGATTGCTTGCTTGCTAGTGCGCGTATTGAATTTGTTGAGTTTGAGTTCATGAAGAGGAGGATGATGGAAGGGACTTGATGACAGTGATGATTGATTGATTGATAGATTGTTTGGATGGCTTGTTGAAGATCCATATAGATCATGCATGGAATTTTGGTTTGAGCGAACATAACTGCACTCTTTTGAAACGTGATGAGAACTATAAGTGATATTAGACCGGTGTCCACCAGCTTTCTATGTTTGGAGCTGACTTTAATCTGCCTTTAACGTATCCTATCCAGAGAGCCCTATTACTCTACACCCTCTCACCTGCCAAACGATAATTCTCAATGTTCCTGCTCGAGGAACTAGTGAAGATTTTCTCCTTCGTTACGAAGCACAATGATCCAGACATTGAAACCGTGTCGCTCCTTCTAGACCACAAGAAATGGGTATCGAAAATTTGGTACTATCGTAATTAATATGTTTTTGAACGCTCGAGGAAACCTTCGACATTCAGGGCCATCTGGAGATTTCTGGCATTTTGCAGAAACGAACATCGAGAAATGACAATGTTTTGACTTAAGATCGGAACATTGACGTGCCTAAACTAACAAAATGAAGTAGGACATCAATTTAGCACAATTCGGCCTTAATCATCACGGACAAGAATCACACTCGGAAACGCATTGCAGAAACCATCGATAAACTAAATTCAAATCCAGATCTACGCCTTCATTCCCGTCCTCCATCCCACCTTAACATACGTCTCCATGCCCAATTCCGTCGAATGCCTCACCAAATCCTCATCCAGCACCACTTCTCCCGGAGGATACAGAACAATGACCGTGCTGCCTCCGTAATAGAAAGCTCCCAGACATTGTCCTCTTCTCACTTCTGCACCAATCGTATCCACACCACCCACGTACTTGATACTGCCAACCAGCATTGCCCCCACGGCCACAATCGCGATTGGCGCACCTGTCGAAGATCTTTCAAGGGTCATCACAGAGCGTTTGTTCTCGCAGAAGACGTCGAGGGTTCCAGGTTCGTTGATAGCTTGTGGGTTGACGGTATAGTATGCGCCTGGAATATCCTTGATGCCTCGAACGGTGCCAGAAACTGGAGCATGCCATCGGTGGTAGTCTTGCGGTGCCAATCTCGCGATGACGATTGAACCTCCTTCGAATTGTGAAGCCAATTGTTCATCTCCAAGCAAAGCCGCTAGAGTGAAGCCAAATCCTTTGATCCAGTATTTCTTCGCAAGATCCACGGTTGGGAAAGCGGTCAATCGACAATCCGCAGGAGAAGATGTGACGAGATCATTTTCCGGCTCTGCGACAGGACGAGCAGACTCCCTAATCTGTCTCGCAAAGAACTCATTGAAAGTCGAGTACGCATTGGGATCCGGTTGTACCATCTCATGCAAGCCACTCTCGAGGTCGAAGGACTGGATGAAGGGCACAATATGCTGCTTGCTCTCGGGAGAGTCGTACTCCTTGCCCATCTTCTCGCTCTGCGCCTTCAGCAGGTCGAGGGTCTTCTTCCAATGCAGAGCTTCCTCTTGCGCGGAGCCGTAATATAGCAAGTGCATGCCTACACGCACATACACCGACATTGCCTCCCATGTTTTCTCCCCAGTTTCGCGGTCGAGGACATAATTGCCGAGGTGGAACTTGTTTTCGACAGCTTGGATCGTGGAGGGAGGGAGGAACTTCGAAAGCCAGGCGTGTGATTCTGTTGTGCTTGAGGAGCCGTGGATATGGGATTTGGGAGGTTGATTGTGGTTCTCTGCTCGTGTCGTAAGCTCGGTCAATGCCTTCGCAGAAGCATCGTAGTGTTCATCGGTGAGAGGGTGAGGTTCGTAATCGGTTTGTGTTGGGCCGACGTTCTCCATCTTGACTTCAATGATTAGTAGTGGTGAGTAAGATTTGATCGTGAGATTGAAGTAGAGGAGATGAGAGAATAGGAGTGAACTGAAACGCGCTGGAAATATCCCACCATATATGGGAGTTGCTTTTAGCTGCCCCTCTTTGTGGCTGATTCTAGGGTCGTTGCCGCGTTGTCACTGATGTCACAGGCCAGTCCTGGAAATTCAGGGGTAAATCAAGGTCTGTTTTCAGCTGGACTTACAACGGAATATCAAGCAAAAAGGATCAGATCCAATCAAGTGGGATAACTTTTGATGTTGAAGGTTTTTGTCGCGTGCAAAATCAAGCAAATCCCCAATATCTTATCGATTTCTTGGCACAAAACAAGCTTCAGACCCTTGCATATTTGGAGCCACACTTTCCGAATCCGGCTCCAGAATGTCGTCAGTGAGACCTTGGGACATTAGGTGCATCGATGCATTTAAATCGTGTGGTAATTTTAGCAAAAGATGAAAACCTAGGTATTTTATCGAACAGTTAAAAATGTCAATGGAATTTCACTCCCAAAGTCGAGATTGGCCAAAGGATACGAGGTAACTTTGCTACTCCCGTGAAACTCTGCAGTGCTCAGTTGTGGAGAAGCTGGCCGGAACGGAGACTTTCCACCCTTGACTTTGAAGTGCTCTGTGTAAAACCTGAAGTCCAGTTGAGCTTGGTGTTTATGCTTCTGAAATGCTCCAGACTTCATAGAGAGTTCCAAGGATCACTGTCAAACCGCAATGTTGACATGTCATCGCATGCTGTTTGTCCCAGTTCAAATGCCAACACTAGGTAAGATCACGCACATAGACAGCCATGTCTCATATGCTATCGATTTTGCGAGAATATCAGAAATTGTGATGCTTCTGGTCGGCCTGAACAGCAGAGAAACGAGACGAAGGCTCTGGGTTGTCTATGAGGTTCGCATCAATAGAACTAGATGAGTCGAAGTCAATATATAGAACATAGGACAACGTGTCAAATTCGGACCCCGCTGGATGGCGACTTCGAGCGGAGGTGAAGATTGCACTTGCTGCTTGTTGTCTTCTTCGAAATACAAAGTAAGACGGCACTTCTAAAGTCCATTGAATTCAGGCACCAAGTCTACTGAATTGATCTGCTCAAGACATCTGTTCACAATCTTTAGGTATATAACTCATAAACTCCAGGATTCAATTTATTCTGAGTATTTGATAGCAGACAAAAAAATCTTTGGGGATAATGGAGACGTTGCTGACCATATATGGTTAGCTTTGTGAGTGGGGCCGCAGCCACCCTAGCCACATTCCTAGAGAGTCGCATGGTGGGACAGCATTCAAACTCCGTCACAAACAGCTTCAAGAAACAACAATGGCACGACTATCGACAGCAAACTCGCCGGCTCCACCACCGGACCCTACCGCGATAAATCTTAGTCGTATGCTTGAGCGACTGCAGCAAACTCTTATCAATCCAGATTCCGCGACAGAAGCTAGATTGCGGGCATCAAGCTTGGAAAGAGGGAGAGTGGGAACTGTAGGTGTTTTCCACAACATCGAAAAGAGGATCTCATCTGACTTTCGGCTGAATAGAACTTGGAACATGCTCGGTCGCTTCTTATGCGACTAGAACAAGATGCAACCAGCATCAAAATACAAGGAAAGAAGCAAGATACACAGGCAGATCTCTCACGGAAGAGAGAGCTTCTACAGAGACTGGGCGAAAGGCTACAAGAACTGAACGAAGTCAGAAATCCCTTCTGCAGAGTAGACTAGAGCTAAAAGTAGCAGCTTGGCGGATATGAAGCAAACGAGGACGACACCTCCGAAGGCGAGGACTTGCTGGGTGAAGACACACCTTCCGAAGAAACAGATGCTTCACACGCGGACTTAGCATCCGAGACCCCTTCACCGAGAAACCTCACACCTCCGCCAATATCTCCTGCTCTCCAATCCCATCAATCGATACCCGAACCTTCCGTACCCGAGCTTCCAGTACCTGCGCCGGAAGAACCGCAGTCCATACTTCGAGCCCGGACAAAAGATGCCCGAGCTGAACTCCTCACCCCAGCAGCTACCAGCACAGGCATGTCGACTGCTACATCCGAAGCACTTCTGACGCATAACCGTACCGAGCAAGAGGATCTCACCCAGTCTCTCCTTTCCATGGCATCGGCGCTTAAAGAGTCATCGCACGCGTTTGCTACATCGCTAGAAGAAGAGAAAGGCGTCTTGGACAGTGCTACAAAAGGGTTAGACAAGAATGAGCTCGGTCTGGAAGCAGCATCACGGAGGATGGGATATCTCCGAACGATGACAGAGGGCAGAGGATGGTGGGGGAGAATGCTGATGTATGCTTGGATATTTGGTTTGATGGTTATCGCCATCTTGGTCGTGTTTGTGCTACCGAAGCTGAGATTCTAGCTATGATTACTGGGTTTGGAATATGTGAGCGTGGCTTTGATTATGGAGTCTGGGAAAGGCGGGACGCGGGCTTCATGGAAAGGAGGCAAATCTAACGACCCTTTACGATGTCTTTTTGTTGGCAGATACCACCACTTTATGTAGCGCTAGTCTGCAATGTTGAAATTATCTTCTCTGATTTTGATGATTTTGCTATGTATTGATGCCCGTGTCGTAATGCTTGAAAGAAATGAAATGATACCACCACCGCTATTAGGTATGCCCGGAAACAGCATCAAGGCCCTCTGGTAAGACCACGTAAAGCCTCTCCAGATTATTTGATGCCCATTCCCGCCGAAATATTGCCCATGTTGTTTAGACCCTGCCGAGATAACTTTTTGAAAGACTCCGTAGCCAACGCCTGCTATTGAGAATGATCCACCAACCTGCAACTCCACCGAAATAACCATGCCTCTAAGCGCTCACATGTGTGCTAAAGTCTTGAAGAATGACCAACGACGACATAGCCGTCTCGAAAATTCCGATGACTGAAGACTTTCCTCGATCGAAACTCCTTTCTCACTCCTCCGTAAGGTCAATAACCTGTGCGACCCTAGGAGGAGGAGTCAACTCAACATCCAACTCATCAGCCAAGTCCTGCGCCAAACGCAAATCAGCTTCCTCGGTGTTGATACTGCCGAAAGAGCCTTGGTTCGCATATGGACCGAACCTGTGATCTTCTTCTCCATCATCGGAATCAATATCCGAATCCGTATCATAGACCACGTCTTCGTTGCTCTTGCCTTCACTTCCACTTCCACTTCCGCTTCCACTACCTTCCTCGCTCGAACTTCCACTGCTGCTGTTGGTACTGTCACCAGTCTCAACAGGAACCACTCTATCTTCTGGCCTAATGTATCCAGCTGGTAATAGACCAACCGGACGTCCACGCACAGGAGGAGCATAAATGAAATTCCTCTCCACGAGTTGACCGGTTCCAGGAAGGACAGCATTAGCGCCAATAGGGGTCGGGATTCTTTTCTCGAGTCGATCATCCCATGCTACTCCTGTCTTGGTTTTGAAGAAGTGCTGGAAGTGCTTGAAAGCATCGCGGAACTCCATTGCGTGGCAGGCCTCGCGGTAATAAGTACATGGGCGGTTGGACCGGGAGAGTTTCGCGCCGCACACTATGTGAGAGAACATTGTTAATTGGGGAAAGTTGCATGGTAAAAATGGTGGTACGTACTGTATAAGTGGGGGAAAGCGTGGGACTCAAAGAGATAGAGTGTATACTTTTCAATGAGTGACTTTCCTGTCTGAGTTCCGAAATTGATACGAGTGAGCAACACCTTGTATTCGAATGCCTCTCTGTCATAATAGATATGCCAAAGTCCTGATTTAGGTCAGTACCAGGCAGCCCTTGACAGAAAAAGGAAGCTTACGATTATCAACCAGTTCTTTCGATGCACGGACACCGTCCTCGAATTTCTCACGGAAAGATATATCATTCGTCTTGCCATTTTGCATACGTTTGATGGTTCGGTCGAGGGTATAGCCTGTTGCTGCACGGCAGCTCTTTGACTTCCTAGTAGTGCAGTCGACAATCCAGTCAAACACAACGATGCTGCATCTTCCCTTTCCAAGTGCCCATGCTCGTTGCACTACGATTATTTGTCAACAAGATATATTCATAAAGCAAGATACGGAACATACCTTGAGCATTTCTCTTCTTGTACTCCTCAATGGAGCAGATCAAGTGTGTCGTACCATTACTGACTTCCCTCTCATAAGTACCTCCGTGTGCCGTGACATAATTTGTAATGTCTTCCGCTCCCAGAATCTTGCCACAGTTCTCAAAATGGCCAACGGAAGAGATAGATTTGCCTTTGAAGATGGCCTTCAGTGGTTTTGCGTTCTTGGCAGCTCTCTTTCGTTCAGTGATTGGGTTTGGGGCGAGTCGTGTGTTGGTGGTTGGGGTCGGGCCAGAATGGCGTCTCTTTGAAGGTGCTGTTCGACCAGGCATTCTCATGGTTTGTTGTTGGACGAGTTGAAATGGACGATGAGGTGGATAATGTCGAGCGATCAACAGGAGAAATTGGTAAAAAGGTTGTTGAGATGGTGAAAGGGTTAGAGATAAGTAAAAGCTCAGGGAAAACTTATCAGGTAAAGGTGGAAGATCCTTGGCCACTTTGATTGTATGCAGAGATTGATACTTAGGTGTGCCACAGGAAGGATATGTACACCTGTACTTGTGCACAAACGTGAAGTCTTGGAGGAACTCCGGTAAGAGAGATAGGTAGAGATGCTGTAGTTGGCATGAATGCCACAAAGCCAAAATGTGTATTGTGCAAGTTTGAATGTCTAGAAAGAATCGAACGCTTTCGAAGTGAAGTGTCGTGAGAAGAGTCGAGTAAGTGAACGAAAAGGTCGTTGTCTAGCTGGATGAGATTTATTATGGACTGAGTGAAGTTGGGAACTTTGTAGGACAAGTAAGTGGAGATGTACTGGTAAGGAGATAGCAAGGCTTAGAGCGGTAAGCATGGACTGTGACTATGAAAGAGAGCGGAATGGCCGGAAGAGTTGGAGAAGAAGATGTTGTGGGATGCTTTTGGAGTGGTTAAAAGTTGCAAGGTCTGACGAAGCTGAATGTGCGGTGAAATAAATGCCACAAAAGCTTAGCATGATGGTGAAATAAAGGCTGGAAAGATATCCGCAAGGTTGCTTAAGCTGCGTGAATATTGCAAAAGAAGAACCGGTCCGAGTCTTGTTGATGCTGTTTGGACTTTATCCCCTGACCAAGTGAGAATAATGTAGAGACGATGGCGAGAACCAGACCCTGTGAATTTGATATGAAAGATTGTTGATTAATGGCAGAGGATGACTGAAGATCAAGTGTTGACGATTCGTGTGGAGCTGGGTGACGTTCGTAGCTTTGGTGGAACGTCCCTTCCAAAATGGGGAGTCGATTAAAGGCTGGGAGTCGGTGAACGGACTGCGATGTCTTTCTGGAAAGGAAGGAAGCCAAGGCGAAATGAGCTTATGCAAGCACAACTTGGGTCTGATGTTAGACAGAGAAGGAACCATGGGGGGGTTTGTAAATTAGCAGGTGGCCTTTCTGCCAGGTTTTGCTACAGCAAGCAGCAAACAATGTAATATTCAGCTTTAAGTTGGACCTTGAGGATCTGCTGAAGAAAAAACACAATGGAGACGAGTTCCTCTCATATTCTAGGTATTGGCACAAGACATGAGCATAAGTTACTATGCGATTCTTTTCAAAGGCAACTCGACTATTGTTAAGTGCCTGTATTTTTGTTTCTTCACATGGAAAAGGTCCCACAGTATGTAGGTATAGCAAAACATCTGTACTAGGGACGCAATTGAGGCGGCAAATCTAATGACACAGGCTTCGTCGCTCACTTTGGTGTTATTCAAGCAATTGAAGCGGAAATACAAGGCACTTGCCAAGACATCGGTACGATGAAGTACTACCTCAACAATCTCCTCGTCACCAGGAATGGGAGAAATCTTCTTCTAATTCGTGGGTATCGTGTAAACATAATCTAGCAAGCTACCTAACACTTTTTGCGGCCTTAATGAACGCTTGTATCTTTGAGATGCTTTGAGCTCCATCTTCTTCGACGCCACTGCTAACATCGACGCCAATAATTCGGTCTCCAACACTGCCTGCTGCACGGACAGCCTCGGCAACATTGTCTGGGTTCAGGCCTCCAGCAAGTAGAACTCTCATGCCTTGATCCTTTGAAAGTACAGCCGAGACGTCGCCCATGTCAAGCTGCTGACCAGAACCACCAGAGCCGGCATCGAGAAGTGGGACCGTGTGATAGCCTCGCCGTCCAAGACCTTGCTGACCTGGTTTGAACGCCTTGATCACTGGAACAGGAATCAAATTCGCCCACTCTAGTGGCTCATCCCCGTGAAGTTGGACAACGTCAAGCTCATAAGCTTTCTGCAGTTCTAGAATCTCCTCGAGGGATTGATTCCTGAAGACACCAACAAGCAAGGCACGATGGCTCGAGACGTTGGATGCTGCATTAGCGAAGAAGTCTGATGCTTGACTGCCAACACGGTCGGCGGCAACACTTCCAGTCACAGCTTTGGTCTCTCGCACAACCTTCGAGATAGCAATAGCATCCTTGTATGCGACCGATCTTTTTACGCCAGGGACGAGAATCATGCCTATCAAGTCAGCACCAGCTTTGACAGCTTCTGCTGCTACCTCTGCCTTCCTGGTACCGCATATCTTGACAAGTAATGATCCGGGTGCTGACTTAACCATGGGTCCGGAAACACCGAGAAGTTCATGAATGAACTGTGCTGTATCTTTAGCACGCATCAATGCTTCGCCAACCAAGACTGCGCCAACACCGTTCTTCTGGTACGCTTCAACATCTTTCGGTCCTGATATACCACTTAGAGCACAAACAATAGTGTCCTTAGGGACTTGGTCTAAAAGTCGACTTGTTGTATCTAAATCAACCTCAAAGCTGGTCAGATTTCGGTTGTTGACACCAATGACCTTTGATCCGAGTTTGACTGCGATAGCCATCTCCTCAGCAGTATTGACCTCCACTAATGGCTCCATTCCAAGCGACTGTGAGTATTGATATAATCTTGTTAGGGTGGCCTCGTCCAGCATTTTCACAATCAACAAGACAGTATCTGCACCAGCGAGTCGAGCTTCCAGAATTTGGTACTCGTCGAAAACAAACTCTTTCCTCAGCACAGCAGGTCGATTCGGCATCCCCTCCAACGCCTGCCTCACAGCTCTCAGATCATCAATGCTTCCCTTGAACCATTCGGGCTCTGTCAAGACAGAGATGACACTTGCACCTGCCAAAGCATAAGTCCTGGCCTGAGCAGGAGCACACGCTGATAAGGAGATGATGCCTTTGGAGGGTGATGCTCTCTTGATTTCAGCCATAAGAGACGATCGAAAGGGTGACTTCCTTAAGCGACTGACGAATGGCACGAGAGGAGGTGAAATTTCGAGGTCGTATGCAGCTTGCAAATCGCTTGGTCGCTGCGAAGGAATTTTTTTTTGTGCTGCAACAGCGGCCTTGCGGTGAGCAAATATCTTCTCTAAGATATTCTCTTTCTTCATGCCGTTTGATCCATTTGCCTGCTTTGTAGCACCTGATGCGTCCGTTCGGAGTTGATCATTTTCGGCCCAAGTACCTCCACGCATCTTCAAGAAATTCGACAGCATTACTCGTCCTTTTTCGCTCAAAATGCTTTCCGGATGAAATTGAACACCTTCGACAACATATTCTTTATGTCGGACTCCCATTATAACTCCTTTATCACCGTCTGGTCCAGCCGCGATCCAAGATGAGACTTGCAGACATTCTGGAAGTGTAAGGTGGGTGCCTGCCAGGGAATGATATCGTGTAACAGGAAGATCTTGCGGGAGGCCAGAGTAGACTCCTTTAGAATCGTGGCGAAGAGGTGATGTCTTTCCATGGAGAATTTCGCCCGCGAAGCTTACATCTCCACCCCAGAGGTCAATCATACACTGCCTATGACGGATTAATAGGTCACAAATCAGAAGGTATAAGTGACTCACTGGCCCATACAAACACCCAACACAGGGATTTTACCAGCAAAGTATTTAATAGCATCTCTGCTAATACCAGAATCAGTCTGGGGATGACCAGGCCCGGGACTGATGACCAATTGGGTTGGTTTCAAGGCTGCAAGCTTCTCAATTGTGATGGCATCGTTCCGGTATACTTGTACGGTTGCACCCTCGAGTGCAAGATATTGGTAGATGTTCCAGGTAAATGAATCGAAATTGTCGATCAGGATGACATTAGAAGCAGAAGCTAGAGGAGGAGCCGGCTGAGGCTGCTGAGGAGAGTGGTCTACTAAATCCAAGGCAGGCATCGTGTGGTTGAGGAACGGTGTTGTTGACGGTACAAGCGGGATCTGACTCTGATCGGAATCTGGGGAAATTTTTTGATAGCCTTGTCGGAGCTAAGCGGCTCACCAGAAACAAAAAGTTGTAGGCAATCAATTTCAAGTTTGAACAAGATACGAACATACACTTCTGAAATATGAACACAACTCAAATGTATCGAGGATTCCACTGCTCCAGAGAGAGTGTGAGGAAAAGTCACCTTCACCTTCAGCCTCGTGCTACGGTGACCTCAGTGACCTCAAGCGCAGAGCGCGTCAACCAAAAGCTATCAGCCGCGCTGCTGCAAGATCAAGTCAACTCATGCTCCGTGAGAAGCACTTGACCAACATCTGGCTTGCTACGCTGGGCAGCAATGGCTCCCTTACGCGATGCCAGTTATTTCCCCTCCCTGGACAAATGTTTGACAGGCGAGGAATTATTGATGTGAGTCCACTTCCAGCTTCGTCGCAGAAATTATTGACTTTCGATACAGCTCATGGAAATCGGCCTTTGCTGCAATCACAAGTGAATTTGAGCTGGACGACGAACACCAAGATGCGATCCAAGAGTTCCTACAAGATTCCGAAGTCCTACATCTGCTCGCAAACCCTTTTGAAGCCTTTTTGGAGCCATCACCGCAAACAAAGAGCACATTCGAGACGAAAACTTCTGCCATCAATGTCACTCCCTCTTCCAACGCGAAATACGACATCAAGCAGATCAAGGAGGATACACTGTGGCTGAGCAGAGTTGCTAGACTGGACGAAGTGTCGGCGCTTAGGGTTGTAGTGGGGGAGTGCCAGTCTCGCGCAGCCGCTCAACTATTGGGTCCTTTTTCTGAGGAGGAGCTTGTCGGCATTCGAGAAGCAGCTGGCAATAGCAGATATTCTAGCCCGATTCCACTTTCACTCCTCTCTGGAGCCGTTGAGCCGACCACGATTCAGAAGAACTTCGACAAGGAAGGCAGTCGACGATCACGTATACTTCGAACGTACCTCTCAGAAAGAAGACACTTCTTCAAGTGCACCGAACGACTCCTTCACGCTGCTTACCGCAGAGTGGATGCTGGTAGACAAGAAAATAAGGGCAAACAACCAGAAAAAGGAGCGCCTTGGTTGGCAAAGGCTGGGGATACTCTTTACAGCAAAATCGCAAAAGGCAGTGAGCCCAAACTCATTATAAAGGCCATCGCGACCATCGAAAGCAATGTCAAAAGCATCGAAAATGGCAGCGGCTGGTCTGATGAATGTGAAGGCGGAGATGAACTTGAGATGGACTGGTTACAGACCAAGATCATCGAGACAATTCACATAATGGAACTCATCTGGACCCTTATGATATACGTCGTGGATTGTCCTTCGTCCGATATAATTCTGGCTTGGTTCCACCTTCAGCAGGCTTGCAAATTCTTCAGCACTTTCGAAATGGTACGTGACTAGTGACAAGTTAGTTCAGCATTTATTAATATATTTATAGGAACACCCGAATATTCAGGGAATCTTGTTCGCATTCCAATCTACATCAATGCTTGTATCATTGATTATGATCAGTTTAACTCCCTGCATTGAGTTCTTACAAGATTCGCATAATCATGAAGGAGTTTCACCTGATGCTCCGACCGATGAGATGTACATCTTCAATACTACAACTATCATGGAGATTCACAGCATCGTGCTTGAAGCTGCAGATAATGGCTTCCCAACTGCAGGTCCTGCTACACTTGCTTGGGCTTATGTAGTGAGTGCTATGCAAGAACGTGTACAGGCTGACAACACACCGGAGCCCTCTCGTTTTGATCGCGCGACCTCGGTCGATACAGAGCTTACCATGGCCCCTGATTGCTACAGAGACACCCTTGACCAGATTGTTGCCACTGTCGACAGTGACATTGTCGAATTCCTTGGCATTCGAGCTGTCAATACCTGTCGCGTCTTCGAGACACTCACCAGTTTATCCCTCCAACTGGGAACCACAACGGCTGCGCTGTTCCCATATACGACGGGGTCTCAAATGCGTACGCTTATTTTGGATCTTCTCAAGTATGCTCTGGGGCTTGGATACCTTCCTGAACTTATGCAAGCTGTCATTTCAACGCTTACAGGCGGCCGAGACTACTGGACGATTTCATCCTCAAAGCCCCTCCTTCAAGTCGACGACCCCATGGTGCACTTTTTAAGTGATACAGATCTTGTTAACGCAACTGTTATGAATGCTCAACAACGGTACCCATATGAATCACTGCCATTCCTGCAAATGGTTCGAGCGCTGGCTGCATCGCCTGCTACATTTGGAACCGAGCCTTCACAATCTGTTCTCGCACTTCTCGAGGCTATGCCAGTCTTTACTTACACGCTACCACCCCATTTCGCAGATTATGAGACCGCGCAAGAAGAGGATAACAACAACACCATCAGATTGACTCAGCCTGTCCAACTCTTTGAGCCTCGGTCCAAATCTTCTCGCCTTCAGAGTATGCAGATTAAATCGTGGGCTGTCACCAGACTTGACCAAGATTTCTGCATTCCAGCTGGTGCTTATGGTCGTATCATATCTGAAGCCGGCCCGAGGGTCGCTTTCTGGTTTCACGAATACCCAGCCTTGAAGTACTTTGGCAAGCTTCTCGAGACATTCTTGGCAGCAGGCGATGTGATTGATGCAACTGCGGGTGGGCCTGCAGACCGCGATTCTGTCTGCGAGATTATCAACATCATTGCAACTCTCCTTCTTAGCACGTTCCAATCCGCTGAGGCCAATAACAACTGGAAAGAAGATGCACGACGCGTCTTGGAGCAGTCCAGTGCCGGTCTCAGCCGCAACCGGGACATCACATCTGTGATATTCGATATATTTGAGCAAGAACTTCAGAATATATCATCCTCATCCGGGTCTGAGACATCTCTGGAGATACTTGTCAATTGCATCTCCTTCATCCATGCCATGTTACCCGTGTTCCCTGGACGAGTCTGGCCTCTCCTCGCACGAAGTGGTCTTTTAGGTGTTACTAGAGGAAGTGGACAGCTATCTGTAATCGTGGAAGGTGTGGAACTTGTATCAGGCCGGTATGGATTTCTGACTTCATGCTGTCGACTGTACGAGGCACTTGTCGACGATTTCGCAACCAATGCAATTCTCAGACGGGGTGGCGGTCGATCATCTGCAAGATTTCAAGAAGGGGATGATGTAGGCACTGGCATCCCTGACCACACCCTCTCGAAAGTGCTTTTCGTATTCACAAGATATCTCGTGGACGTTTTCGAGAGCTCTTGTACCTGGAGATACCAAGACCAGGATGATCGTCAAAGAGTCAGCCTTGTCATTGGTGCTGCGCTGAATCAAGTTCTGCAATATGCATACGGCATCGAATCCTGGGCAGACGACGACAAATCTGACCAGAAGACTTTCAAGCCTAAAAGTGTTCTTACGGCGGGTGCTGTCAAAAAGCAGAAAGTTACGCGAATTATGGACCCACTCCTACCATCAGCATCACATATTGTGGAGACCTTTTTATCAAGCTCTTCCGGTGCACTGAGATTTCAGCCTCTTTTGCGATCTTACTTTGATGGTCTAGCAACCCCTGACTCGACTGTCTTCGTCCATTCCACGAACTTGCGCATATCACATATTACAACACTTCTCTCATTCTCAACTACACTACTTCGAGTGAGCAAGTTACTGAACCGGCCATCTTCTCAGCTCGAAAAGCATCTTTTCAAAGCCTCGCCGTTAATAGCTCGTCTTTATGCCGCAAACGACTTTTATCGAAATCCCGTGGTGGCTCTTTTCGAGGCTCTCATTGTCACAGCTGCCTCTGGCAATTCAGAACCTCCTTCTATATTAGGCCATCTAGGAGGTTTGACGGCTAGAAATTTCCTTCACATGCTAACAGATCTCGATCAACCACTATCCAGAGGACATAACATTATCACTATATGGCATTTCTTGTCTATGGTAGTGAGTAGTCGTCAACAGTGGTTTGCAAATTATCTCCTTACTGGCAAAACACCAAGAGATGCAATGAAGAGTGGGACCACTGGCAAGGAGGTGGCATCGTTGGAGAAACCTCTGTTGACCACGGCACTTGAGAAGCTATCGAAGATCGACGAGATTCCACAAGCGCAATCTTTGGTGATGCTGGAATTCGTTTCGCGTGCCCAAAGCTTTTGGCCTTGGACAGTCTGCAATACCCCTATGTACGCTGCATTCATCAAGAACATATCGGAATTCGCAGGCAGGCTCAGGCCCATACAATCTTCGTCAAAGACAGAGGAATATTATGAACCTTGCTACCAAACTCGCATTGCAAGCCACATAGCAGAGATTTTGGCCATGCACCTGTTCCATTCGAGACAAATCGGAGCTGCATCACCACTGAAGGACCTGAAAGAGAACTTATCCTTCTTCTCAAGATTCGCCGTTGGTGTCCCTAATTTCAATGCGTCACTTCATGCTTCATTGAAAAAAAATCTGGAAGCTCGATTCCCAGGTTGCACACTCCAAGACCTGAAGCGTACGACCCTGGAGCCTCCTCAAATTGGGAAAAATTTCTTTTACGATCTAACACTTGCTAATAAATTACTCCAACACGACTCCGCTTGGACTGGACGACAAGATGGGGGTCTTCAAATGGAAGTTGAACGTGCGAACCTCAACTTGTCACTTGTTGACGCACAAATAGTAGGTCTTGCCTTCATCCATATTGACTTGGTCTAACATACAACAGGCTTTGTTTCACAGCTGGAAATTTCTCGCTATAGAGCTAAGTGTCAATATGAAAGGCGATGCCGATCTTGAAAGAATGTGTGCCGAGGTGGTTAATAGTTGCCTCCTAGCCAATTGTGCATATGAACACCCTGAAGAGGTTTTCGCTCGTCTGTCTCTGATACGTACGGATTTTGCTCTTGTGCTTGCTCAACGCTTGATTCAAGCCGAAACGTCGATTGAAGAGGTGAAAAATTTACTGTCTGTTGTCTGGAAGACTATCACCAAACTCCGCGGTTCTTTCGAGCGAGCTGTCCCCGACGGCGACATACTCTACTACAGATCTTTACTGAAGGTCTTATTTCTTGCAGTTCGGGTGCATGCCGAAGCCAAATCAGAAGTAAAGGAGAATGATCTGCGAGCATCTTTGCGTATCAACCAATCCGCTCCCATCATTCCAATTATCCTCGATATCATCAAACATGTCGTATCGATGGGTCTCCGTGAATTGGCTTCAGCTGTTCATGACTCTCCAGCGGATTCATCACCAGAAGATCTATCTCTGTTGACTGGCATCTTGCAATCATGTCTCCGCATCCCAGGTATTGAGCTGTACCACACACAAATCGTCAACATCGTGTCGAGCAATTCCACTCCCCGTGTTGCTCTGACGCTCTTTTCGTGGTCAGATAAAATTGCAATCGATGGTGACCCCATTTACGGCGAGCTGAGCATGCTCTTCCTGGTCGAGTTGTCCAGCATCCCTCTCATGGCCGAACAACTTGCAATCGATGGTATCCTCGGTCACATTGCGTCTGCAAGTATTACGTCCTATCTCCGTCGAGGCGGTGTGGGCCCCTTTGCAGACAGTGCTGGACTTCAGCGCTGCTATAGCATCTGGGTACGCGGCATCCTACCTCTCTTACTCAATATTATCGATGCGGTGCAAGCTTCTGTGACTACAGAAGTAGCGTTATTCCTGGAACAGTTCCCAACCTTACTAGCTCAATCTGAGCAAGCTTTGGACGCGCCAGAAACGAGTCGCATCGTGCCCAAAGGACAGACGAAATACATCACACTTACCATCTGCTCAGAACTACACTCGATGGCGCTGTTGACATTCGTCCTGAATGGTTTCAGGGAAGTTCTGAAAGGTACAACGGAAGTCCCGGACGTCAAGTGGGATGCAGCAGGTGTACTAGAGAATGCTGAATTTTGGTTAACTTCACGGGCATTACTCCGAGAGCGAATATTACCAATGGGCGAAAGAGAGGTGGCCATGGTCAAAAAGAAGAATGCGGAAGGCCGAGCAGTGAGCGCATTGGAGAATAAGGTTGTAATTGAGTTGATGGGCATCAGGGATGTGCTGAGCAGCGGGAACGATTCGTGATTCACGAAGATTGCATTGTCGGCGTTCAAGGAAGGATATTTGACAGAAGGAATTGTTGCATCTCAGATCATAGTCTGGTAGAGACTAGATAGAAGGAAAATGGTGGATAGTCATGCAATAGATACCAATGGCGAGAGGGGCTTCCTCGAACCACAACACACTTTCCTAGTCGTCCCAAGTTCTCAGTCAAGTGCCGGAACCATACTCTTTCAAGGCAGCAGTAGACTTTTGTCGCACATCGCAGTTTTTGTTCGGCGCATTATGATCTCAAGCATGGGGTCATTTAGCTTTGCGAGATGCGGAAGAGTTTCTCTCTGACAAACATCAGATGAGGCGTTCGCCCCGCATAGTTTACCGGACTGCCAAGAAAGCTCGCATCGCCCTCGGTCTTCACTTGCGATCTTTCCCTCTTAAGATCATCTATTCTTAACCATTTTAAAATTGGAAAACATGATTGAGTTCGTACACTTCATGCGACCTGATGTCGAAGAACTGCCGAAAATTATCCCTCTTGTCCAAGAAACTTTCTCGCTGATGGTCGAAGTTTACTCACTCTTGGCAACGGCCTCGCATGAACTGCCTTGGAGATGAAACCGGGACAGCCATTGGCGACGGTTACGAGAACTCCACCGTGCGCGCGGGACATTCCTCGGGCTAGGGCTAGGCTACCTAGTGGTCGATCCATGATCTCGGGAGCGTCGTGCTAAAAGCTTACATAAGTTTTTAAACAATTTGACGACTGTTTGTTGCATGTTAGCCTTTGCAATTGCTGTTGGTGACAGCACAAAGTTGAGACTGAGTTGAGGTAGTGGGTATGGGCGACAAGTCAACAAGTACTGAGACGAAACCCCGCATAAGAGTGGGGCACTCTAAAGCCAAAGGCGGTTGCACCACTTGCAAGTCAGTATGCCCTTTGATCCTCAATATACGGACTATGCTAACGCAAATTCAGAGCTCGCCACGTAAAATGCGACGAAACCAAGCCTGCATGTCTTCGCTGCCTCAACTTCTGGGGTCGCTGTGAAGGCTATGCTGCTCCAAAGAAGCGAGCAAGACCAAGACAAGCACTCTCATTCATTGAGCGCTCACGTCCATTGTTACCTCGTAGCTCAGCCAACCCAGCTCGAGATACGCTGATTACTACTGCCCCTTTTAAGACTGCAGACGAGCATCAAGGGTTCCAAAGTTTTGTCACGCATACCGTGCCCCAATTACCAGGAGTATTCTCCAGTTCACTATGGAGCAAGATAATCCTCCAAGCGTCAAATTCTGAGCCTTTTGTCCGCGATACATTATCTGCAATCGGGGCTCTCAGCTCATGCGGTCGAAAATGGGCAAAGAACCTCCCAGCCGGGAAGAAGAGCACGGATGGAATCCAAGTCACGCCTCAGTACCGATTCGCGTTACAGCAATACGGTAATGCAGTGAACAGGATGAGGAAGAAACTCGCTTCCTATGCAAACCGCACAGATTCTAGTCAAGAGACGAAAGATCGGAACTTGAGAACAGCACTCATTGCCTGTCTACTCGTCATCTGCTTCGAAGGTCTACAGGGAAACTACTTCCAAGGCTTACAACATGCCAGTTCCGGACATGCCATTTTACACGAATGGCTATCCGAACATCAGGCCCTAGAACCAAATCCTCCCTCATCCTCCTCGATAGCGAAACCAGGCCTAGGATCCCCACAACCACATCTAATAGAAGACGAACTCATCCACGTCTTCTCCCGCCTCGACCTGCAAATAATGTCCTTCGTCGACGCACGTCCCCCATCCTTACACTCAAAACTCAAATCCGAAGGCACAAGCACCATAGCCAACATGCCCAACTCCTTCACATCCCTCACCTCCGCCCGCCTCTACTGGGAGCTCATCCAACGCCGCACCTCGCACTTCATCGGTGACGCCGCAACACGCACGTCCCTGCGTCAAGACGTCGACATGAACATCGACATGGGCCTCGGCTCTGGCCCCGTCGCCGTAACCCCCGAAAGCGAAGTACGATTATCATCCCACCCAGCCCTGATGACAGAATACCACTCCTACGCCTCGGAAATCTCGTCTTGGTTCACATCCTTCCTTCCCTTCTATTCGACCCTGCAAACCGGAAGCCGGACCTGGAATGCAGCCTCGACACTCAAGATCCAGGCTTTGTCTCATCAGATATTACTTCATAGTTCTATATTGGCAGATGAGTGGTCCCTTGATCATTTTATCCCCGATTTCCGCACCATTGTTTCTCTAGGCAACCTCATTTCCACGGACCCGCTGTTCTCGACACCGCATCTCTTTTCTTTTGACACTGGGCTCGTGAACCCGATCCGGCTGGTCTCGAAATGGTGTCGCGAGCCCAGTATTCGGAGAGACAGTATCGCACTGTTGAGGAAAGTGGCGTGTCGAGAGGGAGTGTGGGATGCGTTGACGATGGCGAGCGTGAGTGAGTGGATGATGGAGGTGGAGGAAGAGAGGATGACGTGGGATGAGGAGGGTGAGTGGTGTATTAGGAAAGAGGATCGGGTCAGGACGACGAATATCGTGATTGATAGTTTGGAGCGGACGGCGACGGTGACTTGTGAGAGGTTGGGACGGAGGGAGGATAGAAGTAAGGATGAGAGGGAGACTGTTATTAAATGGTGAGGTAGGCAAGAATAGCAGTTGCATATAGCATAAATGTGCCAGGATGATTACCAAAACTTGGATGTGAGGAGGGACGGGAAATGGTTTTCATCCTCATGACTTTTTCATTCATCTCTCTTTATCGAAAGCTGCCAGTGAATCCTAGATACAAGAATCGAACAAAACATCATATCCATTATCAGCTCCTGATCAACTCCGCTTTCCGCCCATGTCACATTTCAGTCAACGCCACCATTATCCCAGCCATAAAGTCCGAGTACAGCAGCAAGATCTCATGCGCCACAAGCCCGTAGAGTCATATCATAACCACATCCACTGCCATCTATCAAGGCTGCAGCTGCCCTTTCCTCCGATATTTAGGTCCTATTTTAGGTCGCAAAGAACATAAGACGTCTACTCAAACACAAGTTGATCCATCCGTCCCATCTCATCTCATCTCATGGTCTTGGATAGACAACAGAACGCACTCAAAACATAAGACTCTTACAAGGAAAACGTGTAGGGTTGGCGAACGAGAAACGGTCTCCGGGGTATTCGATCTTTGAAAAACAAGTCGTGAAGTTTGGCTGAAAACGATGAAAAGGAAATAGACGTGATCCACCCGCTACTCCGGCTAAACCCGCAATTTTGAATCAAACACATAGCAAGAATTATAACTGAACGATTTCATGCTTCTAGGTGTCATCGAGGTGGTGGTGGTTGTTGAGCTCGTGGGGTCGATGATCCTTCCAATGGCATCTCGAAGTGTTCATCGCGTCTCACATCCATGCTCTTTCCTCGAGGAAGTGCTGAAGCAAGGCGTTCATTCGAACCAGGTGGACTCTTATTGCGCTCCTTCTTTGCATCTCTCTCCTCTTTGTTCTCACGGACCTTCTCCCATAATCGGCTCAAGGGACCCTTCTTCTCTTCCCCATGATCCGTGTCGTTGCTGGAATGAAGATGGGCACCAACAAGAGTGGAATCGGAGCTAGCGGGCATAGTTTCACCAGTCCAGCTCTTTCTTGGCTTAGCCGAGCCTACAGACGTCGAACTTGCTCCAGCGCCAGCATCTGAACCAAGACCTTTTCTTGGTGTGAGAGATGGCCCAGACGTATCTCGATGTCGGGACATGCGGAACAAGCGACGCTTCTCCTTTGGTTCATTAGCCACAACAGTATCATCATGTCGATCTGCATCTGATTGATCGTTGAACGAAGAGCTTGAGTGTAAAGAAGTGGGTGGTGAAGCTGGCTTCAGAGTTCTCTCAGATGGTTGATGCATGCCCTCAGGTCGAGTGGGAAATTGATGTGCAGTTTGATCAGCCCGAGGAGTGGTGGTGGCAGGAGGAGTGGCTTCGGTTTGTTCGATTGCAGGAGGTTCTGAAGATGAAGGGATTGGTTCCAAAGGTGAGGATTCAGTGACATCGCCTGTACCACGAGCTGCGTTGAGCGGAGGTGAAGCTAGGTGGCTCTGAGAATGAAGAGACTGTGTAGAGCTCTGTGCACTCGGATTAGCACTTCCTGGAGCCCCTCTCTTCTTTTGGAGCTTTTTAGGGGCCTTTCGATCGGTCTCGGCAGTAGGTGATCTCTGAAAGAGATTGGAGATGTTTCGCTCTCTGGCTGGGGTCGCTGCGTTGCCGGGTTCAGCTAATAATCGCTCTTGGCTAGTAATTGCTGAAGCTGCAGAAGTTGCAGAGATGCCAAGTGCAGTCGGCGTAGCGCCAGGGGATGAGGAAGTAAAGCTCCGGTCTTCAATAGTAACGCCTGCAGGAGAAAGACCACGAGGAGCAGCGGCTTGAGCTGGGTTAAAGGCAGTAGCAGTAGGGGATGGGGAGCCTGAAGTCTTTTGCAGACGGTTTCCTGGCAATCCTGGAGAACGCTTCGATGGTACGGTATTGCTTCTGTGAACACCACTACTCGTTGTGTTCGTTAAAGGTGCTCCATAAGCAGGACTTGCTGGGCTGGGTGCACCATTCGATTGTCGTGAGTGCCGAGAGGAAACGGATACATTACGTCGTATCCCACCATACTTCCTCACGCTGTCTGCTCCGGCACTGGCGTTTGATGCAGATCTTGCAACATTAGTCTTTCTACCAGGCGTATTCGGAGTCCCAGGAGGAGGAGTACCTCCATTCTGCACTTCATAAACCGTCTGTTCATCTGCAGCAGTGCCCCTCATGCCAATCAAGAAATGATCTTGGTTCTCGATCAGGAAGATCAACACATCTTGACTCAATCGATACTCTTCGGGTGCCATGTCGTGTTGCGGGTGAGAGAGCATACCGGGCTGGAAGATGGCGGCTAGGTTAGCAGAAGGCATGCGATTTTCATCGGATTTTGAAGCGAACACTGCAAGCAAGTCGAGGATGTACAACAACAACTGGCGATTCAAAGGCGGAAGGTCAGTGATCAACTTCTGGTACGTGGAAATCGCTTTCGCGACGTCGAAATCAGCTGCGAGTTGTGGTCCTTCTGCGTCTCCAACGGCCTCTTGGGTGTGACCGCGAAGTGGCTCCCGAAATTTTTCATACAACTCCAGGGGAACAATTGGCTCCGGAAGCTGATTCAGATATCGCCTCAACACGTTCGCAGCGTCATGAACGGTGTATCCTGCCCAGTCTAGGCCTTTTCCGTAACGGTCAGGCGAATCGAATTGGGTTCTAAGCTCCTTTATTCTCTTTTCTGATCCACTCAAGCGGAAGATTCCTTCTACGTTAGTTGCTTTCACGCACGTTAGCCTGCGACTTGTGAACGTGTCAACAACAATCGCACGTACCTTTCTCCTTCAAGAAGACTCCACACTTGGCTACCACAATCGGCACGTAGCCATAGATGTAACTGCGTCCTTCGCCGTCTACGAGTGAGATGGCAACGTTCGCGTAGGTGATACTCTGTCGCAGCGGGACACCGAATATTCCTGTTGGTTGTTGCACTGCATCAATTTTTAGTAATTGTTTCAGCCATTGCTTGACAACTGTCAAAAGACATCCATGTTGAGCAATACTAGAGGGGGAACTGTCGTGGCTTTGGCTTCCCCAGTCATCTGAGACTGGCAGAGACTTGGAGTAGCCTTGATACGGCCACGCAGCATACGAGTACTCAAAGTCCTCACGCCCTTCTATAATGCTTTCTCTAACAACAACATAGGGTGGAATGTTCTTTGCTTTTCTTTCGAGGATTATTGCCTCTACATCTTGTAGATCTTCGATAACCCGGGAGGTGGGAGGGAATTGTCGAACATAGAAGAGCTTTGGCAGGCGACGTGAAGAATGGATTGCTTTACCATTTGATACATTTTCTTGTCCTTTGTTTGGCGGCTTGCTAAAGTTTCTCCACCATTGCTTCAGACTGGCCTTGGACGGAGGTGAAGCTGCGTCCCCTGGTGCGGGGATGGGAGCAGGCTGTGGGCCAGCATGAGGCTGCTGAGCCCTTGATGATCCTGGGGGGTCGGAAGCCATCTCGGATGCGGGCTATCTGGTCTACTAGACACTGTTATAGAGACTATACAGGATGTCCAGCGATAGGAGCTTCGCGATGAGCCAAGTGGCCCGGTAGATCGATGTTTCTTTGCAGGCGGCCGCACTTGGATATGTTTGGAATCGATCTCAGGTAGCAATAGCGAGTATGCGATGCTTGCTTCTGGTTCTCTGGGGTCTCTTGGTGACAGCAGTCACGCGACAGTGTCTGCGATCGTTGGAGCGAAGTGGGATAGGGGTATTGAGTTCGGTTTCGTGGTGCTGCTGCAGGGCGAGACGCGACCGAGGGGCTTCAAGCGAGCGAGTTTCGGGAGTCTGGATCTTTCACTGAGGTCGACAGGTTGACTTGGAGTCGAATGAAGCTTGTACGGGAGGGAGAGCACCGCGTTGTGCGCGACAGAGCTGTGGTGGTCGTTGCCAGTGTGAGAGAGAGGTTGAAGGTTGAAGACGATCTCTCTCTGAGAAGAGGCGCTAACGTTAGCGGCGCCCTATGAGGTGTGAATATCTGGAGTGCCTGCTGACCTTCTCTTACTTCTGGTATATGTCGGCCAGAAGGATGTGCAGAGCGCAGAGCTGGCGGTGTCTCTGATTCAGGCAGAGTATTGGTCTGCGCAGCATAGAGCGTTGGAAGCAGCTTGTTCTGATGTTGACAAAACAATTATCAAAATTCTATCATTCCCAAACAGCACCGCTTCCAAGTTTGGGGGGAGTGTTCGCTAATTTTAGACTGTGCCTGGATGACAACAGAGAGCCTGAGATTGAGCCTGAGGGCATGAAGACTCCTCCCCTCAAAGGATCACAATGGGGCTGTGGACAGTTCGTACAGGTTTGCTAGTTTCTACGGCGCATGAAGTGTAAGTGTGGGAGCATGCATCTGGACCAAGTAGAACGAGACATCAGCAATCAAGTTTCCTTTTCCAGACAGCATTTCTCATGATCTGCACTGCCTTTACTGTGATCTTGATGAGTGACCGGCGAAAACAAGGTTAACCTCCGCGAGCTAGTCCCAATAGCGTTACCGTGATCCAGTGAAGAAGTCGAGGAACTCCAAAAGTTCTGGAAGCAATCAACACATCTGTGACTCTCCCCTTGAAATCGACGGAAACGAATCTTGCTTACCGTCAAGGAACTTCTCAAGTCAATACAAATCTCCCAAGGATACTCGACGAGCTCTATCAAAATGGACGGGTTCGTTCGCCGAAGCCTAGAGGCGTGAGTTCCAGCTAACCAAGTTCATAGATTGACAGCTGCCGAGCAGAGAGAGTTTCAGAGCCGTATGGAGCGAAAGCAAATGAAGGAGTTCATGGGCGTGAGTCTACATATCCAGTTCTGTCCCTAGGTACGAGCGTCAGGTCAATGCGAAAAGCTTCGTCGTTACCCAAGTTCGACGACATCTTGAAGCTGCGAAGCTTTTGTCGAATTATCCGCAAATCATATCAGAACCGGCTTTCATCCATGCTACCATCATGGCAGATGAGCTCGGCAATGGGAGGCTTTGCAAATCACTTCAAGCAAGAGGCGCATAAGCTCGCACGAGACCTATTGCCCTATACGATTGGAGTTGGTTGAGAACTCGAAGAGGCGCTCCTCTGCTACTATCCGTTGCACAGCTTCAGTAAAGTTGCTTATAGGACTAGCGCGGGTTCTGATACTACTCTGCAAAAGCGCATCAAAATCATAATCTCGGGCCCCTATTATCTCTTAGTTATACCCGAAGCTGACAACTACACCTCTGCAGATGTTCTCAAACCTCGTATCACATTGCTTCGATTCCTGCATTGACGACTTCACCACCAAATCCCTCATCGCTCGCGAGACAGGTTGCGTCAGCCGATGCGTTAAGAAATTCATGGCAGGAAGTGAGCGTATCGGACAACGATTCCAAGAACAACAAGCACAGATGATGCAAAATCCTCCTCCTGGAAGATAAGCTTCTCTGCTCTCAGAGAACTCGAAAATACACGTTATGGGGATGGTGATGACGCCAAAGGTGGAATGGAGTAAAAAAATGTGTACGATAGACTGGGGTGGAGTTGGCGGCTTTCTTCTTGTACAGTGAGTGCTAGATGGATAGCACGTAGGGAAGAACGAAAAGGCCGATCGCATAAACAAAAAAGATACGTGTACAGTGGTTACGACGACGAATGAGACCTCAATTCAACTCCTCCAAGTCATTAATTTTTGCGGACCACCAAGCTCCAAGGATGTGACTTGAATCCATACAAGATCTACTGCTGAATAGTATCCAGACTCCACAAGAAGAAGACCGGAATAGAAGCGTGTGATAACCAAATAATATACAGCGTCCATAAAAGGTAGCCCTGAACAGGAGCATGCGACAATAATCTCCTATATTTAGTCAGCTTAGCTATATCTTATCCACAATTTCAGTCAAGTCAGGTCAGCCAACCTCCATCTCTTTCTCTCTTAATAACATGTTTGACCCTACAATAGTCTCTCCTCAATTTCTAACAAAATTTCTAGTCCTCCGATCATAAAGTCCGCAAAACGACCTATGCATCCAGCCAACCATTTACTACCTCACCATATTGCACCGAAAAAGTCAAAACACCTTTCTCGAATCCTTCCATAAAGCTTCTAGAAATCAACCCAGCCCGCAGAATACAAACACAAAGATATATCCCCGCCTCTCAATCCAAGATATCCCGTACGCCACAATATCCTTACCCACTTACTCCTTGAATCCACAACCTCAAAAACCACAGTCCCATCCTCCTCCCCCACACCTACCCCTCAAACACACAATCTCTCTAATCCTCCATACCGTTTCCTCCCAAACCCCCCTCTCAAGCCACTGTATAACCACCCCTTCCTTGCACAAGAAACACCGTCGAAATCCCCCCACAGCGAAAGCATCCATCCCATGCCGCGTTCTATCTATCCCATTCTCTTGTTCGACGCGAAGAAAGACTTTCGTTTGTCTTGATATTCGGGCTATCCAAGATCTGTGCCGAAGGAATTTAGTTGTAGCTAATAGGCAAGATGGGAAAGGGATATGTACTAAACTTTTCTTGTGACTACTACATATTTTTTTATCAAGTATTCATCTCATCACCTCTACTGAATCAAAAGAAGCTCAAATTCACACCCAGCGATATCTTCGTTCCAGGGTAAGTAGAAGATCATGAACTACCCATTTTAATACTAAGTCACGAAGATTTCTAACCCAGTCTCCAGAAACTCTAGCTAAGTATCCCAGAACCACGAAAATAGTCCACAATCCGCCAAAGTCCGTGATAACTTCCACAGGTTATCATCTAGATGCCAAAAAACCCTCCCATATTCTTCGACTCTGTGAAGAGTAATTGAAATTATGCTCTCAACGCTCTTCCCCGGCTTGTGGGGGTCGGAGAAAACGAGACATGGGTTATGGGTCACGGAGAGTCACGGAGACTGCAGGGACAGTTTTTAAGTGTGTTGAGGTGTATTTATTATTGCTTATCTTATTTTCGTCTCCTATCAACCAGGCTGATGATAGAGCGCAAGTGATGTACAGCTCTCCAGCACGCCCATGTGCATAGTTCTCCCACTTTCAATCGACATTAACTTCAGCGTCTCCATCACCAGGCTCTCCTTGCATCGATCCTCTCCACGTCTATCAATTTTCTCCAGCCATTCATCACCTCCAGCCCGTGAGGTCCATACTTCTACCGGCCGTAAAACAATCATTATGTATCGTATCGTATCGTATCGTTACAAGGAGAGACATTAGTTAGACTTTTTTCCGATCCCGATGCCAATACCATGCGCCCAACGCTATGCAATGCCTATTAATGCAACCAAACTGCACACAAAAATCCAATGCTTGTGCTTGAAACAGATTTGCCTCCCATCGTCTAACGACGAACCATTTTCCGGATTCGGAAATCGGGTGTCATGATCATGACATGATTATAAAGCACCGATGACAACCAGACCCACGGCTCCTAATATACCACCAAGACCAAGGCTCAAGGAGTTGGCGCCGTTGGTCTGTAAACTTGCATTCGCCCCGGTTTTGGTGGATTCACCTCCAGTCGAATCTGCCTGATCCGCTGGCACAACGGTGACACTGGTGACTGTACTGACGGCTCCATCGGCCAGCGTGGTGGTATAGATAGTTTGCTGAGTAACAGAACTTCTTACGGACGTCGAACTGGATTTGCCTGTCGTGGGTGTCATAGAATTACTTGTTGTAACTGCTCCTGTAGGACTATTAGATGATGACTCTTTGCGGGAGGACGAAGACGATGGAATCGAGGAAGAGGAGGTTTGACCCTTAGTACTCGTGAAGGAAACTCCTCGGGAGGTGGTAGTAGGGACATGGGAGCCAGTGCTTGTGGAAGAGGTAACAGGAGAGGGAGAGCCCGGGGAAGAGGAGGGAGTAGAAGACGCGCCTGAAGTAGAATTGTTAAAACCATAACCTGAAAGAGATGAAATAGAATTTGTAGAATTGCTCAAAGTCGGGTATGTGCAGCTAGAAGAAGGGACAGGAATCAAGCTCGACATCGGTATATATGGAAGTGGGGTACTCGAATTTGCCGTCATTGAGCTCGTCGTCGGAATGTATGGGAGTGGAGTACTCGCATTCGAGGCGATCGAGCTCGTTACCGATACATAAGGAAGTATAGAATTTGAACTCATAGGCACAGAAGAATTACAAGTAGAAGTGATGTTTGGCAGAAAAGAAGAAGAAGGTGACGACGATGACAAGGGCGACGACGATATGTACTCGAGACTGCTGCTACTCCGAACCAGGGGCGCTGAGACCATCGTATAAACGGCGATGCTCGGTGCCTGGAACGTATATCCTGGAAGGACGGAGGTAGAGCTGCTCGGCGCCTGAAACATATACGCCGAAAGACTTGGTGTCGAGGCGCTGCTGTTCTGACCAAGATACATCGACTGTAAGGTCGAAGACATGGAACTACTGTTCAGAACTGCACTATACGCCGACGGTGAAGGGGGGATTAAAGGAGGAGCAAAAGGATATATGGCTGGGCCGCCACGAAACGTACCATTTGTGGAAGACTGCGAATTACTTGGTGATGTTGATTCCACTGACGATTGACTGGCGGAACTGGTTTGATCAGGAGTAGTTGACTGGGGAGTCGATTGTGTGGACGATTGGTCTTGAGTGTTTTGTGTTTGCGATGAAGACTGTGAGTCTGATTGAGTTGGGGTTTGGCTTTGAGCTTGAGACGCTGAACTGGTTGTTGGAGGTGTCACAGTGGCAGAAGTTTGGCTTGTTGGAGTTGGGGTTGTAGAAGCAGAGGAAGACACCGAATTTGGCGAATCGCTTGTACTGGATGGTGCTGTGCTCGAAGTAGAGTTGCTTGCCTGTCTCTTGGCCAGCTCTAGCAAGCTATGTGCCACCTCTGCATTCGATTGATGAACCACTTCCATTACATTCTTGTCCTCCTGATACACTCCATCCTGGTATTTGTCTGCCAAATGCTCATGGAGTACGTCGTGAAGCGACGCAGGATCGATTGACGTGAGGAGTTCCTGAAAGGCTTGATCCTCAGCAGAAATCTCGTTGCTTGGAACTTGCTGTCTCGAAGCGGAGGTAAGGGTGACAACGAAGGTGACGAGCAGAAGCAGGCCGAGAGAGAAGTATTGTAGTCTCGCCATGATAGCAGATCTCGTCTCGGCTTTCTTCGATCGAGGTTCGGGATGTCGTGAGGTCGTTGGAAGAGATGTAGAACTCAAGAGCTGCTTTTCAGGATCCACCAACTTGTTGCCATTAGCTGAAGTCATCTTTGCTAACCAGAATTATGGCCAAGGAATCCTTGGACTAGATTATGCTTGAGTGGATTGAAAGAAAGTCGGTGGAGCAGCGATTATAGAGAGGCCAGCTGAGTCCACGAATCAACGAATGGAAAGTACAGTGTGCTGGCTGCAAGACGATGCAAGCCGGATGCAATGACAATTGGGGGAGAGAGTTGGATTTTGTGTGAAGAGGACGACGTATCCACACCAGCACAGAGGCTGGGTAAGATCGTGTTTGCGTGCAGAAGGAGAAGGTGAGAAGGACCAGGGTGAGGGAGGAAGTATGTCGGTAGCAGTAGCAGGAGCGAGCGAAGCGGGCATGGACCACCACGAGCCTCGTTTGTTGGAACTTTATGACAAGCCCATGTCTCTCTTTCTTGGAACCTCCCGTCATCATAAGAGGAAACCTTGTACATACCACGAAACAATTCCAACTTTTCTGTCCTGCTTTTCTTTCCTTTCCTACTGTCGATGCGCAAAACGAATGTTTGGTGTCTCGAAGGACTCAATTGAGAAAACGAGGGATGGATCAACCGCAGATGTCTTATCTGAGCATGTCTCTAAAAGAAACAGTGCGTGTTTCCTCTATTTGAGAGCGAAAGTGTGGAATACGAGGAGGAGTACGCAACATGCAAGTGGAGAGAGTCTTCTTTTTAGTATCAAACACACATGCTTTCGGAACTAGGAACCGTCTTCTAAGTAGTTCCTGGTTTAGTTGCCACGCTGTCGCCGCTCAAGAAGCGCGATCTTCAGTCCATGCAGACGCCAACGATTTCGAGAATGGGAGACTTCACGCAAAAAATTGGCTTCAAGCAAGTCATATCTATGCAGCCAAGGCGCTTTCTCCTTTGCATCCTGCTTAATTGGCTCTGGCTTTACTCATAGATTGCTTCGACGGCTTGGATAAGCAACCCTTATAAGGTTCACTTCCGAGCTTCTGATATCTTGAATCTGTAGGGACTTTTTCCGTGGCACCTCACTCGCAGGTCTGGCCGCTCTCGTAGCTTTTCGCAAACCCTGCCATGCGCATTCGAAATCCCCGTCAGCGTCCCCGCAGCATCAGACCACCCCACTGGGCTTACTCTCATGCCCACGCACTTCGTCGGCCAGTTCGTGTTCCCTGGTCCAGTCACCGACAACATGCCCGTCAGACTCGTGAAAGTCATCACCGGATAGCCTCATTTTCTGTCGATACGATCCACCTGAAACGCATCCATCTCCACCGCACAACTTTGCCCGTTCTTCCGGATAAGTAAAAGCCTCAATTTAGCAAAAATAGTCAGGGATACAAAAGTCCCCAACCACCGCAGCTTCCCTGATCCCTCACTGATAGACAAGCGAGCAAAAGCTTATCGTTGTCGACGTCATGGATATTTATGCAAAGTGCATCTTGTTTTCATGGTATTTCACCTCGGAGTCTCACCAAGAAGCGAATATCAAAATAATTTTTGAACTTTCTGAAACGTTCATCGACAGCCTCTTCCAGATCTCTGCCGCTGTTGAACCCTTAAAAAGAACTCCCGTGTTCAAGATCAGCTGTACTCCAATCCTACTTGCACAAGCGGGGAACTTAGTGCAGCTGTCCACAATCTATCTTTAGGTGCTTATGCAAGGGTTGTGCATGTATGCCGTCTTCCGGCGACCTCTCATGGCCAAAGCTTCCCCTCCATTTCATTCAATTGGGCTTCAAGAACTTTTTTGCCTCTTTTTTGCCACGATTCCCCTCTTCACACACTCCAATCGCTACAATTATTTCCCGAACAGACACATGAGTTAGTGTTTGATAAACGGCCAGTTCGAGCTCGGATCAGAATGCACTGCTCTGTGCTGCTGATCTTTGCATGTATCATGCATCCTCTGGCTTTCCAACACGATCTGGAGCACCACTCAAGACTCCAGGAATCAGCACCCAAGAAAATCAGCATGTCATCAACGTGGCGCACATCTTATTCTTACCTCGTGTCTTGAAACGAATCTTCCTCCAACCACAACCATTACCATTACCAACAAATCCTCTCTTTCGGACTTCCACAGCGCAAGAAAACTTTCACTCCGCCTACATACGTCTGTTTCCCGGCCTATGGTTTCAGATCGTGTCAATGATCGGTCCCAGAGAATAGGTTGAGGGTTTGAGGCGCAGTCCGCCCAAGGCGTCAGAAGGATGTCTTACTCCAGCTGGGCTGTCAAATACCGAGACTTTTGTTGTGCCAGTTGTCGACCGCAGACCCGGACACGGGTCTCGGGTCAGACTGCCGGCTCATAGCGGTGAGAGTTGAGGCCCTTGATGTCTAACCTTACATCTCATCCCGTTTTTCTCTTTTTGAGCCCTCTCGTGCAACTGTTGATTTTCAGCTTTTATGTTCAGGGCTATTGCAGTTTCGTTGCAGTGCAGGTTTCTTCTCTTGTTTGAATTTTGCCTGCTTCGTCACGGCTTGCATATTTTCTACATTATTGCGTATGCATGATTGATGAATTGAACCAGTCACCACAGCACAATTATTTTGCTCGACTCAGGTAGTCATGGTAGACACAAAGCTTGCTAGAACTACAATATCAATCTCTCAGTAATTCAAAGTGTATATAGCTATTCAAGCTGTACCATTTCAACTCACCATGTTCAGAAATTTGCAGACGAATCGAGAGTATTCTTTTAAATCGATCAACCACAACGCATTTCAACACAATTACAATTACAATCTAAATTTTTTTTAAGGACGTAACAATAAACTTTCAATGTTCTACTGCATCCTAGTTTTGTCAAATAATTATTTGGGAGCTTATAATAAAAAGTGTTGAGGTCACACTAAACGCCTGCCGTGCCATCGCTTCGTATCGTTGGCAGGCGTTGATGTTCATTTGCCTAATTCAAATGGAAAGTTCTTGTTCCCGATTTGATCGCTGTACCTCTATTAACATCTTGTTATCGGGGGCTGCAAATATTTAGAAATATTAGATAGATTCAGTATTCAGCAAGTCGCGGGCTTGTGCTAAGCCACAATTCGGCATACATGCACCCACTAGTCTTTCAGAGCCTCCCAGCCTCAATTGTGGCAGAGAAACGCCGAGGCCGAATTCATATCTCAGGCAAAGCTGTAGGCAGAACTTGATTTTTCAAGTCTCCAGGCTGCGTTGTTCTTTACTCCTGTCGTTCAAAGTTCTTGGTGAAATTCGATTCGGTTTGTTATTTGGAACTACAATGAGCCATGTTGATGTCGCAAGGCATGGATATTTCAGCTTCTCCACAACCAACAAATTTCAAGCGGAAGATGAGACACTGGCTGGTAGAATGGCTAGGTAATCTGATGGCAGAATTACAATTAACCGACTTTGCAAGATCCAAGCTGACATTATTTGCAGGGCCGAAGACACTTCGTGAATGGGAATTAAAGGACCTTCATCCCAGCTACAACACTAAAGCTATGACGAGTCTGCGCTTGACATTCACGGAAATAGATGAATTGTTTCTAAGAGGATTTCGGAGGTCTCTTACTTTACTAGATCTGATCTCAGAAGACTATAGAGGCGATTGGAAGAGGAACCTCATTATCAGTCCGACGGACGCGGAAGATTTCGAACGTCACATTCAGTTCGGCCGGTTGTCTTCGGAAGTTTCTAACATTGATTACTTTCAAGACCAAGCTGAGATACGCTTCTGGTGTCTGGCTACGGAGTTCTTGGTCCTCGAAAATGAGGGATTCCCAGGGGGGCAAGTCTTTGACCCCAACACGAATGGCTGGAGAGCCTGCCCTGTTCCCGACGTCCATGCTTCCGGATTCAGCTCCCGCATACTTGAGATCGAAAAAGTAGCGTCACATGTGCCTCAGCAAGTAATTGCGGCTATGAGCAGCATCTCTCATCTCTCGGCGCCATGGAATGTGATAAGACATCTTCGCAAGAGAACGGATCTTCTGGACTCACTGTTTGAGAGGACGCATCGTCCGGTATCTGCAGATCAGCATTTAATTTCTCTTGCTGCTCAGATAGATCAGTCTTGGTATGCACCTCCAACTTGAATTCTCGCCTACGTCCTTCACAGAGTAATTCAACACGTCTAATAAATCAAAGGCCGAAGAATGTTCCCAAAAATGAAACTTTCCGGCCTTCTGGTATTGTGGTGAAAGCCTACCCAAAAGGCAAAGGACTTGTAAGCCAAAGCCCCTCACACAAATCTACCCTCTGACCTCCAGCTAAATCCCAATTTCCTCTAGTCAATCCCAACCCCAACAATCATGATGATAACAACCATCTCCTCCGTCATCAGCATCAGCCTCGCCGTCGTAAGCTACCTCAAAGCAACCCCACAGCCCGGCACTCCCCAAGACGCAGACTTTTTCTCTCTCTTCCAAAGCTCGGTGCTTCAAATCTCTAGTATATGGCCCATGATGCTTACCCTGCGGAAAACTCGTCTAAACAAGCTTGCGAGTATTTATATCTGGGTTCTTGTGGTTTTCGGTTTGCTTACTGCTGCTGTTGCTGTGCCGTTGTATATACTAGTTCATACGGGCTGGAGTACGTTGTTTTCTGCGGCGAGTGGAGTGAGTCAGGGGTTCGTTACTCTGCAGCTTGTTTATGTTGTGGCTGCTTGAATTGTCTTGAGTTTTGGGGGTGTTGAGAGTTGGGTTTAGACGAGATGTGCGGTGTCTATTACGCAAGTTGGCAAAATCATGCTCTATGATTATGAGCAATGGATTACACTTGGTTCATGAGTATATTATGCCTCGTCCTCGGCCGCATCCCCTTTTTGAGAGACAAGGCTATGAGTTATGCAGAAAGTCTTAAAAGCTTCGGAGATTGCGGAATTGCTGTCGTCCATGATATATACCGCAGTGTCAATTTCTTATTTCTGCAGTACAGAATAGCGTAAGTATAAATCCTCGAGTCTGAACTTCCATCCCATTAACCTAGATATCGCATTCCATCGGCTATGTTGCAGAGAGCCCTACCGCATGCACGACGGGTGATACCTCACCAATCACTCTCCAGCAGCGACTAAGGCGCTCAGCCTCGACTCTCAACTAGTCGTCATGCCGCACCACGACGGCAAATTCAAGGCTTCAAGGCAGCAGGACGACAATACTTCTATCTATCTGCGAGTAGATGCTGAGTTGACCAGGAAAACAGACAAAACATCTGGAAATCCGGCAGACGACGCAGACGGTCATTGAAGACTTGATGTAGGAAGAATCAAGCATACAGCAACCAACAATCATCCACCACGAGAACGACGAGGCTGCCTCAGCCTGGGAATAATATCTACACTCGCCACAAGTTTCCTCAAGAACTTGTATCCTCGGATAGCATATATCTTGTAGGATGCCTTGCGATAAGCATGACCATCCACCATGGAGTGTCCATCATCTTGATATTGAGTCTTGCGAAAATCAATGTGGATGGTGCGATTACAAGACCGACAATGCATACGATTTACGGACAGTACGTAGCACCTTCACCCTATGATTCAACACAGTGCACTGAAAGAAGATATCTCTAGCATGCACATGGGCACACTGTGAATAAACATGGCGCCATGAAAGATGCTCTGCTTCAAGGGTTCGAGCCACAGTCGGATGGTAGGAGCATTGCACAAACAACGAGCTACTGGACCGTCCCCGAGCAGAATGAGTTTCCCGCACTACTAAAGTATTTTGGCACGGATTGGTATGGAATTGCGAAGCACATGCCGACGAAAACCCACATTATGGTACCCTATACACCAACTTCCTTGAGCACTAGCTTCTTGTGCCGTCTAATAGCAACAAAAATCGACGTGTCGCTGACATCTAGGGGTAGATAAAAAACTACTATCAGCGGCTTGTGGATTCGGGCAAGGGAGAATGGGAAGATTTAGCCAAAGAGGCGAACGACAGAAGGGAGACTGGCTTTCATCATGGGAAGGAGAAGGCTATGGGACTTTATACGTAAGATCATTTGCTAAATCCCGGTTCTTGGTTGTTAAGTTTTTGTAGAGCTTGGGATCAATACCCACCTACCAAGAAAAGTCTTATTGTCAAGCTCAAATACAAGAAGCGGGGAGCAGATATAGAGCGAATTCTTAGAGTTCGTGCCAAGCCAAGTCTTGAGTTCGTACGGCTTGAGAAAGCTCGCATCGCTGTTCAACAGAAAGAGTTGAGATCAGAACAAGATGAAGAGCCTGTCCTACCACAGGGCAATTGTCACTATATTTTACTGCATCCCGAAGTGAAAGGCCTAAGGTGTGCCTGTGTTAGGTATTCATTGAATCGCTTAATACCAGGAAGCACTTGTGATTGTGGTCATCAAGCCTACTATCACGAACCCGTCCAAGCCGATATTCCCAAGCACTTCAACCTCAACGTCGTCGCGCCAGAGCTTGACATGGAAAGAAGACAAGATCCTATGCTCGTTGGGGATTTCATGGAAATCAATGCTGGTATCGCATTCGACAAGAATATGCTTAGCCGGTTGGACCGGAAAGGTATTACTGACAAAGAGGCAGCCCGCCCTCCTGGCTGGGCCTATCACTCGCCAGCGCTTTCCCGAGAAGCCCAGGCTCTTGAGCAACTCCCAAGAAACGGCCCGGGCCTAAACTTTCCTTCGCCATGCTTCTTGTGTGTTATAGGTCCCACGCAAGAAGTAGTCTTCGATAGTATTGATGATTACAACGTTCACCTTTGGCAAAAGCACATGGACTTAACTAAGTGGCAAGAGACGAAATGTATTTGGGAAGGATGTTCGAGTTTAGGTACTTTCGCTACGGCTAAACTCTGGTTCGCTCATGTTCGAAGCGTACATCAAAAGAATTTCTGGTGTACAAGTGTTGATTGCGAGTATCGGAAAAGCGGTCCTAATCCCAAGCCCTTTGGTAGTCAGAATACTCTCAATCGCCACAGCCAGACGCATGCTGATCCCGTGTATTGCATGGAGCCTGGTTGCACCGGCCGCGACAATATCGCGCGCAGTGACAAAAAGAAGAAGCACAATATCGAGTATCATGGAGAAATTCTTTGTGGAGTTTATGGCTGTCCAAGGAGTCGACACATCAAAGAAGTCTATTTTGGATTCTCTACCAATGCGGATCTGGTTGCTCACCAGCGCTCGAAGCACGCCGATATGAATTTGGCCTATGGGATGAATACAGCGTATATTGGACAGGACAGTGACGGTGACAATCACTTCCATGGCAGTCCTCCATGTAAGTGTCGCAGAAAGAGCGAAACACCAATAGCTAACGAACTTGTAGTCCAATTCCCCGCCCCGTTTTCACAGCAGATGCCTTCTGACATTGACCAGCGTCCTACTTTTATCTCTGGTCAAAATTCCCATGGCTTTGAGAATTTCACGGATTCAGGAATCGGTTCTACTCTAGCATTGACTGTGAAGGCCCTCTCTGATAAACAGGTCAGCTATCTAGCTGCACTCCAGGAGTCTTCGAAAGAAGATTCAGAAGCAAAGCCCCTGAAGGCACCGGCAGCAGAGGATCACTCGGATACTCAGACATTGTTGTCAGACACGTCGAGCCTTCGAGATCCAAAGTTGGGAGAGTATGTTACCGAATTGGCAGACGCAATCTGTAGAGCCTTCCCTCCAAGCTTTAACGAGACGGATCTTGCAAGAATATCTGCGGGGCTTCCTGTTCTTCTCAAGGAATTCGCCGTTAGACTTGGTGATGATGGATCATCACACGTGTATGGCCAACTTAAACATCTCGTGTATAGATATCACAGGTATGTACCTGAAGTTCTGCGCTGTCTTCTTGAGGCGGCGTTTCACTGCCAGAAATTAGAAACTGATAAACATCAAAATAGATCAATTATCTCCCACTTTCAACATGAATATGGAGAGAAAGATGATGGAGACCTGCCTCTTCGTGCCGATGAAATGACTCTGAATGACAAGATGACTCTATGGCAGAACAACGATGACAAAGAACCAGAAGTGATCGCCTTTGATAATGGGTCTGATGAAGGTGAGGACGACCACGACCAAGACTTTGAACCGGATTCGTTGGATCTATCAGAATTTCGGCGTGCTTTAACGGACGGCCCGGCATATACTTGGTTACGGTGCCATCTGCAAATTCAGAGTGATCTCGAAATCCCTGGTCCACTGCAAACAAAGAATGAGATCAGGAATCAGATTGTCAAGAAGATTGGAAGGCCACATAAGATCAGCAGAAGGGCTCGGAGTCCTGTGCACACGATTATGTTTGACCTGGAATGGAACCCCATCGCCTTCTATCAGGAACAGCAGTACAAAGAAACTTTGAGCGAGGTTCTTTCACACGCTGTCACACTCACAGGTAGTGGGAATAATGTACAAGCTACTACATGTCTCCAGTACCTAAGCCAGACATGGCCTGAGACTGGAGTACACTTCCTTCAGCTGCTCCAACGTTGTATTGGGACTAGGACAGTTCATTCAGGTAATTCGTCACTTCCGTATCTTGAAGTCCTTGTAACGCTAAATGCATCCAGGTACATTTCCGGACAATACGCACCTTACTGTTTATGATTACCCCACGCAAATTCGCGTTTCCGCCACAGGAAATGCATTTTCTGTAGCGGAAGTCGGGGAGCAGCTTGCGTGGCTCGGAGCTGCTCTCCGTTCATCACCCAACGACCAGGAAGTGGCTTATTGCAAACCCTTCATCTCCGAAATTACCTCCAGCTCCTGCAAATTTGACTTCGAAATCCAAACAAAAGGAGAACGGGACGATACAAGTTCTGGCGATTGCTGGCAAAACTTGTTTAGGAACCCAATGGTCGTCATAGGATACCCGATTCCACGACGTCCAGTGGCAGATCGCGGCCTCGAAGTCTCACTCGATATCATGGTGACATTGGCGAATACTCGGAGATTGATTGATTTCTGTGGAAGAACATTTGTCAAAGGCTTTTCGGCAATGCTGACTGTTATGGAGGTAATAGAAGATACCGTCTTTTGGCATTTGTTCTACAATGAGGATCGAAGTTATATTTCTTATTCGGATCCCCGCATTCTCAGAAACCCGAGCTCCCCACAGTCACTCGCGATCAAGAATCCAGACTCAAAGCGCCATATCCTAGGATGGTGCGAGAGCATCAGAAACTACGCTGGTAATCGCATTTCCTCAATGTTCCCCACCATCCATCAACAGACTCTCACTGACTACCATATCACAGGCGCACACGACGCAAATTACGACATCGGTTGGTCAGGTCTCTCCAGTCCAAACCAGACTTGTGCATTTGAAAAGGTGTCTGTTTCAACCGGTAAAATTGTTAGCGTGGGTGTGAGTTGCGCCATAGGCATCAAGGACAAGTCCATTCGAGTCGATTTTGGAGACGACTATGTCAGCATGCTTTCGATGATCTCCAAAAGGCACTTTGTATTTCACGACTTGGACGAAGAAGATAGAAGGGCATGGCTAGTAGACGGTGCGAGTGCTCTGTTACACCTCCTCCGTGCATCACTTAAACACTATCAAAACGACCGCCATCTTCAACGGATTTTCTGCTTCGACTTCAGCGAGCTCGAGGAGGCACGTACAACGCACACTGGTGCAGATGCCGCCTTTGAGGTGCTGTTGAACGTCGATAACCAACAGCTATCATTATATTCCAAGATGCCTGAATCGTGGAGAGAAAAGACTATTGGGGAGAGAGGCAAGCAAGAAGAGGTGTTGAAAGAGAAGACTGTGGATTTCTGCTTGAAAGATCGGGTAGATCAGATTTGCAATATACTGGGACAGATTATGGCTCATCAGGACGATGTCTCCTCTCAGAGCGGAGTAGGATTTCGATTAAAAACAACCCCCCAACGTCAACTTGAAGGCTTTGATTTCATGGACGTGGCTACTGGACAAGGTACACTGTGGCCTAAGGTCGCTACACTTCGCGCTAGTGGAGCTGGCTGGGTCGACTTTACCAGGAAGATACATGCAATCTCTCTCTTCGGCACTGGTTTCGGAGACCTGCTTGCACCTGCAAACAACCGAGCTGGATGTGGCTCTTGCTTGTGGAATGAAGGGGTTCCCAAGGGAAAAGATTATCTCGCGGTTCCTGTTGCAGAGCTGAAGGATATCATTCGAACGAAGGGCAATATGAGGCGCAATCCGTGGCGGGTAGTCGACGATATCTACTGGCACACGCCAGACATGACTTTTGAGCGCTGTGGCTGTCTTCAATCTCGTTCTGCTAAGCACGATCGGGTTCAAGTATTTCTACCAGCGACATTCCCGAAGATGTGGGGCAGGAATCTGAAAAGCCCAAGCAAGCTCGCCTCTGATGGTGCTGTGATCTTTGGCCATAGCTGGAAATTTCCCTTGCGCTGGGGAGTCTCAGGAAATCCCGAAGAAGGAAATCCACTGCCTTCAATTGAGGGAGGCGACCCTGTATTCTACGATAGCGGAATTGGATCTGCTCAATCTGCATCGAGTTCGGAAAGGCCCAGCGACTCTCCAAATCCTTTGCAGCCAAGCAATGGATGTCTTGCTTCAGATCCACGTCTGTACAAGTTATCGAATCAGCAATTCATACATCAAGATGCAAGCACGAGGACGGGCGTGACCCCTGAAATCGCTGCACTGCAGTTGCTGAATTCTATGGAGGAGCCAGAGGGCAGCCGAAAGGAGTCAAAGGGGCGGGCAAAACGCAGCATAAGTCCAACAGACGTTCTCATGACGAGACAACTGCATGGTCGAGGTTATGATCATGAGATGGAGCAAATACCAGGTATGCTGGCGGTGAATGAACCGAGGAACAAGAGAAGGAGACATGAATTTCATACTGAAGACTTAAGTGAGCAGAGGGAGTCAAGGAGACGAAAGGGGAAAGAAAGAGCGCCTTAGGTAGCCATTTACTCGACAATTCTGTTGCGAGATCTACATGCCGATGAGCTCCTCGTCACTCTCTGTCAATGCAATAGCGGCATCGAAGGGCATACTCGATTCTGCGGAGCTCCTCTTCGGTACAAAGCAGGAGCTGAAATTTTCCAAGAGATATTGCCATGACTGGCAATAACAAGGATTTTCCAGCTATGAACGGAATCCCAACCTTCAGACTGATCATTTTTCCGAGTCTCGATATACTGAAAATTTGACGCAATTCTAGGCCTCAAAAAGACATATTACCAAGCAAAGCATCGCCGAGCCTGGGCAAAGCCAATATTCAGCGACAGCAATCCGTGCGTCGATCAGTCACGCCGCTTGGAATCTCGAAGCTACATTCACTCTCAATATAGCCCCTGAGACAGGAACAAGACTATAGATGCGCCAAATACACAGTCACACCAAATTCATCAGACGTTGCATGGATTAGGAAATGGAGTTGGAGGAATCGAGTTTCACAGGATTGGAGTTGGGACATTTTGTTAGTGTGCTGCCTGTGACTGCATTTTCTGTTGGGTGGGGTTTCAACAGGATGGGTTGGACTCAAGTTTGAGGTGGCGAGGAGAAAACATCGAACCGAAAGATATAAAGTTGCTCACGAGTAAGTGTTTCCAGATAGCTGGTCAGGAAAATGTAAGACAGCTGCGGCTGGCTTGATCACATGGTAAGAGTGTCAAAACTATATAACCAGGACGTATAAAATTATCAAGAGCTTTTCATGTTCTACATTTAGTATCAAGTCTCGAACACAGAAAGCCTTGTGTGTTGGTATTTCTATTTTTGCTACTTCCTCACAGGGCCGCTCAAAGGGTCGCGCCTGCCTTGTGTGAAAGTCCAACACCACCACCTCACCAACATCAAAACCTCAACTTTCTTTCTCGTCCTGACAAGTTCATCCACCATCCATCATCCATCAACCACATCTGAAGTCATGAGCAAAATGGCCGACGCGTCAGAACACAACCTTTCTCATCTCAAAACCGACGAGATGGAGTCAACCAAGGCAAAACAGGCGCATCAACACTCACCAACCTCCGCTTCAGCTCAGCCTCGAGCAAAGCGTCCGAAGCTTGATGTCGGTGAGTTAAGATGAATTCATGATGTTTCGCATCTGTTGACACGCGTTCAGGTATCGAACAATCTGCTCCTACGGATGCTGCTGGCTTGCAGAGTACTTCTGATGCTCAAACTGTTGGTGCAGATGGTGATGACGCGAGTGATGAGAGTAATGGAGATGAAGATGGAAGTGAAGAGGATGAGGATGATTATGATCTTGATGACGAAGATGAAGAGGAACCAGGAGGAAGAGAAGTTGATGATGCAGCGCTTCGTGAGCTCTATCGAATGTTGGGAATGCCTGCGTTTGGCAACGATGACTCCGAGGGAGAGGAAGAGGATGAAGAGGCCCGAGATTACGAAGTCGAGGAGAGTGATTACACAATCCAGGGAACTCCAGCACGCGTACTCAAACTGAGAATTGCTATCTGTAAGGAGATTGAAGGACCTTTCGAGAAGTGGCTCGAGAACATCCACGTCCGCTGCACGCTGGACGGCAAGGTCATCGCCACGGCTTTCGGTCGATACATCCGTCGAGGGGCAATGGCAGCTAACTTCTGGCGGGATATGGAGGAGCCCAGTCATGACATGTCCGAACTCGCTTTCGAACTGTTCGACAGATATGGATACCTCAACGCGAAATTTAAGGACCACTGTATTCAGCGCGGTACTGGCGTGTGGGGGGCAGAGATGGATAATGGACCACTCTTCCTCATTGAGAGAACTATTGTTACAGACAGGGATCTCCGGGGAAAAGGAATCGGTCGTGCTATGATTTCACTCATGATACAGAAAGCCCAGACCAGAGAAAAACCTCAGACTGGGGAACAAATTCAAATGTCCAAGATCTTCTATGGAGAAGAGGACCTTTCGAAGTATTCGACTTTGCACGCAGTTGTAGTGCCTGGATGGCTTCGATCCGATGTCGAGCCTCTAGCAAAAGGCGTGTCTAGAGCTGAGAAGAGAAAGATCTACAATCAAGCATGTGATGACGCTGTCGCATTCTATCGAACTTTTGGCTTTCGGCGTATTGGTGCGTCGAGCTGCTTCGGATACTCCTTCGATCCTGCTCATAAGTCTCGAGCGATTGAGGCGTCCGCGGATTATGACCCTCCAGAGCCACCTGAGGAAGACTTGTCCGAGGATGAAGGTGCAAATCCATTTGACGATAGCAAACAGCAGAAGAAAATGGATCGTCTACGAGATAAACTCCCACTTCATCACGCTACATTGACGCTACCCGACAAGGAATGTGTAGCATTCTATAAGGGTTTCCTGGACCACAGCGGGATCGAATGGAAGCAATCCGATCGTTTGGAGAATAATGTTCTTCACGTTGCGGCCTGTCAGCAGAAGCCGGAAAGTGTCAAGTGGATAATGGAGAACGCCAATACCGGAACAGTCTTGTCCTCCTCTCGCAACATCCACGGTTACACTCCCCTTGAAGCTTTACAAGACGTTCTTGAGATTGGCAGAACCAGAAAGGAGGTTCGCATGTTGACACTGGTTGTCGCGGATCAATTTGAAGGCTTCAACACGGATGCAGTAGATTGTCTGTCGCTGTTGACTGGTCTTGATCCTCGTACCATGTCGAAAATTCAGCGTCAACGATTGAAATTTGGCTGCACTTGTGGCGAATGTCTCGATGGATTTATGTCACCGCGCATGTGTGCCGCTCTTCTGTTCCAGGCTGAAACCACCTGCGATATGCTTGACATGGACATTGGAAACGGTCCAGACTGGTGTATGTCAAATGACTACATGTTCACTTATGTGGCACCTGATCTTCGTCAAAACTTTCGAACGAACAAGTCCTATCGTGAAGGTTTCAAGAACATCTTTGGTTTCATGGCCGAATGTTTACGAGCAAAGATGCTACCTGTACGAGACAACGTTTTGCTGCAATGGGAAAACGAATCTGAATGGCCACCAGTGACTCGAAATTACTTACAGCGCGGAGGCACACTCGAAGGCAAGATTGAACCAGCCTTGAGAATTTGCTTTGACCACGCGCAAGAGCAAGGTGAGAAGACTGGCGATGGAGAGTACGAGAGAGTAATGAAGAACGAGGTCCCCTTGTTGAAGAAGTGCAGGAATGACGATGAGTTTCGATTCGTTGCTGTTCAGTGCGGCTTACCGGCTCAAGAGTACTACTAGGTACTACTGACCGATACTGATTTAGCGGATTATTACCGTTACTGCACCCAGTACTGCTTGACATTTCGTGCGGCAAGCTTTGCAATGTACATTGCAGTAGTGTTTGTAACTTCCATCACTAGGTAACATTTAGCTGTACACGATTGCTTTATGACTAGATACCAATGAGAGATGGCTTTGCCCACAACCTTGCCCTGAACATCGTCTACTGTAAAGTGTGAAGGTCTATCATTTATGAGAAATTTCACTTCTGATTACTTGGATATCAAGATAGACACCATACACTACCCTCAATGAACTCCAAATTCTACATGTCAGCCACAATACCATCTAGGTCCTAGAAATCATGACGCACTCTGTTCAAATTCCTTCCCTCTCCTTCTCCACAACAAGCTCCCGACGAAACTCCCACTAGCAAGTACCTCATCCTTCCTCCCATTCTTCCCAATCCTCACATTACCCAACCCCAGCGCAGCAATGACACCTAACCACATGAACGCTGTAATAGCAAAGAAAGCCACAACAATGCCTCTCAACGCCTTCTGTCTCAGATATGCCTGTTGAGAAGCCGGCAAGACTTCAATGGCATCAAAACTGCTAGATCCCGCGCTATTCAGACTAATCCCTCCTTTCCTCAACTCGTTGTTAAAGATATTCAGCATGATGGTCGTAGCGAGTGTTCCGCCGAGAGAAACAGACAATGACATCAACGACACAATACTCGCGATCTTCTTCGGGAAGTAGCCAACGCCATGCAAAGTACCGGGCATGAAGCGAATCCCGGTCCCGACACCAGTCAGCGCTAACATGCCATATATCAAGGGTAAATGTCCGGTATTGATAGCAATGGCAAGGATCGTGATTCCGAGCGGCTCGATGATGGTTCCTACGAGGAGAGGGAAGAAGGTTTGTAAGGGCCATTTATTGCATGCGAACATGGCGATGTAAGCCCCGCCTGCTAAACCAGGGAGGTAGTAAAGGAGATTCGTGCCCGATTTGCCGGGACCGTAGTTTTGCACCAGGGCGAAGTAGAGGTCGACGAAGTAGAAGACGGCGTACATGGCCATGCCGGTGATTAGGTTGATGTAGATGAGTAGACCAGCGTTGCGGGTGAAGAGGAGTTCGATGGGGATCATGGCTTTGCGGGTTGGGGCTCGTAGAGAGAGGAAGCGGCCGGGGAGCATGTAGTGTTCCCAAATTAGGAAGCAGATCATGAGGATAGCGCCTATGATTAGAGGGGCGAGGACGTTGGCGGATTTCCAGGGGTAGTAGGCGCCTGCCCATGTCAGGGCGAGGACGAGCAGTCCCATGCCGAAGAGGAAGAGGAACTGGCCGCCGAAATCGATGGTCATGAGGCGAGCTGTGAAGCTTTGGCTGAGTGAGGGGTCTTCGGTGCCGTCTGTGCGGGTGATTTTCTGAGGTCCGAGGAGTTCGGGACGGAGGACGAAGTGAGCGAGGACTAGGCCGACGACGCCGATTGGGATGTTGATTATGAAGCACCATCTCCAGTTTGCATCTGTGAGGTAACCTCCCAACACAGGACCGATTCCATATCCTACTCCTCCGACGATTGTGAAGACGGTGTTGTTCTTGGCGTTCTCTTTCAGGGAGACTTTGTCTGCGAGGATAATCTTCGAGTTGATGAGTAGCCCAGCACAGCCGATGCCTTGGAATGCTCGTCCAACGAGAAGCATGGGGAATGCTGTTGTGGGAGCTGCGGAGCAGAGGACACTTCCTAAAATCATGCTGCAGAGGGCGAATTGGATGGCGGCGTACCGTCCGAAGACGTCTGAGAATTGGCCCCAGAATGGGACGAATGTAGCAGAGGTGAGGTTGAATGCCGAGACGATCCAGTTCAATTGAGACAGTTGGTCTTGCCGTGTCATTAGCAGTGCGAGAAGGGTATATCGCGAATTACTTACGGAAGTCAGAAGCTATGAACGGCAACGCAGATGCTATTATGGTGGCGTCCAATGACTGAACCATGAAAGGCAGAAAAAGACCAACCATCAACTTGAGACGGTACTTCCTCATTGCTCGCTGCTCGTCTTTGCAGATGGCGCATTTTGTGCCATCGAGTACATCACTACCGTGTACTGCTTCTTTGTTGGCCTTCGTTTCGTTGAGAGGAATGTCCTGATTGTCGGGCAAAGCATTGGTGTTCGTGAAACCGTCCTCGATGTTGCCGACAGGACGCTGGTGTTCGCAAGGCTCGGGTTGACTAGGACTCTTCTTGATAAACTTTTTGTAAATTATGGTTGCCATATTGTCGGTCCACGTCTAGAAGATATAGGGCTATTCAAAAGTCCTTCCTCGACAACTCCGTGATATCAACAAAACAATTGATTGATGATCCGAATAAGAGATCGGGACCACTTGGTCCCTTATATGAGAAGATAATGAAGGCATACTGAGAAATAAGACGGCTTGACATTGTAAGCAAAACACCAAGCCACAGCAAATGGCTGATCGAACTTCGAAGCAAGCCCATTCCAGTATTCATGAAGCCAACCCCTGGTCGCGTTCAAGTAAGGCTCTCTTCCATGTGGGGTGTAACAGGGGCTGAGGCAGGCTGGGCACGACATCGAAATCCGACACGCGTTGGCAGAGTTTTTATTGGCCAATTCGAAGATGAGGCCCAGATAAGGTGGAAGAAAGACGTAGGGCTGAATCTTTCCACCATCTTGTTGTGTTTTGTTGCCTGGAGACGGGAAGATTCACGGACGAAAATACGAATGTTCGGTTCAGCTAGCGACTTTTAGCTTTGATTATTGGCGAACTTCCTGATGCACCAAATAAGGTTAGTTAAGAAATAGTGCAGAAACTTGCATAATTCGGTAGATGAGCAGGGGTGTTTTATGCACAGCTGACTAGTGTCAAAATGATGGACGTCAACGCCGCAATCTTTCAACTTCTCAAATTACCTTCTTTGGACATCGTATACGGAGCATTTCTACCATGACACAAATCTTATGGGTAAATCTGGAAATTTGACAAGTCGCCCACGATCGACGTGACGCCACTTCCGGCCCAAAGACTTTATTCGGCATCCAAGAACCTTATCTGATCACAGCAAGAGATCCAAATCGGCTTGATAATCACGAGGGTGGGACACTGTAGGACGAAAGATGGTTTTCTGTGGCAAGCCCAGTGGAGGCTGCCATGCTTGCCGAGAAAGGAAAACCAAGTGTGATCAAGTCCTCCCAGGTTGTACTCAATGTAAACGTGCGAAACGTTTATGTCCAGGATACCGTGTACCGGGCGATCTGATCTTCCGGAATGAGAGCTCCAACGTTATCCGGAAGTTCAAAGCAAAGGAAGCAAAACAAAAAGAAGCAGCGAAAACCTTAACAACTCCACCAGTCTCAGAAGATGAATCAAATGTGGAAGATGCATCACTGGAAGTCGCTCAACAGCAAGATAGACAACTCGATGTGTTCTCACTTGCCCCTTCTCTGGAAGACCGAGCTACAGGGTTCTTTGTAGCAAATTACGTTCTGGGCATGTCCGGTCCCTCCCGAGGACATCTCGACTATATTGCCGATGTTTCTAGGACACAGATAATGGATGACAGCTTGGTCTCCAGCATGAAAGCCGTGGGCCTGGCTGGTTTTGCGCATGCGGAACATGCTCCTTCGCTCATGAAGAACGCCAGATACCAGTATGTGCGTGCATTAAAGTCCACTAATGCAGCCCTACGAGATCCAGTGGAGGCCAAGAAGGATACCACGTTATTGGCTATAATGATCTTGGGCATCTTCGAAACTATAACCGGCTGCACGACCCGCTCATTGAGGGATTGGGCTCGGCACGTGAATGGCGCTGCAGCTGTCATCAAGCTTCGAGGCCCTGATCAGATAAAGACGCCACATGGTCGGAGGATGTTAATTCAAGTGACAGCCAGTCTCTTGATCAATTGCTTACAGCGAGGTGTAGCATTGCCGAGCCATATCCAAGAGTACATGACAGCCGCAATTAAACTTGTTGGGACCCCGGATCCTGCATTCGTGATCAACGATTGTATGATGCACTTTGCAAATCTTCGGGCATCTGTCCTGAGCGGCAAATTGACGGATCAGCATGAAATTTTAAGGCTCTCCCTAGAATTGGATGCGAAGCTCTTGGATATCGTTATCAATGTTCCTCCTGGTTGGGAGTATCAGACGATAACCACACTCGAACAATCAGACGTTGCCTATAAAGGACGCTATCACCTATACTACGATTATTGGATAGCCATGATCTGGAATGCCCTGCGCTCCTTACGACTTCTCATTCATGAGCTCATCCGGGATATTCTCCTCAAAGGATTCGCCCAACGGCCACCCACTTTTCACTCGACTGAGCACACTGCTCAGTTCCAGATCAGTACAGATACTTTATACCAGCATCAAGAGGAAATCCTGCTCAGTGCTGCGCAACACATGAACAATTTCCCCAAGGCGCAAGACCTCTCGGTTTACAAATCTGTGACTTCTATTCCGCTGATAGCTTACAATGAGTTACATGCACCTCTAAGAATGTCAGGAGGCTCGTTTTTGATCTGGCCGCTTTGGCACGCTGGCATCCTAGACATTTCCACTGAGGAAGTGCGAAGGTTTGCGATCAAAAACTTGAATTTCATTGGAGATACGATGGGAATTCAGCAGGCGTTTGTTCTAGCTAAAAGTGTGGAGGAAAGATTGGATATTGAGGTGTGGAAAGAAGGAGATCCGCCTCATTCGAATCCTGATTACACATTTGACACCGAAGTTAATGGATGATGCTCAATATGGAGGGGAGATGTTGACATGCATCCAGAGAGTCCAAGATGATATGCGAGAAAGGCATCGCTTCGGCTTTTTTCACTGTCGCAAGGCATGAGCTTTGTCTCAAGGATGTCTCTGGCTGCAGAAGATGCAACGAGAAGAGATTCATAAACCATGTGTCCATGAGTCTGTATGATGCTGATAAAGAGTCAAGTCATGAGACGAAGAGGGTCATTCCAACGAGGAACGATTCTGTGAACAACGAAACAGAGTATAGGTTTGTTGGAGAGGTAACTACTGCAACAGACGCGTTATGACAGAGTTTTCTGTTATTCATCTTGAACATAAACAACTAGATATTTTAACATAATGTCCCCATTTATTACCAAATCATGATAGTACTGTCCATCAGAAGTTTGATATCCAGAGGGTGATATGTTATAAAATTGTTTCCGACATGAAGGAGGCTTGGTCCGGAACAATGATTTACCGATTCACTTCACTAACCAGAATTAGCTTCATAGCCGTTTACGTCGCCTTTCCATAATCCGAGAGCTCTGGCCCAACAATTTGCATGTGAATCGAATGATGGCCACTCCACTGGACAAGTTGCAAAACCCTCACCTTCCTTGCAGATAAGAATGAGGATACTGTTCCTCCTTTCGCCAGTCTCATTTTCTACCAACTATACACAGAGATGATCCTTCCGGAGACCTTCAGCTTCATAATCCCCTCCTCGGCAGCAACCCGAGATGCCTGAGCAGCCCAAGCCCAAAACATTATCGCGAACGCATTCCCTAGACGTGCGAGATGATGCTCTTCGAAGACTGTCGCGTTCTCCACACCCGTACCATCGCCAACAATTCGAGTTACCATATGGTTCCGAAAAGTTCAGTACCAATGCCCCTCCACTACGATCGCATTTGCGATCGACGCAAAATACGGACGATGAAGAGCAGGATACACCACGGCACATGCCGGAAGACTTCAAAGACGCATACAAAGGATCAACGGGAAGTGACAGTGGTACCGAGGCAGACGATGAGCACTTCTTGAAGGGATTACCAGCTCCAAAGCTACGACCCCATAAAGGATTACGTGGATTTGAAGCGAGTCTTTCTGGAACCCCCAGTCCAATATTGTCACCAGCTATCCTCGATGAAGATTCTACAAGGTCTCAGGGCTATTTGCGACAGAAGAAAGCCGTAGTGCCGGTTCTTCCAGATGAAGAGACTCGCAAACTTGCAGACAAGGTTCGGCGGAAGCGAAATGTGGAGGTCATACGGAGATGTAGTGAGACTTCGATACTATTCTTCCTAGCGGCCATGTTGTGCTGTGATCCAGAAATCCGCAAGCTCCTGCATTTCTGGAGAAGAGGCAAGTTAGAACATCCATCTCGATACAAAAACTAACACGTTTAGAACTGAGTTGCCAAGTCCTCACCATATCTTCCCTCGTCGTTATCTATCCTCTGCGACTACTACGAAATATCCGACCTTCAATGTCGTTCAAAAGACCATTTCCAATTGCAATACCTGCGGCCTTTGACCCCGCGCCCTTGCTCTACCCTCCCAGCATCACAATGCTGGTCTCCTTGGTACTCTCGAAAAACACCGCTTCCAACTTGCTTCCAAGTATGATCCTCGGAATATCCTCTCTTCCTAGGCATTTGATACCTTCAACTGGTGGCCTTTGGGGTTCAAACATATCGCATTGGTTTCTTTCCTGCCTCCCATTGCTGATTCGGCATACTGGCGATGTTGAGAACCTGGTTGGGAAAGATAGCGAAAAGTTCAGCTTACAGCCTGAAGTTCTGGTGCTATTGTATCCATTGCATCAGTCATTGTGTGTGACGCTCTACTATTTGACAACGACAAGTCTTCTTGAGGCCGAGTTACAGCTTCTTTCCGTGGCTTTGATCGATTTATTGCTTCTAGCTTCCTCTCCCCAGGCCATGATCTTGAAAATACTGCTCTGGGGAGGAGGTATTGGGCTATTGGTCACTTGTGGTCGTGTCCTGAAATGGGGCGTGGCTTTAGCGAGAGTTCCAAAATGGCGATTCAAACGTTCACCAAATCAGGGGCGTTACTTTCATGAGAAAGGTGCCAAGTTTATGCAGAAACCATTCTCATTTGGGGGGCTTGGTACCACCATCTTTTCGAAAGACTCAGCGATGACTGATTCGAGTAATGATGACGAGGCTATTGAAGTGATACCGCTGTCTCCAACTCTGAAGCTCAATACTTCATCTCGGCTATTTGATGGAAGTGGCGAAAATGGTTCAGTATCGGCCATTGAACCAAAGGGAGTCAATTTCATGAATGGCTCGACGGCAGTAGAGGAAGATGAGAACTCAGTGATCAAGAGGAGGTACACACTTCCGTCCTTGTCCAATCTCCCGCAAAAGCTGACCAAGCGGACTCCATCTGGTCGTCGGAAAAGAGCAACATCTTCTAGTGTGCAAGCTTTCTTTTCTCTCACTCAAACAGAAGCCACTATACGGAAATGGGTTTATGCTGGCTATGTATATATCTGGGTGGCTCTTCTCATTCTGGTCGGCATCAGAGAGTATGTTCAAAGATACGCCTTGCATGGAATCGAACCTATTGGATGGGCTCTTGGATATCTCTTTGGCGACCTTCCATGGTTCAGAATGGAGGTTGTCAGTGGCAATTATCAAAGATGGATTTGTCTTCCATCTCGCAATGGACGCGAGCATGAAGAGTCCTGCTATCTAGGCTGGGCCCAGCACTTACGACATGCTTCTTTCGGAGAAGCGAACACTCGACTCATCCTATCGGCTTACTGGTTAGCCATCATTATTGTTGGTTTGGCAGTCGTCTTCCGTCTCTCTGGAGTGTATGAAGTTGACACTCGCCGAAAAGTGTTTCACTTTATGATGGTTGCAATGCTACTGCCAGCCACATATGTGGATCCGACCTTTGCAGCGCTGGCACTGATTTTGATGCTTGCAATCTTTTTACTGCTCGACCTCTTCCGAGCTTCCCAACTTCCTCCTCTTTCGAAATCTCTCGCTTATTTTTTGACGCCTTATGTAGATGGAAGGGATTTGAAAGGGCCTGTAGTTATATCACATATCTTCCTCCTCATCGGGTGCGCCATACCTTTATGGCTCTCTCTTGCATCTCTACCTCGAATCGGTACCGGCTGTCTCGAAGGATGGGAGGTACCGACACGAGAAGTGAGCATGGTCAGCGGCGTTATCTGCGTTGGTATGGGCGATGCTGCGGCATCGCTGATCGGACGACGTTACGGCCGACACAAATGGATCTGGGGCGGAGGTAAAAGCATTGAAGGCAGTGTAGCATTTGCTACTGCCGTGGGATTGGCGTTACTATTTGCTAAAGCATGGCTTAGAATTGGTGGGTGGCCAGCTAATAATGATGATGTCTGGTTCATGACTATTGGGAAGGCCAGCATCGCAGCTTGGGTGGCGAGCTTGACGGAGGCGGTTCTCACGGGTGGGAATGATAATGTCGTCGTCCCGGTGGTGCTTTGGCTTTGTGTTAAAGGTTTAGATATTTAGACGTCTAGAGCTCGTGATGCTCTTTGGATATACTTACAGGAGTCACGTTCCCATGTGTGGACAAGAAGTTGTGCTCACATGTGAACAGAAGTGTGCTTGGGGATAGCGGTCTGAATATCGGCATGTGGAGGTCAGTTCCAATCGGATCTCACCCGAATGCACCACAACTCGAAATCAACGGTCCATGTACCGATTTGGCCGATCCGGATCTGATAGGTCAGAGAAATGCAGGCTCGGTAAATGACGGGCATTGACAAGGCTGACGCCCATCGGGAAAGTTGCCCAGCTTCTCATCTCCTTAATATTCGAAACGCATTATCGTCCACCGTTCTCATTTCACAATATCCATGACTCGTCAATCGATTCAGAAACCCAACAAGGCTGGGCTTTACATCGCGATATCATTTTCTCTCTTGCACAGGAACTCTGATAAGATGACTAAGTACGCATGACTCGACACCCCTTCTCTACCTCTCATCTAATTGGTTCACCTCGCCCCCCTTTCATTGCCAAAATGCATGCAACCCTGCCTGCCGCTCATCAAGACCGTCTATCACCAAAGATGGGATGAAAGCTCTCTCTCTCTCCACCATCCATGGATGGATACTCTCCGACTACGGGCCCTGGCATGCCCTTTAAATCCCTTCTCTGCCTTTCCTCTCCTCTCCTTGCTTTTTCTTCACGCCGCGGACAACTCCTTGCCTGCTTCGTTTATTACCTACCCCACCTTTGTTTGAGCCGCAATTATACTAATAAATAAATAATGACGAACCCAATCGAGACGCCGCAGCAGGTGAACGTTGGGCGGAAATATAAATCGAGGAAAGAACGACCGTTAGTTTTCCTTCCCCCCCCCCCCCCCCCCCCCCTTTTTCTTTTCTATCTATCAATCAAGAAATGGGATAGGGTAAATGGTTAACAAGAAAATAGATGTGACGCCTGCCGCAAACGCAAAATATGCTGTACGCGCAACGCCCACGAGAAGGATTGCTCTCTGTGCCGAACGCGGGGCGAGACGTGCAAATACGTGCTCCCGCCGAACGTCAGGCGGAATCGGCAACCGCCGCCAGCTGGGAGACCGAGGGGGTCGCCGACGAGTAGTAGTTGTTGTGCTTCGTCGTCGAGTGCTGTTCCGCCGAGACCTGTGGTTAAAGAGAGAAATGGAGGGGAGGAGAATGGAGAGTGGATTTGCCAGTTTGTAGGGCTGAGTGGTGATCAGGATCCGTTTGTGTTGAGGCATTGCTCGTTTAATCAGCTGAATTGCTATAAAGCGTCTGATTGGGCGATCTTGAGGATCAAGGGCGATAATGGGGAGGTTCCGCTGCATTTTACGGTATGTATCCATCACTCAGTCAGTTAGTCACATGCTCTTTTATGTTCTGTTGTTGATGTATATGATGGTGCTAGGTAGTCCCGGATAGTCATCTAGACGCGAGGCCAGATTATTACCCTACGACAGATACGGAGGCTATCGTTAAGCCGCATGGCGAAGATCTGCTGAGGACGTATTTCGAGGTTATCCACGTTTCGTACCCGCTTCTTGATCCGTTGCGCTTTGGGGCCGAGCCGTCAACGGGGGATCCGTTGCTGGCTATTATGTATAATCTCGCGGCGCCGTTTTGTCAGGATACGCCGCCGGTGTTTGCGCTGCTTTCGGATTTCGTTCATCAAGCGTAGGTCAAGGTCCCCTTATATTGAATTTGCTCGTTTGTGTTGACAACAACCTAGTCTCCCTATAGAAAAACGCCATCCCCGCCTGGAGACAATAGAAGCCGCTCTCCTGCACCTCCAACGCCACACCATCATCCACCGCTCTCCCACCCTGCCCGGTCTCTGGTCAGACATCGGCACCATCGTCGGTATGGCCCACGATCTAGGCCTCAATCTCGACCCGACGACCTGGTCTCTCTCGCCTAGTGACCTCAATCGCCGCGTCCGCATCTGGTGGGCGCTCTACATCCAAGATAAATGGTCGGCCCTCGGCCTCGGCCGACCCTCCTATCTTTCCGATGACCACTGCTCTGTTCCCTTGCCTACTGTATCGAATTTCTCGCCCACAGACGCAGGACAACCCGCGCTGCAATTTATCGCTATGGCGCACCTGACTGTCATCTTATCTGATCTGTTGAATACGTTCTATACCCTGAAATCCATGGAACGAGTGAAAAACCTGCCGATTTCCATGCTCTACGGGATTCTAGATGAGTTTCAAGCAAGGCTCGATGCGTGGAACGAGGAGTATGGGTGGAAGTTAGAGGGGGGCGGGAATGGGTTGTTGGATAGTAGCGGGTCGGTGGTGTTAGCTTATTACACGGCGGAGATCGTGCTGTATAGAGCGGTGCTGAGGGCCCTGCCTATGAGCGAGGAGGGGTATGAGGCTGTGAGGGCGAGGGCTAGGGATACGTTGGGGAGGGTCGTCGGGTTTGTGGAGAAATTGAATGTTAGTCGGTTGAGGGCTTTTTGGTGGAGTCGTGAGTTTTTCTTCTTCCTCCTTTCCTCTTCCCCTTTCCCCTCCTTCTCCCTCCACCTTGCAACTATTAACAACGACCCAAAAAGCCATGACGCGCATCAACTTCGCCCTCGCAGGCACATTCATGTTCTTCCAGCTCCTGACCTCCATCACCACGTCCGACATCGAGTTCTGGTCCGAGACCATCGCGCACTATCGCTCGCTACTGCGGTTGCAGAGCCTGTCGTTCGATATGACGAAGTTGGCGTGCACGAGGATGGATCTGTTGGCGCAGGGGATGGGGGTCGATCCGCCATGCAGTGGGGGGGAGGAGGGTAGGGGAGTGGGAGGGGGAGGGGGAGGGGGAGTGGTGCTTACGCCGGGGAGTGCGGAGGAGTGGATTGCGAGGCAGGGGCATGAGGGGATGTTGCTTTGTTGAGTTGGGAGGGTGGTGGGGGAGGGTTGATGGAGGGAGTTTAGTGGGTAGGTATTCATTGCATGTTCTGTATCAAGTGAGCGAAGTTAAAGATCTTCCTTAATGTTAATGTTGTCATGTGTATTTGTGTGCCTGTGCTGCTTGAGCAGTTTCACACTTGCGAATATACCACCTTGCTTAATGGTTCTTCTTGGTCTCGATTTCTTCGCTTGTTGTGAAGTGAGGCTAAATCAACTGAAGTGAGCCTTGACCTCGTGAAGCAAACCATTCTCCAACTCCAATCCACCCCTTCTCTCACCCACTCCACCTTCTAGAATACCACAAAATACGCTCTTTCATCCAAGAGCATCCTTCTACCCAAAGTTTCCGGCGCTTGGCTCAGATGAAACCAATCTCCCAGTGAAGTCCCATAACCCCTATCAAGAATTCTCGCTTCCACGTAGTTGAAAAAAAAGGGGGCGCTGGTCAAGATAGTTCATTGAGTGATTCAGCGCGCTTCAAAATAGTTCACGGGGCGGAAAAAAAAGTCTCTTACAGCACCAGCAACTAGGCTAATAAGTGATTAAAGAGTAAAAGATTTTCAACACCACAAAATCTAGCAGACAAGATTCTAATACTATATATAAAAATTGCTACTTTCAACAGCTCTCCCCATACTAAATACCTTAAAATTTCAAATTATTGCCTCTTAACTAAACGCTATCCCCTTCTTACTCGAGTACCACGAGATGCCGAAAGAGGAGAGATTCAAGCAAAATAATATGCGGGGTCCTAAAGAAGCAGTGGCCAGGAAACCGCCTTTCAAGTTTTGCAAGAGCTAGGGAGGAGAGGAGAAGGTGTGAATACCTTTCCACTGCTCCACTTGTAGGAGAAGGAGGTGTTGCTTTAGCATAGCATTTGTAGACGACTTTTATGGTTGAACTTTGAATTTGAAAATATTCAAAATATATCATATAGTAGACTAATCTTTTAAAATGGTATCGAAATCTTAGATACTAAAAAATCGTGGTGTTTTAACCACTTTCCCATGATTATACGTAGCTGGGTAATTTTTTTTTTGGATCTGTGGGGACTCTTTTCCTGATCATTCACAAAATTTTATTCATGTGGCTCATCGAGTTGTTCTAGTTCTTCTATTCCAAAAAACCTCGCTACATAACAAAAGCAAAACAAACACGATTCATAGAAAATACAAGCCCAATCAACTCATTTATCATCAACCCTAATCTCCCACGTACTAGCAACCCTAATACTCCCCAACTTCGCCTCAGGCAACCTCTTCAAACTCCCTCCTCCCCCCCCTCTTTCCCCCAACCGTCCCCCGGCAACTAATCTCCCCACGCCTCCAAATCCCCCCTCTCCTTCCTCTTCATCCTTCCCCGTCCCCAAATCACTCAACCCAATCCGCACCTCCCCCTTCCCACTCACGAGATCCTCATCGGACCCCCATTCCGGAACCATGCGTCCCCGTTTCCGCTCTTCGAGGCGCGGCTGTCGGAATTTTTCCTTCTTGTAGCCGCGGTCGGCGAGTAGCGAGAAGAGGACCACGGCGTTGGAGATGAAGGTGTTGAAGAGGATGTCGAGGGAGGCGAGGAGGGAGCGCGTCTGTTGCGCGAAGTGGTGGTGCGTTATGTGGGGGAGGGTGTAGGTTGTGAAGCTTTTGAATGTGGATGTTAGTTTGCTTGGGAAATATGGGGGAAGTGAAGAAGGGGATGGGAATTGGGGAGAGAATGGGAAAAAGAGACGAACCCGATGGAGAGGAGGGGGAGGGAGAGGCGGATTAGGATTGAGGCTTTTCTGGTTATTGTTAGCAAGAAAGAGAGAAGAAAGATTGGGAGGAAAGGGGGATGGGAAAAGCTTACTGGCCGCGAGAAATCTTGCTTTTCATCACCATGGGGATGGGGAATAGGATTAACGCGAGATTGGTGACGATATTAAGCGTCCCCATCGTATACAGGTGCGCGGCACCGGTACGGCATGCGGGGCTGGGAGTAGGAACTACTTGCCAGTAGTGCGAGAACGGGTGGCAGGCCCCTAAGTCAGCGACGATGGTGGCGAGGAAGGTGAGGAGGAGGAAGATGTGTAGGTATTTGAGGAGGTGCTTTTGTGGGCGTTCGGTGAGGGTGCGGAAGAAGAGGGTGGTGCTGTATTTTATTGCCCAGAGACTGTTTGTCGTTAACATTGATTTAAAAATTATTGGAAAGGGAGGAAATGGACGTACTATGCAGCGTAAAATACTCGCGCTCCGAGAACTAATTGACTTCCGAGTTCGCGTTGGTGGATGGCTTGGAGTGAGAGCCCGGCCGTAACGGTATTGTTGGTTCCGTCTAGTAATACGAAATGCACGAATGCCATTCGGATTAAGAGAGGTGTGATGGCTAGTAACATGATGGCATCTTCGAGGAATACTTTCTCGGCTCGTACATAACGACCACCGAATCGGATCCCGATGATGACGATGGAGTAGCAAGTACACCACCAAGCGACGAGGAGCGTTGGCTTGGAGTCGCGAAATGTGGTTAAGGGAGGAAGGACGTCCATTGTGAGGTTGAGAGCATGCAAATTGTCGAAATGTTTGATTTTTTGGAGGTGGGAGGTTGAGGTTCTTTGTGTGGTGTTACACCCCTTCGAGTGGCAATACTCGATCCTTCGTGTCGCAACACTCAACTCCTCCTGTGGCAATACCCAAATCCTCGACCAGGGACGACGACAACCACCTCTTCGAGTGGAATTACAATTGATTCTGGCGATGCGAAGTGAACGGGATCGTGATGGTGGTGATGGTGATTCTGATAATGACCTTGCATACAGCCTATGTTACGCAGGTACCCCAGCTTTTTTTGTCTCTTTACACGAACTAATCACGGACAGCGTTCGGTCCAGAATCCAGAAATTTATTGATGACAGCGGGACAGCCCAGAACTTCAAACACAATCCAATATCCGGGTGAAAGGGGGGATGGTGGACGAATTCGAGGTGACAGGAGTCACAGACAGGACTAGACACGAATCGAAACGACGAGGCTATTCAGAAAATATTCAGGGGAAACGTAGACACGGCATGAGGAATTGGTGGAATGACAGAGGAAAATTGAAGCCGGAATGCAGGACATCGAAAGCAGAATTCAGAAGAGAGGTTCAACGAGCCGTCTTTCCTTTGAATGGAATGGAATTGTACCTGATACATTGCCGTGCTGACTGCTTAGTACAGTAGATGCAGGTACCAAACCATTGAACGATAGAACGACGACGGACGGGGGACCGAAAGGGCAACCAGGTTTGCTCTCGAGTCTGGCCCTCATGGCATAAACCAGGTCCACGAGGGAAGCCAGGTACTAACTGGCCAACCGGTGGTCTGTTCCTGTCCCAAGAACTGTCATTCGCGTGGTACCGTAAGATAAGGAACCCAAGAAAGGTGAACGTTACAAAGGGCAATGACCAAAGAGAGGCGAAAGAGGCGAGTTGGGAAGAGACGATGTCTGAATAGCGGCTTTACTTTCGCTTCTTCACCGGTCTCCCGGTCCCAAAGAGGAAGATTGGACGACGAGCTTACCGGAAACTTTACGGCACGGCTCGGGGGGGGGCCTCGAGTCTGTGCAGTAATTGGGTACCTGAGAGAGCTGGTCGGGCGGCTGTCACAGGAAACGTTTGGGACGGGCTAGGCTGTCATTCGTACGGTAGCATTGCGTGACGAGCCCCTTTTTTTTGCTTTTGGCGATGGCGCCGTGTGAACAGTGGTACTGTAAGGTCGTACAGTAAGGTGTGGAGGGGCAACGATGGTGGTGAGATGTTCGCTGCATGGCGGCGGAGACGTGGAGTGCGCCTTCGCCTTCCATAGAAGGTCGCTCATTTCTGATCTTCTCATCACCTTCCTGATGCAGCCCAGCCGGGAGCCGATGGGAAGCTCGGCCGCCACATGTTATTCGCGATGAGAGACATCTGAATCACAACTCTCTTTCAGGCCTTGACAGATGACGACAATCTCTCGAGGTTCATCGTTTCAATCGACGGCCTCGGTACCAGTGACTTTCGTCCAACGATCTTCTCCTGCGATGCGGTAAAGGCGCATGCCACGGTGATGTGAAATGTGAAATGTGATATGAAATGGACGGAGGACCGAATCGGCTGCTGTGGATGAAAGAATGCAAAACAATTTACGAGCATAGCCAAGAAGGGCTGGGCGGTTGGAGTGAGGGCCACCGGTCGGCTCGTGATGCTATTCGCCTTACATGCCTGCGGGAGCACACGAGGATGAATAGTGAACGATGAATAACGACGAGGAGGAGGAAAAGGGAGACGGGGAGACGGGGAGATGTTCACCAACGCCTGCACCAGTCAGTCGCATTATCATACACCTCGACGACTTCGAAACACTGCAAGATCGAAGACCCCTTGATGATTCACCCCTTGGACGTGTTCCACCAGTGTGTTCCCCCCGTCTGGCACCGGGCTGCGGTTCTATTTCAACCTCATCCATGCCAATGCATGGCATTCGTGCTGCGACTTCCACCCCCAGCCAGCCAGCCAGCCAGACCGTCGACAGCTAGATTGCCAAGACAACAACCCCTCAATCGCGTGGTGGTGGCTTTGAGACAATTTGCATACCGCAACAGCAAGCAGAACAGGTCCGAGCTTGAAGAATAATGGGTTTGGACAGTGAAAGACAGAAAACAATGAAGCCGCTGTTATCTTCCCAGACCCGGACCGATGCACCTCTCGCACACCAACACCAACACCTTGCGTCTGCCGGGTAGGGAAAAAAGGTGGGCAAAAAAGCGCAAAAAAAAGTGGTGAGCCGGAGTGGCTCCAGACTGCGACTGCGGTGTTTCTTGTGGGTCAACCCGCACTTTAGATAACAGACAAGTCTCTGCTTGATTTGTGATTCATTCAAGATTTATTGGTTTACTTTTCCTCTCTCTCTCTCTCTTTTTACCCCTGCGGTTTATTGGCTGGACCTCTTCTTTCTACTTAACCCCTACTCGACCCCATCTAACACAAAGCAATACGAGACCAGACCATCCATCTTACTGTTGTACCCATATTGTCTTGGCACACCCGATCCAAACTAATATCCCTTGTATCATATTGTACTGCACTGTACCTTCCCAACTTTCACTCGACTCAACATACATACCCAAACCACCATGCGATGACCTACCCAACAACATCTTATACAAATTAGTTCTACCAACCCTATTCATCTATCCAAGATGGACGACGACCTCTCCGTCAAGATGGAGCCCTCCAAAACCTACCCAGCATCGACGTCGACCGTCACGCCCCTCCTCGCCCGCCCCACCGGCGTCCACCGATTCCCTCCCACAAAGGCCTTCGACAGCTTCCGACGAGGCAGCGGCCCTGAATACAGCTTCGCGCCCGCTCTCGGTGAGAATGGTCGTGTATTCAATCCCAAAGCTGCTGCGTGGAACACAGCGCATACCCCGCTGGTGCGGAGGTTGAAAGGGAGACATCTTCAGATGATTGCCATCGGGGGTTCAATAGGTAACCTACAGTACCCGTGTCTACCCGAGGCAAACCCTCTCACGTGCTCGATTACTGACTTCGGCGCCCCTTTAAGGCACAGGACTTTTCATCGGCTCCGGGAGCGCTTTAGCGACAGGTGGTCCTGCGTCTCTGTTACTGGCCTTTATCCTCATCGGCGCCGTGCTATTCTGCACGGTGCAAGCGCTGGGCGAGATGGCCGTCACGTTCCCCGTAGCCGGTTCATTCTCCGCGTTCGCTACGCGGTTCATCGATCCGGCGTGGGGTTTTGCTTCGGGCTGGAACTACGCGATGCAGTGGGCGTTCACGATGCCGTTGGAAGTCATGTCGGCGGCTATCACGCTGGAGTATTGGAATATTGATCTGCCCGGTTGGGCTGCTATTACGATTTTTCTGTTTGCGATTGTGATGATTAATCTTTGCGGGGTGAAGATTTATGGGGAGGCGGAATATACGTTTTCTATTATTAAGGTTACGGCTGTTATTGGGTTTATGTAAGTCTTTCTTCTCTTGTTGCGTTGAATGAGTTCATGCTGATACGCCTTAGAATTTTGGGAGCAGTTATAAATTGTGGTGGTACCCAGGATAGTGGTTATATAGGAGGCAAATACTGGGCTAATCCAGGTAAGCTATTTCCATGCTGAATCACCAACCCCTTGCACAATAGCTCCGGAGCCATCTCAGCTCTTAGTCCGAGAGAAGACAGATATCATTTGTTTTCAGGCTCTCAACTTCTCTCAAGCTTTCCTAACTACCCCCCTACTATTCATCACCTTTCCACCTCCTAACACCTCTACCAGGCGCCTTCCACAACGGCTTCAAAGGCTTCTGCAACATCCTCGTAACAGCCGCCTTCTCCTTCTCAGGCACCGAACTCGTCGGCCTCGCCGCCGCCGAAACCCACAACCCATCCAAATCCCTCCCGACAGCCATCAAACAAGTCTTCTGGCGCATCGCCCTCTTCTACATCGTCTCCATCGCCATCGTCGGCCTCCTGGTCCCTTACACCTCCCCGCAACTCATCTCCCGCAACAGCGTCGACTCAAAGGCCTCCCCCTTCATCATCGCCATCCAATCCGCCGGCATCGAGGGCCTCGATTCCGTTATGAACGCCGTGGTCATGATCGCCGTTCTATCCGTAGCGAATTCCTCCATGTACGGCGCAACTCGCACCCTGCAAGCGCTCGCCGAGCAAGGCCAAGCGCCCCGGGCCCTAGCATACGTGGACCGTAAAGGCCGACCCTTAGTAGCCATCGCCGTAGCCTCAGCAATCGGCCTCCTAGCCTACCTCTACGTGTCTCCCGTCCAAGGCCCAGCGTTCACCTGGCTGCTCGCGCTCAGCGGGCTAAGCAGCATCTTCACCTGGGCCAGCATCTGCTGGGCGCACATCCAGTTCCGCAAAGCGTGGACCTTGCAAGGAAATTCGCTCTCCGACTTGGTATACCAATCCCCCATCGGCGTCGCGGGCTCGTGGATCGGTCTCGTCTCCCTGATCCTCATATTAGTCGCGCAACTCTGGGTCGCGATCGCGCCCGAGGGCGCAAGCGCAAATCTGAGTGCTGGGGAAGTAGCGACGAATTTCTTCGAGGCGTATCTCGCGATGCCGGTCGTGCTGCTGTTTTATGGGGCGTATAAGTGGGGGTATGGGACGCGGTGGGTGAGGGTGCGGGATATTGATTTGGTGACGGGGAGGAATGAGTTTGAGAGCTTGGGCGTGAGGAGGCAGTGGAGGGAGGATCGGAGTGAGTGGCCGAGGTGGAAGGTGGTTTATAAGATGCTTTGTTAGAGGGGGGTGGGGAGGGGGGTGGTTGTATGATAGTTTTATACCCATTTGGTGATGTGGAATGATATGATATGATTCTTCGTTGATTGGTTTGGATGTATGTGACGTGTGATAAATCCCGCTTTTTGGTTAAGATATGGAGACAGTATCTCGATGAACAGGAATGGTGACACGTTTAAACGAAGTGTTTGAATAGCCAGAAGAGGGGCAAAAGTACTACAGCTAAAGGAAATGACGCGCAAGAAAAGAATACCCCTAGAAATCAAGAAGTAGTGCAGCTATGTATCTGAACCAATTGTTGTTAAGACCTACTTTATCTCGTAAAAAAAAACCAATCTGAACCGCTCCGAACCGCCTTAAATCTTCTATGTATGTATACCGGAATAAAATTTATTTACCTACACTCCCGTTAAAAAACTAAGCGAACCCCCTTTCTCTCACATATTCGTTCGTCGTAGCTTCTTCACCAGTGCCTGTTTCATGTAGGTAGTCTGCATCAAAATAAAATGGTTAGATGACTAGAAGAAAAATTAGGTACGTAACCGTCCGTCCCTTGCGTAGCGAGAAACCCACCGTGCCGAGAAAATTGAGGGGTACTTTGACTTTGAATAACTTAAATTTTATGCACACATCGACACAACTTAAAATTTTATATAAATCGTACTCCGTGGCTACTCTTAAACCTTTTAAACCCTTTTTATTAGTGAATTCCGTTCGTATCGTCGCCTTTGCCCCGGATTTGTGGGCAATCTCCTTTTATAGCGCAATAAAAAGTTGTTTCACCACAGCTCCACTATTAAGCTTATACCACTCCTAATACTTATAAAAAGGTCATATCTGATTTTTAAAGCCTCCTTACCATACTCGAGATCGTCATCAGTCTTGTGGCTACTATGATGCGCAGATTTATATAAGCTCGACACCCGGGACAATACCTCAATCGAAGCGACTAACAATTTTTGGTTAGTACACCACAACCCCTGCTCTTTCCGCGTTTTGATGACGCAATTAGGCGTGGACTGAGAATGAATTCTAGCCTAAAATATAAGGTTAAACAATTTGAATATGCACAAAAATGGAAGCTCAGACACTAAACGGCTGATCGAAGCCAAATTCTGAACCCTAGATTTCTGCTATCCACTTTCCAATCCCTTTAGCTTTCCCCTCAGCGACAAGAACAAATAAGCTCAATCGAGAGTGACTTCGAACATCTTATGCCACCTATGACTTCCAGAATTCCTGCGGTGTGCCTGAGCGATTGGCCGGTCTTGCGCACTTCCAGCGATGCACGACTATGCCATTGCCGCGAGGCTGCCGCTCAGCTGAGTGCGCCAGCCTCCATTCAACATCTTCTACCAAATCTCCACCTCACTTCGCATCTATGCTATTTCAACGGTCCAACAACTACCGAGAACCCTCCCTCTTGCGATCCTCGTGGCTAGTCGAATAATGCGTCTGCTACAGTTCAACAACGATGGCGCTTTCAGCCTGACCGAGTTCTTTGAGAGCGATATACCCAAGTATGCTATTCTTTCGCACAGATGGGGACCGGAGGAGGTTACTTTGGCAGATCTGAAGAATGGCAACGGCAAGAAGATGGCTGGTTATGGCAAGATACAGTTCTGCGGAGAACAAGCGAAGCGCGACGGCTTGCAATACTTTTGGGTAGACACCTGTTGTATCGATAAGTCGAACAGCACTGAGCTCGCAGAGGCTATCAACTCGATGTTTCGCTGGTACCGGGATGCGACCAAGTGCTACGTTTATCTGCCAGATGTTTCGCGCCCTCGAACCGATTCGGCCAACGGGTTCAACGAGCCCTGGGAATCAACATTTCGAAAAAGCGAATGGTTTAGACGAGGCTGGACTCTGCAAGAACTTATTGCGCCGGCATCAGTCGACTTCTTCTGCAAAGAGGAAGAGCTACTAGGCAATAAGGTCTCCTTAGAACGACACATCTGCGAGGTAACAGGCATTCCAGCCACTGCCCTTCGAGGGAGCCAGTTGTCTGTCTTCAGCGTCGCTGAGCGAATGTCGTGGGCAGCAAGTCGTGAGACTTTTCGCCAAGAAGACAAGGCATACTCGCTGCTAGGCATTTTCGACGTCAATATGCCGCTCATATACAGCGAAGGGAAAGATAAGGCGATGAAACGACTCCGAGAGGAGATTGATAAGGCTTCAAAAGGTAAGTCCTTCTCTTTTGGTATGAGAACTCATTGAGAAGGTATATCTAGGTGCTGAGGAAGCTACTGACTTCACTAGGGTTCAAGCGCGAGGACTTCTCAGTCACCTTCAGCCTCTCCAATGTTTCTGACGTCGAACACTTCGTAGCAAGGAGGACAGAGCTCGTAGAGATACACAAGGCCCTCGGTGGCGACGGCTCCCGCCGTACTGTTGTTCTGCACGGATTAGGTGGAATCGGCAAGACACAACTCTCTATTGCATATGCGAAGCGGCACAAGGACGACTACTCGGGAATCTTCTGGCTAAACATCAAAGACGAGGATTCTCTAAAACAGAGCTTTGTTAAAATAGCTAAGCAGATATCAAGAGAACACCCGTCGGTTGTCCGGCTTAGCAACGTGGATACGAATGAAAATCTCGATGACATAGTAGATTCTGTCAAAGCATGGCTGAGTCTGCCACAGAACACGCGATGGCTGATGATCTATGACAATTACGACAACCCCAAATTGCCTGGTAGGACAGATCCCGCGGCCGTAGATATCCGGAGATTCCTTCCCGAATCATATCACGGGTCGATTATCATTACAACACGGTCATCGCAACTTAGAATTGGTCAGCCTCTCCAGATTCGTAAGCTCGAGGATGTGCATGACAGTGTTGAGATTTTGTCAAATGTGTCGAGACGGGAAGGACTGAGAAGTGGTAAGCACGTTATACATTTCTGTAATACTGATCTAATCTTCTTGATAGATCCTGATGCTATCATGCTTGCTAGAGAGTTGGACGGACTGCCTCTTGCACTCGCTACTGCCGGAGCATATCTTGATCAAGTGGCTGTAAGTCTTTCGGACTATTTACATCTGTACAAGCAGTCGTGGGTGCAACTCCAAGAATCGAGTCCGGAACTGGACTCGTACGAAGACCGAACACTCTACTCTACATGGCAGATATCATTGGATCACGTCAAGCACCAAAATGATCTTTCAGCTAAGCTTCTTTGCTTCTGGTCGTACTTTGATAACCAGGATTTCTGGTTAGAGCTTCTTCAGCACGATGACCCGGAAGACCCGGACTGGGTACGAGAACTGACAAAAGATGACATAAGGTTTCATCAAGCCATGCGTGTACTAAGTAACCACGGGCTAGTGGAGGTAAATACTTCTTCACAAGAACTAAACGAGTCGCGCGGATATAGCATTCATGGGTGCGTTCACTCGTGGACAATCTACGTTCTCAATCGTGAATGGGATTACGACCTTGCCAAGCTGGCTGTGAAGTTTGTATCATCACATGTCCCTGGAGAACAAGATTTCCGACCATGGCTGACACAACGACGACTCCTCCAGCATGCAATAAGGTGTTCATATATGTTTTCATATAACTTGGTAGTTGACGATCAGCTAGTAGATGAATGCCATCAACTAGGGCTCCTTTACGCTAACCAAAGCAAGCTGGTCGAGGCCGAACAGATGTACAAGCGGGCGCTACAAGGCTACGAGAAGGCATGGGGTCTAGAGCACACGTCGACGCTTAACACAGTCAACAACTTAGCAATCCTCTACAAAAACCAAGGCAAGCTAGTCGAGGCCGAGCAGATGTACCAGCGGGCGCTACAAGGCTACAAAAAGGCATGGGGTCCAGAGCACACGTCGACGCTTAACACGGTCAACAACCTAGCAGCCCTCTACGCTAACCAAGGCAAGCTGGTCGAGGCCGAGCAGATGTACCAGCGGGCGCTACAAGGCAAGGAAAAGGCATGGGGTCTAAAGCACACGTCGACGCTCAACACGGTCAACAACCT